TGCTCCGTAGGTACCGTATACCGTGACGGTCATTTACCCAACCCATCAGGGTGCGGCTCCCATCTCGGAGAACATGCATCCCAAAAAACCTCTTGAATCGTCTCTATTCCTAGTGCATCCTCGACTACGCCAACACTGCATAACATGTCAACACTCGAACGGTTCTTATCCAGAAATATTTAACTACTTATATATAGAAGGATGAACGTGAAGGACATGTCAGAGAAAAGCAGGCGACAGACTCGGACAGCGGGCTTGAAGGTGAAGCAGGGTGAAGCAGTGGTGAAGCAGGGTGAAGCTCGAGCGTGACGAGGTAGGATGAGGTCACATCAGTGATTCTCACAGACAGGCGCCGATGTAAGCGCCACAAAAACTCGACGTGCAAATTCGGATAGCTATGCAAACGGCAGTAAATCTGCCATTCCGAAGTCAGGGGAATTTCCTAACCCTAACCTTAATCAAGCGGCGAAATTCTCGTCAAGGCACTGCACCAGTTCCCTATTGGTACCAGGGAGATATCATGCAAATGACACCCATCTGACTCTAAGTAACTGTAGAATCACGAGAATCTTACTCCACGAGCCTTCAAACACCGTTGCAAGAAGGTTCAAGGCTGTCACCGGGCCACAGTGGCGAGCGGCAGAGATCGTGGTGGTGACATTCCGTTCCAAATATGGGAATGTCACGCGCACGTGATGTGACAAACGGCGAAATTTCTCTGACAAAATCCCCCCCGGAGAATTTTTAAAAAGTGCTCCGACCATTGTCTAGATATCATCCCTAGGGTTCTGTATATGCAACAATAAGTCATGAAACCCCCGAATGAGTGTTCCATTCAGGAAATGGTTCCACGGCACAAGGCTTGCCACGAAGTGGCTAACGCCACCATACTTCATTCACGTTTTGGGTGTATAAACCGGCATTCCACCCCTCTCGAATAAAATGCTGCTGGAATGATGTGGCGGTGGCCCCAAGCGCCTGGAGTGGAGAGTTCCTACTGCGCCCGCAACCCCTGTGGCCCCTGTCGCGTCCCGCTTTCTACCACTCACCTCCATCCCACCTCTCATACCAATAGACATCTTCCCCGTTCATATGCTCTCTTTCAAATCCCACTCAGCCGCACCAGACCACTCTTTCGAGCTTCGAGACACTGTCGACTGGAGCGTAGGATGCGTCCGGACGCTCGAACAGCATGCGGATGTGGTCGCTTTGGCTTATGATCCTGTCACCAGCTTGCTTGCCTGTGGTACGTGTGGTCCACGTCAGAGACTCTGTCATCAATTGGCTGCTGAATGCCCTCTCACTGTGTTGGCTTGGATGGGTTGTGGTGGTGTAGGAACGACGAAAGGAATCGTACGAGTGTTCGGCGCGCCCGGTGTCGAGATGGACGTGAAACTTCCACAACCTGCATCGGGTCAGGCTGGCTTTAAGTTTCTTCAGATTGCGTGCAATGTCTCGAAGCTCCTTTGTATAGGTGCGTTGTCAATGCCTTCGGTCTCTTATGGGTATGAGTATGGCTGAGTGTGTATACTGAACTCGAAGAACTGGTGGACAGATGAGAAGAATACCCTGTATCTTTGGGATCTTAGTGCGCCACCAGGAGTGTCGCTGAAGTTGGAAGCTACTGTGCATTTCGAGGATCCCGTCAAGTATGCAGGCTCCCCCCTTTTGAAATCGTCGATGATAGGCTACATTTTGACCCAATTACACTGCACTACAGCTCTATTGTGCTATCCCCTTCGCATACCCATGTGTGTTGCCCGTCCCGACCATTCTCTCGTGGATAAGCTCACCGATTATTACACAGGCCTTCCTTGCTCTCGAATCAGGAAAAATCAAGACGTTCGATCTGCTTTGTAAGAAGACATCGCCATACACAGTGCCGAATGCTTGGAAACTGTTTGAGGAGAAGTTGGCAGCGACAGGGATGGCGCTGGCTAAGTCTGATCCTGTTTCGTCAGTGTTCAAGTTCCTCTTCATCAAATCAGTCGGTTTGAGTAAAATGTTATTGTGCTCACTGGGGCTTGTGTATGAAGACAGGTACCGGTGGATGTGGCTATTCATCCGCGGAATTTGAACCAGTTGTTTGTAGTCTATGGAGGTAGGAGCTTCTCTTCAGAAAATCTCTTGGTCCTTTCTCACCACAGCGTTTAAACGTTCTCTACAGGTGGAGTCGCACTAGTAGATCTGGTAAAGATTCTCAAAAATATATCCTATCCTCTCTGACCTGTTCGAGTAGCGAGAGAAGGCCACCATCCGAGAATACCAACTCGTCGTCCCTGCTGGAGCACCTGGTGGCGAAGGCTACTCAAGCCCAGTAGGCATCTAGCATGTACAAATTTTTCGTGCCATCGAGCTTATGTTACACAGGGTCTTCTAACCCACCGACATCCCTCCGTAACGTCCTTCACTATCCACCCCTCGGGTCACTTCTTCGCCGTTGGGCATATCGACGGCTCCATCGCGTTCTGGGCCGTCGAGGACCAAGACCAACCCCTCCTCGTCCGAACGCTAGATGACCTCGACGTCAATGTCGTCGATGGTGATGCCCTCGATGAACATTTTCCCAGCGGAGACGCCTCCCAAAAACGTACACCTCATCGCGGAAGAGAGCCCATCTTCAAACTCACATGGAGTGGATTCCCTAACTCATCTGACCCTCGCGGAGGAGAAACGTCCCTCGTTATCCTTGGAGGCCAGTTAGGCGGTGACGCTAACGGTGTCAACGTCCTCTGGCTTCCAGCCTTCAATCCTCCTGAGCCTCCCGCAACTGCAACCCAGTCGCATGGTCTACATCCACACTTTCGAAACGCCATGCGCTCATCACTCGACCCTGTGAATGCTCACTTCTACGCTACATCTGGAGTGACACAGGATTTCCTGCTCATACCCAAGGATACCCCACATTTCGGTGGGACATACGGTCCGGCAGACATCATCTTCATCGCAGAAGGAGAGCACGGTTCCCGCGCCGTCGAAGCTTACGAGTTCCCTCCACTCGAATTTCTCGCCCCACCAGAATCCGAGGCCCAAAAACTGAGAATGAAGCTCCCACCGCCCCCTTCCGCTATGGAATCTGGCCAGGACGACCATGACGCTGCCATGGAGGCGCTGACTTCAGATTTGGAGTCGACGTTGGATAGTATGCAGATTACACATGAGCCTCGGAAGTCGGACTTGCCGGTTTCGCTCTGGAGTGGACCGAATGCGATGGTGAGGGCTGAGTTAGTGGCGGTGGAAAAGGCTGGGTATGAGAGGTTGTTGGAGGGATTGGAGCATGAGACGTTGAAGTTGCCGACGAAGGGAGGGGTTTCGGTTCCGGATGAGGACGTGCTCCAGGATGCTAAAATGACCAAGGTGTTCATGCTTTGGCTTTCATGCTATGTTTGCATCCGTCACTAACACCGTTGACGTATAGTTCGAACCTCGCCGGATTATCGTTACCCAAAATAAAGACATGACCATCCGATTCCTGGATGCCTCCGTTCAGCTCCTCACACTCAGCGGCTCACCAACGCTGACCACACCATTCCCGAACCCACTCCATGCACTTACGATTGATGTCATGGCTGTGCTCACCTCTATTCTACAAACATCTTCCGCATTCATAAATCAAGCTCGAATAGAGCGTGTTATCTTCACGACAGAAGCGTTGGAGGTCGCTGTCGTACTGGTCAGTGGAGAGGTCATTGTGTATAGGTTGCACGATGACGCACAGTCCGATATCAAAGGGGTTCAGATGGAGGAGCCATTTATACACCTGGGACATGTGAACGTAGAGAAGGGGCTGAGGTTCAGGCCTGCATTTATGATAAACTCCTCGATTCCGACCTCTGCATGTACGATGTGTGATGTCGGTGAGTCTCGTGTACTCATCAGCTCATCCGAATTCGGCTGACTTTTGTCCTTCATCATGACAGGGTTTATGGCAGTAGCGTATACGGACGGTTCTTTGTCCGTTGTGAATATGCGGGGGCCCTCTACGATTCTTCACGTGGAGGGTGATACGGACCATAAGTCGAATCATCGGCATTCGCTCCTCAACAAATCGTCCGGAGTAGATCCTATCGGCTCCCTCATCTGGATAATATGCTCTACTCGTTCAGGTCAGTGACCCCTCTTGCAATATTCGTTGTTCTACTCACGCAGACCGACGCTCTGCGCAGATCGTGCTCCCCGACTTCGTCTCATGGCCACACGTGAATCAGGCCATACCAGTACATACACCCTCTCGAGATCAGACCACGGATCCTGGTCCATCACTGCTCCTCCAAAAGATAGTCAAATCGAGACCGTATCCCATCCACTCCAGAACGGCACATTCATCATGGACGCACGAACCGGCGCACCCTGCAAAGCTGACCGGAACCGTTTCTCCATCGCTCTACAGTCCGGACCGCCTATCAGCAGTCCCACTCCGAGTATCAGAACTAGAAAATCCAGCGATGAAGACGAGGGGCCTCAAACATTCATGATCATTGCGGGCGCAAAGGGTGTACGCTGTTTTGCCGATTTAGGCGAGGAGAAGGTGTCAAAGGCGGATTGGGGGAGTAAAGCGGGGAGGATAATGGAGGTTCAGATCGTCGGACGGAACGCTTCGTATGCGCTCGTGGCGTTTACGGAGTCGCAGGACGTCTTGGTTTATTCGCTCCCTGCCCTGGAACATATGCATACCTTCCCTATTCCCTTTTCTTCTCCCCCTTCTGCTTCTTCGTCGATACCGCCATCAGCAGACATCACGGGCGATTTTTTCACTTTCACTCCTCTCGACCCGTCGAACGAGAACTCGCCGATTACGGCCATGCACATAAACACCCTCTTCAATATCCGACGCGCCTACCACGTTCCGCTCGTCTCCCTGACGGAGGGTTATGCGGCAGGTAAACCTATACCTCCTCAGCCACAGCCCGTGGGATTAGGGCCTGCAGGTTTATTCAGCGGATTGGCGTGGCTTGGGGGGTATGTGGGACAGGCTGAGGTCGCCATGACGGGGGAGCAGGTCGATGCGTTGCGTATGTGTCTCGCTCATCTCGTTCTTCTTTCCCTGTCAAATTTGTCATGTCTGACTGTTTTTTCTCGGCATCTTTGTGTCTGTTAGTGGCAGGCCCAAACAGAGTGATACCTGAGCGACCACCACCGAGGGTAGCATCGGGAAGTAAATATAATGAATGGCAGGCGGGAAGCAAAGCTTCGAACGCTGCTGCTTCGGCGGGTCGGGCGCAGGGAGACTTGTATAATCGGTTGCGTGCTGCTGTTTCGGAGAGAGGGTGAGTGCTTAGACTTTTGACCGTTGGCTAGACCAGAATTTTTGGAGGGGTGATGCTGATTACGGTGCTTCTTCCGGTGGCGCATAGGGAGATGCTGGGTGATCTGCAGGAGAGCTTTAATTCGTTGGAGGAGGGGAGTAAGAGTATGGTGGCGCAGGTGAGAGCATCATTCCTGCAATCCGGGTTCTTTGTGATGGAATCATTGATTGTTTTCACAGGCAAAGAGACTGGCCACTCAGCAGACTGCCAAAGGCTGGTTCTCGTTCAAGTGAAAGTACTGTCAGATTTGACCCCATTGTAAGTTGCGGTATTTGAGAAGTCGTGGCGGTGTGTAGAGCTCTTCGACCTTGAGACGTGTATCATCACAGACATATGTCATACGAGTATTGTTGTACAAGAACCATGTTACAAAACGATCCCAAATATGGGAGACGGTTCAATCTAACATTGGCATGATCACTTTCCCATGAACTTCGCGGTAATGTTGGCAGTAATCTTCTTTCGCTCCTCGTTGAGCATCCCGAAAAACCCATCGTCGGACGTGGTCTCCCGCTTATGATCCCACTCCTCCTGGTGATGCGTCACCTTGTTGGACTGGTCGAGCTTGAGGGTGAGAAGGGAGTTGACGGTCTGATTGACGGATACATTTAATCAGCAAGCCAAAATGTACCATGAATTTGACGAGAAGTTACCTTGGTGGGCGAGCTATCCGGCTTGCGGTAGTACGCCACGTCCTGGTCGATGAGAAGGAATGACTTAGGGAGCGAAGGTGGGTTCTGAAGGATACGGAACTTCTCGATATCGGCGCGCGGGAACAGCTGTGAGCGAGATGTTGATCAGACATATTGTACATACAAAATAAACTGGAGGGGAAGGAGACGTTGTTACCTTCGGGAGAGCATCAAACTGAGCACGGATGGTCTCAACGCCTTCAGCGTAGCCAATGGGGTCATGGAAGATAGCGTCCTTGGTGTAGATGTCATAGGTGCTCTGCAACATTATTGAACAGCCATAAAGATTACATGGGTCACGAACCATCAGCAGAAGAAAGTGAAAGCTGGTTCACCGATTGAGGTTTGCAAGTGTAGAGCTCCTTCAGCGATTTGATGATAGATTCCTCATGAGGTTCCGCAGAGCGCTCAGACAGAGCCTTAGATTCGTCAGGCTTCAAGCCAGAAAAGTTGGTATCATTGGGACTGCTGGAGGGCATGTTGAAATATTGACTAGAAGAGAAGCTGCGTCTGGCCGATACAAGAGACGGAGAGAATCTCGTGGAGGAGCTGCGAGTGATGAAGTGCGAAGGCAGGGGGCGAAAGATAATCATAGGTGTCAGAGCGAGCGGAAAGGTTCTTATAGTTTTTTAGGCCGAGGATTGGGAAACCGAAGTGAGTAGGAGACGGTACAAAGAGGGACGTGCGCTCGATGGGATGCGGGGATGATGTCGTTCACTCGATCTCTCCGTCATTCAGATAAACGGGCTACGAGAGTTCTCAAGAAATACCATCCATTTCAAGCCAGTAGTACCGAGACGAATATAATATATGATAATACAGATCAAGAGAAAGGGTTGGAGGACACATTGACAGGAGAGACTTGGGAGAATCCGTTCGGTGCTTATTCAAGCTGTTTGGGAGGGCCAGATGTGGCACTCCTTTTCCGTAGTAGTGTATTGGTACATACTTTGCTACGGATAGGGATATTGGTCCTTAAGGGCCCACTTTGTATCCTGAATAAACCTTCCTTCCTTGAACGGAAGTTGCCGGGTCGCGGAAGGTGTGGCACTGCTCGTGCAGTGAATCTTGTACACGTCCTCCTCCAGCATACTCCTCAACCAGCTTACTGCGTTATACTCGAAACCGTTACGACCATAAGCGAACCCTGACATACCTTCTGTTTAAACTCTGCTCTGTGACTCTATGGCGACCTACGACTCCCTCCACCGGCAATGCCGAACCCTCGAATCCCTCTTCGACACCAAACTTACATCCTACGCCCGTCTCGCATCTACCATTTCTCGGCCAGGCGTAGAAGACGTCGAAGCGGAAGGTTCAACAGCAAGGGTGCAGGACGTAGAACAGGATGTTCAGGAGCTGCTGGAGAAGGTGCGCCCCTAATTCTCTATACGTCTCTATTGCCTCGTTCTTAGACGATGCTATGGGCGCTCCGCAGTTAGGAGAGGCGAACGACCAGCTTTCGACTTTGGCGAATGATACGGAGAATCCACCGTCACAGTCTATGCTACGTGCGATTCAACGGCATAGGGACGTGTATCAAGATTATGTGCGGGAGCTGAGGAGGACGAAGGTATGTTCGCAGGGTATGCTCTACGCGACGTGCAGTCTTACTTACATTACTATATGAACCACTGTATAGGCGAATGTGAAGGCTGCCCTAGACCAAATAAACTTGCTCAGCGGGGTTCGGAACGATATTGAGTGCGCTCCTCACATTACACCGTATGAGCGTGAAATACTGACCGATACCTATTGTCGTCCAGTGCTTACAAGTCTTCAGCGACGGACTCTCTTCTAGCTGAACGTGGTCGGATCGACTCATCACACCAAATGATTGACGAGACGCTAGAGTATGTTATTCCCTTTGCTCTCCAGCTCTGAACAAGAAATATATCTTCGTTGTCTCTTTTTTAGTCAAGCGTATGCCACTCGCTCTGAATTCGCATCGCAACGAACGGCTCTCGGTTCCATTCAAACTCGTATGGTCGGCGTTCTCAGTATGTTCCTGCCATACTTGCTTTCTTCCTCCACTATGATGCTGATTACCATTATCTCTTCAGATACGATGCCCGGCATCAACAACCTACTCTCTATGATCCATAAACGGCGACGAAGAGACTCCATGATCGTCGGGGGGCTGATTGGGGTTTGCTTGTTCTTTTTGTTGACTTATCTGTTCCGGTAGGATTGTTTGAAGCCTACCACCGACTTATACCACTTGTTTTATGGACTTTTGCGGACTGTACGTACTATACTATTGCATCTTGCTGTATCCTTTTGTCAGTATAATGTTCCAGAATATATAGCATGCCAACAACTTGTCTTTACAGATAAGCTCAAGCTACATAGATTTCGTTCTCATTCGAAACGGTGCGAAAGGAATCGTTTTTTATGTCTTCCTTGCACAGATTTTCGCCAGTTTGCCTCCAACCTTCTCACCACGCCCCAACTCTCTGGGTTCGACTCATAATCGAATAATCGTAGGAAAGACAGACGCTCCTCGGGTAAAAGCTTGCTTGGAGCATGTCGAATTGCGATCCACAGCATGACCCATAGGAGGGACTCAAGTTCATCACTAATTGTGTGATACTTCTTGTCCATGAGGAGGGCAACCGATAAAAACCGAAAAGTCCCCTGTGCAAGAATAAGACTGGGGAATGTGAAGGAACAGCGTAGTCATTCACAGTACGCTCTCCAGCTCTTAGGGGCGTGTCGTTCATCCTAGCGAGCTCCCACTCACCCGAGAGTGTATCGAAGATTGCGAGTCCGCATAGAAAGGGTGTTGACGCTAATCCCCATGAACAGAATCCAGAAGCCCGCAGGTTCTCTATTTGATAGAGTCGGGTGGCGTTTATCTCGTTCATACTTACGCCACAAGCGTATCAGAAACAGAAAAAGACGTAAATATCTGGAAAGTTACACCGGAAGAGAGCCCAAAAGAATGATAGGACGGCGGGGAAGAAGAGGGAGTATTGGGTCATTCAGTGGCCTTAGAAAAGGTACGAGAGGAAAGTGAGCAAGGAATAGAATGATGTAATAAGATATTTACCCTTGCATTTCAGCGTTGTCCAAGGTGTTGACGGGTCTCTTAGAGTGAAGCTGAGCTGACAGCGATGATCGCGCGAGCTCCAATTCAATCTTCATTGTCCCAATCATCCCACTTGGAATCCTTTCGGTTGGGCTTAACAATCTTCTTATGTCTTCCCTTCACAAATCTCAGCCAGTTTGCCTCCAACCTTCTCACCACGCCCCAACTCTCTGGAAACCCATCCTTCATCCTTTCCTCCCCCCTCTCACTATCGGCTCCCGCACCGCCATCGGCATCGGCATCAGGATCAGTATCGGCATACTCACCCCACGACTGTTCGATCCGCCAACCACGTTCACGGGAGACGGTGAGGAGTATATCCCACGTCTGCGAAGCCAAGTATTTAGCGTCGCCATAGTCCGATTCGATGAGGAGACGGGTAGGCGAGCAGGATTTGATGAGGGCGATGTGATTTGGTGAACGGCCATTTATAGCGGTTGAAAGCGAGAGGAAGACGTTCGCATGATGTTTCTATTAGAAAGACATGAACGACATCAGCGTATGATGCGTAACAGGACAGACAAAGAAGGGGAGTGTTGAGTACGGACCTCAATCTCCGTCCAGACTTGCGGACTCATACCACAACTATGCATATCCACACTTATCCTTAACCATTCCTCGCCATATTTCTTTGCCATCCGATCCAAGAAATCGCGAGTCGGTTGGGGAGCTTTGACGCTGTGGATGCTCACGTTTCGATGGAGTTGGATGGCGAGGGAGAGTTGGGCTTCCAGAATTGAGAGTTGGTGAGGGAGGGGAGTTATGAAGGGTGAAAGTTCTCGACGGGACGTTATTGGGTCTGCTGAACCGTCTTCCGGGGTACAACACGATCGAGGGGAAGACTGTCGTGACAAGGGGAAGGGTACGCGTGCGGCACGATCGATACCTACTTCGCCGAGCATGGCGTTAGGATGTGCTTCAAGGTTCGAGCGTAGGTCGTGGAGGAGATCGGAGAGGAGATGAGGTGCTGGTAGGAGAGCCACCAAACGTGTGAAGGCTTCTTCGTGCTCTGGACGTACGGGTCCGGATGAAGATATGAGGAAGAGGGAGCGGTAGTGGTCCTCTTTTGATGTTGGAGGCGTAAGGGCTATGGTATGGGAGAACCATGGATGGTAACCTGTGGGGAGGATAGACCGTTGGTTAGTACTTTGCTGTGCGAATATAAATACGAGTGTGCTCCGATGGTATGCAAGTACGTGCCGAATGCTGGCGTGACTTTGTCTGGCCATTTCTTGGCGAGAGTGGCTACCCTTTCCTGGTCTAAAGCTGTGGTCGCCATCGCACAGATATGAATGGGAAGATCGTCCATCGTTTGGTCATCGTAGGGAGTTTCGACAGGGTGACAATGCACATCGACGATATGGGCCAGAACAGATGGGTCCACCGAGTCCAGAGATGGACCTTTCTCAGCTATATCAGACAACATAGCCTCTTCAGAAAGACGAGGAAGAGATCGCTAGTACTCAATCGCCAGAGGATGTTAAGGTGAGAGGCAGAGTGCAAGTGTGGCACCGCCATGACGTTCCTGCTGACTTTCTTGTGTGGCGTCTCTTCCGTGGCCAAGTTGCCGGATTTGCAGATCTGTGGCGAACTTTTCAACGGTCATTTCGACTTGACTCCCTTTCACCGCCGTCGCTACCTAAAATCTGTAGCTCATACCGGAGGAACGACAGCACCCCCCTGCATGACCCTTCCCCTCCGACTTTTCTCTCGTCATCTCTGTAAATACGCCCCTAGAAGCTCCAAAATAAATCATTGGCTATCTACTTCATTCTCTCAACAAAACCGATCATTCACCATGTCCGTCTCCCAACGTGCGCTCGCCATCGACACCTCACCTCCACCTGCGCGATGGATGAAAGAAACGCTCGACCGTTCCGCTTTTCATCGCACGATCCCTGTTCTCGCTGCGCGCGTCGCCCCCGCGAAGGCCGGTATCCTCCTCAAGGCTGATGTGATGAGACGGTGAGAAGCTCTTGGCCTAGCTCTTCGCTACATGATACTTGCATATGGTGTACACTCGTACATCATCTATTCTTCTTCTCGATGATTTGCGGTTGGTGAGGAGGGGAGGCTTTGGTTCCTTGATCTCGTTCCTCGGGCAGCTCGGAGGCTGGAACTCGAGGCTACGAGGGCTGGAGATCATAATTCAGTGTTGAGTGGCGGCAAGGATAAACGCTGATAGAGACTGTCGTTGTGTGGTGGCTTTGTCTCTAGGACGATTATGAACTTGCCGAAAGTAAGAACTGTGTTATCTGACCCGGAAGACCCGAAGGGGAGTAGGCTTCTGTTATTCAGAGTTCAGCAGGAAGGTGTGTGGGTGCTCCGTTTACATTTAATCGTCACTTGTGGGGCGAATCAGAGCTGGAGCTGACCAACGGGCAAGGTAGCTGATTTATCGGAGGAAGCGAGAGCGTTTTTGAGTCAGCAAGAGGCGATTCTGACGAGCCATGAGCTTCAGCTTGATTATGATTATTGGACGGCAGGTGAGTTTTGAAGAGGCTTATGAGTGGCAGATAGGTTGCTGATTTGAGACACATTGTAGACGAGATTCTGCAGGCTGTTCTCCCAGAAGAGCTGTTGGAAGGCTCTCCTACAGGATTCGCGATCACGGGCCACCTTGGTCTGTTGACCGACTATACTTCACCGATCATAACTCTGACCCGTATCACAGCTCACATGAATCTCAATGCCGAGTACCTACCGTACAAACACATCATCGGTCAGGTTGTTCTCGATGTAAGGCTCACCATTCACCACAGACGACCGATCGTCATAATGGGCTCATATCTTCCGACATCCAGAAAAACAAAAGGCTTCGAACTGTGGTCAACAAGCTAGACTCCATCGACACGAAGTTCCGTTTCTTCAAGATGGAGCTGATCGCTGGTGAACCCGACTTTATCGTGGAACATGTACGACTCCTCTAGGTCTCTCCATCCACACTTTACTAAGGCCGTCTACAGCACGAATCCGATTGCCGCTTTACATTCGATTTCTCGCAAGTATATTGGAACTCGCGATTGCACACAGAACACGAGCGACTCGTACAGTTATTCCAGCCCTCAGATGTTGTTGCGGACGTCTTTGCTGGTGTAGGGCCGTTTGCCGTTCCTGCTGGGAAGAAAGGTTGTGCAGTTCTGGCGAACGACCTGAACCCAAACAGCTATAAGTACCTGGAGCAAAATATTCACGATAACAAGGTTCGTCCTCAGCTCCGCTTCGTTATGGGGTTTTTCTGACTAAACATTTAGGTTGCTGAACTTGTACGAGCGTCCTGCGAGGATGGCAAGGACTTCATTAGATCATCTGTCCTGACGGCCTTGGAGAACCCCTTTCCTGCTTATGCTGGACCAAAACTTACAAAAGCACAATTGAAAGAAAAGCGTCGGAAGCAGGGCCAGCCGGAGGATTCGGCGGTACCTACGCAACCAGAAGACCCCTCACCGCCATTTCTACCACCCCGTAACCGTATTGCGCATTTTGTTATGAATCTTCCGGACTCTGCTATCACTTTCCTCGGTGCCTTCAAAGGTCTGTTAGCCAGCGGCAAGCTACGTGAGGTATATGAAGGCGGAATGCCGGTGGTCCATTGTCACTGCTTCACGAGGGAGCTGGAGTTAGAGGTTGCTGAGAAAGATATCCGACAGGTACGTTCTGAGTCAGTAATCTTCTTTCTCGGACATTGGGCTGACCATCTCCTGTTATCGGACGAATGTTGGTGCTGTATAGCGTGTGGCGGCAGAGCTTGGGTATGAACTGCAGGAAGAGGATGAAGTATCTTTGCACTTGGTACGATCTGTAGCACCGAACAAGGACATGTACTGTATCAGCTTCAGACTGCCTCGCCAAGTCGCTTTTCTCGATGCGCAATGAACAGAAAAGACTTACTCCTTTACTTTGAGATGACCGGCGCCACACGGGACGTGCATTGAGCGCCTGATTATGGACGAAGGGCGATGATTGGCCGGGAGCGAAGGGTTTCGGAGGTTTGTGGGTTTGGACTCGAATGGAAATTCCGAGCGTCGCTGTCGTTTCCCCGCCTTTCCGGACTTGAGTCGACTCCAACGTCCGTCCCCGCTCTCCCTGCTCGTGCTTGCTTAGATCGCCCTCGACGTCGCTCGTTGGCCCCATCGATACAGCGTATACCCATCCCGGTCTAGACGACATCTAATTCTTTCGAAAAACTAGGCCGATTCGCTCATTAGCTCTCTATTCAGTGATACATCTGCTCAAGTTCGCCTTGCTCTACTACTAACATGGATCCCAACGCCGGTTCTGGTTCGAAAGCATCTGCGACGGCCTCGCGCGTTCTAGAGTCGGTGAAAAGTGTCGCGAGGGTGCAGGATAGCGAGCTGCAACGTTGGCACAAGACCTTCGATGCGAATGCGAAGACGGTGGTTGACGGAGAGAAGTACGTTCTTCCCCCTGCGCTCGTTCTGGGCTTTCACAGTTCAACTCTTTGCTCACTGGTCATCTGCACCCTTCTTCTCTGTCTCACACCCAATAACTATATTTGTTTTCTTCTTTACGCCCTGTTTGCGGCGTTCGTGTGACCTCGTGCTTCATCGTGACCCCGGGATTATTTCTCCCCCTCCGCCACCACCTCCACCGTACCTCGTCCTCCATCGCCGAGCACAGATTCTTGGACGTCGACCAATTTGTCAATGCCATCGCACCGTCGGGCGACCTGACGCGTATCGGCCGTGCTCAGTTCGCTATCCTCTTCCGTGTGGCCGACAGTGCGAAAAGAGGCCGCGTTTCGTGGGATGATTTTACCGTGTTCCAGACCTTGCTCAAGCGTCCAGACGCAGACTATTGGATCGCCTTCCAGTATTTTGACGTGTGAGTTGGTCTGGTTTATCCCCTTGCTGCGCTACGATATTGTGTGATGCTGAAGCCGTTACTGGGTTGACGGGTGTAGTGATAGCTCTGGGACTATTACTTTCGATGAGTTCAAGAATGTGTTTTCGGCCAATGTTGGTCGGGATGCTATCCCTTTCGATTTCAACTGGTGAGCGGGATATCTGGGGATCTGTATTTCTAGTCGATGAACATTGTTTGGTAGCGATTGGGTCAAGCTCTATCTCGGAAAGAAGAATGGGACTCACGTCCTTGGATGTGAGCATATTCGAGAACACTCACGTCCATGCACCATTCCTGACAGTCATACTTGACAGACAATGAGTTTACCCAACTCCTGAAAGGCCTCCAAGGCGAACGTCTACGCCAGTCTTTTGCCTACTTGGACGACAACCAGGATGGATTCATCAGGCCGGACCAATTCAAGAGGATCATCCTGGTCCGTCTCGTCACTTCGCTCTCATATATACCCGGGGTGCCACAGCCACTAATTTAACTGACCCGCCACACAGGAAATCGCGGGCCACAAACTGTCTGACGCCGTCATTGACCGTCTGCCGACACTGACTACTCTCAGCCCCGGAGGACGCATATCGTACTCTGAAGTCATCGCGTTCCATAATGTCGTTCGAGGTGGGCACTTTTGACATTCACTAATGAAGCTCCTTTCAAACAAATTACAAATATTCAGAGATGGACATGGTCGAGCGGTACGGACACCATCTATGTTCCGTTACACAGAGTCCCTGATTGTTTTTTGCAGTGTCCTCCGCGAAGCCACCGCTAAGTCGAAAGACGGTCGGATCGACGAGGCCGACTTCATGAACCACGCAGCCCTGAGCTCGCGCTATTCGCTGTTCACGCCCATGGAGGCGTCCATCATCTTTCACTTTGCCGGACGAGGTGTCGGTGGGCAGCGACTTGCATTGATCGACTTTGCGCAGTTGTTGGACCCTCGGTGGAAGGCGCCCGGGGACGCCAGCGAGGTGCATAATATCGCGGAGACGTTGTCTGTCGGATTGCTCCATCAGGTGGGAGAATCAGCGTATCATTTCGTTCTTGGAGGTGCGTGATAACTCTAGTTCATCGTACTTTGACCAGATGATGGAATGTGACTGTTGGTAGGTATCGCTGGAGCGTTCGGAGCCACTATCGTTTATCCCATAGATCTCGGTACAGTTCGTTTTGCTCTTGACATCGTCCAAAGACTAAGAATTTTCTCCGTGATTGTTTGTCGGCAGTGAAAGTAAGGGTCCCATTGTTCCAAGACCGAAAATCGCCTAATAAGCCAAACTTTCCAGACTAGAATGCAGAACCAACGTAGCACGGTGGTCGGCCAGCTCTTATACAAGAACAGCATGGATTGTGTGCGAAAAGTATTCCGCAATGAAGGCTTCCTGGGTTTCTATCGTGGACTGGGTCCTCAACTAATCGTCAGTCCGAGCGCTGCTCGCAATGCTGGGTGCAGGTACTGATCGAGGTGAACCAATCAGGGTGTCGCTCCAGAAAAGGCCATCAAGCTCACCGTCAATGATCTCATCCGTGGGCGCGCAATGGACCCAGAGACCGGACGGATTAAATTGGGATGGGAGCTGGTAGCCGGTGGTACTGCTGGAGGTTGTCAAGTGGTGCGTTAGAACGGCGGCCATCCTTCGCGATGCATACTGATTCTTTTGTACCGTACCAAGGTGTTCACCAACCCACTGGAGATTGTGTATGCATGTCCACGCTCGCCGTGGCGGTTCACATCAGACTGATCTGTGCCTTGCAGAAAGATCCGCTTACAGGTCCAGGGAGAGGCGGCCAAGGCTGAGGGTGCGCTGGCCAAGGGCGCCGTTCACATTGTTCGCCAGCTGGGTCTCGTCGGTCTCTACAAGGGAGCAAGTGCATGCTTGCTCCGTGACATCCCATTCTCTGCGATCTACTTCCCCGCGTATTCACATCTGAAGAAGGACATCTTCCATGAAGGTTATCAGGGGAAACGATTATCATTCCTTGAAACTCTGACCTCCGCTGCCATCGCGTACGCACATTCATCCCGTATGTGATCTCAAGTAGGCAATGCTGATCGCATCTTTGATGCCCCGCCGTCTACAGTGGAATGCCTGCGGCATACCTGACAACTCCGGCAGGTAAGAGAAATCTAGACTACAAAGTCACGAAAGATGGTATCACGGTCGCTAACGATTTGGCAGATGTGGTGAAGACTCGCTTGCAGGTGGAAGCACGGAAAGGGCAGACACACTACAAAGGCCTCACTGATGCGTTCGTCAAGATTTGTGAGTTGTGCCGCATTTTGTACCGTCATCTGTTGATCTATCGCTGAACGGGACACTGTGGCTGTCCCCCTGTCGACAGACCGAGAGGAAGGGCCCCGCGCGCTGTTCAAAGGAGGACCTGCTCGTGTCCTGAGAAGTAGCCCGCAGTTTGGATTCACTCTCGTCGCGTACGAGTACCTGCAGAAGGTCCGTTCGCTCGTTGTCTTCTCGCGTGTCGTTGTTTGTTCTGACGTCGTTCGCTCTAGTACATGCCGGTGAGTGCTTCCTCGACGATCGCACGGGCTATAAGAATCCCGGACTTATCTGCTTTGTTACCTAGTATCCGTTCAAGGAACAGCCTCGAGAGGTACAGACGGCTCTTACCTCGGGACCTTCTGAGGACATTGCCAAGACGCGTGCGAGAAATGCACTCAAGATCTTATTGGATGTCCATGGAGATTTTGGTAGACGCTCGTCGGTTTGAGCACGTAGATAGATATACATGGAACAGTTCTTGGTGCACACATCGCGGGAATATTACAGGTTTTTTCTCATGCGGGACTGATCGGAACCGGTAGGGGACCAATAAGCCGCGTCGCCAAGCGGGGTTGGTTGCGATACGATGCCGGGCGGTTATAGCCTGGGCCAATAGGCGACGAGGATTCTTATATGTGTTGCACGACCTTGGAAAGGCAGAGGAGAAGCACTGCATGAGCCTGTGGGCACGACAACGGCGAGATGACCGAAAGAACTGATTGATGTCTGATCGTCCACTCCCTCGGACCTTCTCCCCTCATAAGCATACGTTTCCTCGCGAAAATGCCTTCCCACCCCCTCTGCCCTCTCTCCTCCTTCGTTTTTCGGCGGGTCTTCGTTCGTTTTCGTTTCTTTCTACCTCCCCTCTTTTGTCTTTTTAGCGGTGAGTGTTTCCCCGACTCGGGGCATAGCCTGTCTAGTTCGTTGTACTGATTTTCAACGAAAATATTGTCGTTCCTAGAGCGCTTGCTTTCCAGCCAAAGCATTCCCGCACCCATCTTTCTACTGCTAGACAGTATCGCCCAGCGTAGACCGCTTGCTTTTCCGATCTTTTCTTTCCGACCCGCCTTTTTTTGCTTGACGCAACACGAGCTTTAATTCACGGCTTTCCAGCAGCCTTCCTTTCGTTTATCACCGTACTTCGTTCAAGTTCACGATGCAGTCAATCGCCCTCCTCCTCTCTCTGGCCGGCGCCGCCTCCGCGCAGATCGTCAACGGCGTCTCGATGGTCCCCATTAGCGCCGCCTCCACCACAGCCGCATACGACTCCTCATCCGCCGCCGCCACAGCAGCATACGATTCGTCAGGCGCGAGCTCGAGCGCGAACGGGTACTATGGATCAGCAAGCTCGAGTGCTCAAGCTTACAGCGCGGCGGCTACCGGCTACTCGGCGGCTTCAACTACTTCCGCGGCTCCGGCGTCGTATACGACCCCGCCGCCTTCGACTTCGACGGATATGTCGTATTCGTCGTTTATGTCGGGGGGTTACTCGAGTATGAACTGTGGGTATGGGTATTCAAAGGCGTCGGATGGGTCGTGTACATCTATGTCTTGGGTGCGTGATTTTGGAGTTGTGGATTTCATTGGGAGTTGGGGCTCATGAAGGGCGGGTTTTTAGTATCAAACTGAGGGGTGTTATGAGACGATCATCATCAACCATTCGTGAGTTTCATTATCTGATTTTGTTAAGTACGGAGGGCTGCTTTCTAAGTTGCGTGTGGCGAGATTGCGCGCCACAACTGAGGCCCTCGGATGAGGCACCTTGAGATCTGCAGTTCTGTGAACTCTGCGCGACTTAAAAAGCAGCCCCGTAATTTTCTCACCCAATACTGATTCATATTTACAGAGCAGAGTGCTATGCCTCGACGGTCACTATGACCGAGACGATGACTGCCACTAGCACCATGGTTGAGATGTCGACAGTCACCAGCACCATGACCGAGGTATGTCTCCTCATTTCCGATTCACCCTTGTGAATTCTGACCTCAAATTTGAACCGCAGACAATGACGAGCGTTTCCACTATGCTTGAGACCATGACCGTGACCGCTACGGCCACGCAAACCATGCTCGAGACCAGCACAATGAAGGAGACTCAGACTGTCACCTCGGTTGCCACTGGTGGGTTTTTGGATGTCCTGGTCCTATGGAGACCTTCATCTGAATATGTCTTTTTAGCTACCATGACGGAGGTGTTCAACAACACGGTCACCCAGACCATGCATGAGACCTCCACGGCCACCATGACTGATGTCGTCAACAACGTGAGTGCTTTCATTCTACATCAAGCGGGTTCAAGGCATTGCCGTGATGTGCCCATGTGGTGCATGTACGGAATCCGGACATTGTGCGGGAGGCCTCTCATTGCACTATGGAGCGCCTATGGAAATTTTCTAACTATATTTTGGGATGGACCTGCCTGGACCCGCTCCTGTCAAATAAGCTCTGATGTTCATGGTGGCGTTGTTGCTGACTTTGGATTACCGTTATGTTTAGACCATCTTCGAGACCGCGACTAAGACCATGTTGGAGACCGCCACCCAAACCATGACCGATATCATCAACAACACGGTCACGGATACGGCTACCGCTACCGAGAAGCTCACTGGTTTGTGAACCTTTTTTCTTGTCCTTTCAATGATACTGACTATATCCGGAACAGCTACCATGACAGACTTCGAGACTGCGGTATGCTTTCTCTACGCTTTTCCCTCTCGATTTGATCACTGATTTTTGTTTTGTCGCGCTGAAAGACCATCACGTCTGTGGCCGTAAGTTGACTGGCCTAGTTTCTCTCAATTTCCAAATACTGATTTGTCGTATGTTGTAGGTCTCGACTGAGATTCAAAACAACACCATCATCAAGACCGACCTTGAGACTGCTACTGGTGAATTGACCTTGCCTCCTCACGATGAGGCCGCAAATCTGATCACTGTATTTTATGTCTAGCCACCATGACGGAAGTCTTCAACAACACGATCACTCAGCTCGCCACCAAGACTGAAGAGTTCACTTGTGCGTATTTTTCCATCGCCTAGCGTTGATTCCTGTGTTGATATTCCGAGCATGCAGCTCTTGCGACGGAGACCAAGTCCGTGACCGATGTCGTCAACAACGTACGTCTCCATTTCTTATTTGTTCATAGGTCGTTATTAAATGCGGATTTCCATTTTCTAGACCGTTACCCAGCTCAAGGTAGACCCAGCCTCGTCCTTTGTATCTACGAATCAGACACTGACCGTGATGTTGCGTCGTTCAAGACCGTCGAGGAGACTCAGACTGGTATGTAATGTCTCGCTGAGTTCTTCGTTTTAACTCGTATTGATTCTTCCAACTCTACAGCCACGCAAACCGTTGTTTCCACCGAGGTCATGGTCAGCACCGTGACGCAACCGGTCACCTACACCACGTCCATCCTCAGCACCCAGGTCATCGACGAGGTGAATTTGAACTCGTCTCTACGCATCTCATCATAAACGCTGAACACTTTAACTACGTACATAGACTTCCACTGTCGTTTACACACAATTGGCCACCATGACGGACGTGATGACACAAGTGTCCACTTTCACTGGTCGGTCGATTTCCCCTCATAGAAATGATACTTGTACTGACATCCCGTTAAGCCACAGCTGTGCGTTATTCTACTACCAAATCCCTGATAGGGCGCTTTCCAGCCCCCGGTATCACAATCTGTATCCTGACTGACACCATTCTCTGCTAGACGCAAACCAACGAGATCACCTCCGTTATCACAGGTGAGCTATCTCTTTTTATTGGTTCAACTTCTACGGCTGACGACTTTTCGAAGCGACTGCGACGGCAACTGAGACTGCCACCGTCACCGACACATCGTTGGCCTCGTGTCTCGGCTCTGTGAGTTCCATAGTCTCTACTCGTCCCCTTACTGTCTTCTAATATTGTTTTAGTGCATCTCTCAAATGAGCCTCGCGACCGGAAACGGCTACTCATACAACACGTACGCCTCTGCGATGACCACATCCAGTGTTGCCTACACCACAGCAGCCCCAGCGTACACCTCCTCTTCAGCCGCTGCGTGCTACGGTAGCTCTTGTGGAGCCTCTTCATCAGCAGCAGCCTGTTCTGGTAGCTCGTGTGGAGCCGCTTCCTCCTCTGCCGCTGCATGTTCTGGTAGCTCGTGCGGAGCTGCTTCCTCAGCCGCTGCGTGCTCCGGCAGCTCATGCGGAGGATCAAGCGTAGCCAGCGCTGCCAGTAGCGCATCAGTAGCCTACGCCACCTCATCCGCCGCCAGTTCGTACGGATCTTCGTACGGATCCTCATCTTACGGTCGTCGGGGAGCCAGGATGGCTAGGCATCGTCTGAGCGCGAACGGCTACTAGCCGTGTCGCTGAGTTGGTTTGTTGTTTCCGATGTAGCATGTGGTGACGTCGTTCATGAGCTCTCCCTTTTCCTTCTTGCATACCCGGCTGATAGAGGCATTCAAAACACACGGACCTGTTGTTGTTCTTTTTTCTCACGACGTGATGGACGTTTTTGGCTCCTTTTCTGAACTTACAGTACACTCGGATCGCTGCGCCCGATGATATTGCTCTTACTTGCGCCCGTGAGGTGTGTTTCTTACCGCCACTGCTGGCGTCTTTTTCGTTACTTCGTTTTTTCTTCTGTGTGGTTTTCGATTTCCCGTTGGCTCGCTTCCGGACGCTTTATATTATTATCCTTTCTTCGGGCCTGAGTGTGTAGATCATCCTCCTCATACTCTCTCACACGTACCTGTCCTTTCCGAGTCGGGTAAACTCCATAAACTGCATAACAATGTTGTGCTCACTGGACGTCGGGATGGTGTGAAAGGATGGTATTCGTGGCATATTAGGCGGCGCTGAGTTAACCGCAACGGTGCATTGATATCCATTTTTTTTTTGGTTGGAGACACTGGCAACAATTGCCAATTTCTTCAAGTTCAACGTAGTGCCCGAAAAGGACCAAAATTTGTCTTGTGACATAGATTGGAGTCAACAATGTCATGCTCGGTATCGTCCGTGCTCACCAATCCAAGAACACCATGTTGTAATACGCAGGCACGCCGTGAGAGGCCGTTCGCTCTTGACTCTGTTCCACCATCTCGAGCCTGAGCTATAACGCAAGGCCTGAGTCTGGGACTCAGCATGCTTGTTCATTGGCAAAGATATTGCAGACTCACTGATGGTATCTCTGCTCGTCACTTCGCTCGGGCTTTTGCAAGCTCGTCTTATTGCAAGGACCCAGTGGCGGTGGCAACATCGAGCAGAAAAGCGGCTATCCAAGTCTGTGCTCGTCTCTCAAATGATATGAGGCAAGGGTATACACTAACATGACACGTATAGGAAAAGATCGCACGATTGGACGCAGCCTCTGTTTCTCCTCAACCTCTCGTCGACACCTTTGGACGGCGGCACAATTACTTACGAATATCTCTGACCGAGCGGTGTAATCTTCGATGTCAGTTCTCGATGGCATTCTCACTGTAACGCAGCACTTAGGCAATAAGCATTTTAGGCCAATATTGCATGCCGGAAGAGGGTATAGAACTCTCTCCCAAGGCCAGCATCTTGTCCGATGACGAGGTCATCCGCCTGGCCACATTGTTCGTCAAGAGTGGTGTGACCAAGATTCGGCTAACCGGAGGCGAACCCACTATTCGCAAAGGTATTGTTAATCTGGTCGGTGAGTTGTTCATCTAGAGTGGTTGCTTGCTTTCTGAGCTCACAATCTTGCTCTAGCCCGATTAAATGCTCTCCGTGAACATGGACTATCCTCTATTGGAATGACCAGCAATGGCCTAATCTTACATCGACATCTGGATGACCTCGTGAAGAATGGAATGACCCATCTAAACCTCAGGTATATAGGCTATATACTCTGGATATCGCTTTTAGCACCTCATTGTGATATAAACAGCCTCGATACACTGGATCCGTTCAAGTTCGAGATTATGACACGCCGTATGGGCCACGAAGCTGTCCTTAGGTCCCTACGCCAAGCTCTAGCAAATCCACTACTCCAAGTCAAGTTAAATATCGTGGTCATGAAAGACGTTAATGACGCAGAAGTTCTTCAATTCGTGGAAATGACAAAAGACCAACCGCTTTCCGTCCGCTTTATCGAGTTCATGCCATTCACAGGTAAGTTCGCCCATACCGGGTTTAAGACATATGTTTATATCCGACAATCTAACCTTTCTTGCCAGGAAACAAATGGAACAAGGATAAAATGTTACCGTCCGCGGAACTCGAATCTCGGATCCGCACCTTTCATCCCGGCCTCGTAAAGGCTTCCGATGAATTGAACGACACGGCACGATCCTACACTATACCCGGATATCGAGGCAGCCTGGGCTTCATTTCGAGCATGTCTGACCACTTCTGCTCGTCTTGCAACCGACTGAGACTCACAGCAGATGGACAGGTCAAGGTAAAGCCCTCTGATTCGTGATCATGACAATCAGTCGAAATTTACCGGTAATATCTTAGGTATGCTTGTTTGATCCCAAGGAAATATCCCTACGCGACCAAATGCGGAGTGGTGCCGACGATACTGTTTTGCTCAAAACGATCCGGCACGCACTCTACGGAAAGAAGGAGAAGCATGCCGGTATGGAAGACATCGATGTTATCACAAATAGACCGATGATTCTCATAGGCGGTTGAATGTACCCCTTACCCTCCACCCTTGCTGTCAGTACTCAGCGTTTCTAAATCTGTATACTCACTCACTTACACCGTCTCACTTCTGAAGTACCATATAGCACGTCTCTCGTCCATGCAACCCCTATTGAACAAGAGGACGCCTCGGATCCATGGCTATTTTCTTCTTCCTCCCCATTCAACTCGACATGCTTTAAGTCATGTGCGATATAGCTCCTCCTCGGCCTCCGACTCAACGCCACCAAAGAAACTTACCCATATCGACAGTACGGGACGACCGGCCATGGTCGACGTCTCTTCCAAAACCTCCACCATCCGAACTGCAACTGCGACAGGGCGGATATACCTGCCTCGTGCAGCCTACAAATTAGTCTCTCCTCCACCGGACCCAGCGCTGAAAGCCGGTCTCCCGAGAAATGAATTAGAGAAGGCGAAGGAGAAGGCGAGGGCCAAGGGAGATGTGCTATTGGTGGCTCAACTTGCAGCCCTGATGGCGAGCAAGCGCACCGCAGACCTCATCCCGCTCTGCCACCCCATTCCGCTCTCGCACGTTGCTGTGACGCTTAGGCCGGAAGATAACGGGAATGAGATATCCGAGGAACGTCGGTTCTGTATCTCATGCGAGGCGACCGTCACTTGTGAGGGTCGTACAGGTGTCGAGATGGAAGCATTGACGGTAAGCGTTACTTGAGCCGTCCACGCACGCTGGTCATCTGATCTATCATTATCATTGCGCTATGAGGCCGTGTCCGTTGGCTTGTTGACTGTCTGGGACATGTTGAAGGCGGTAGCTGGCAAAGAAATGTTGATTGATGAGATTTTCGTACGGGCGAAGTCGGGTGGCAAAAGCGGTGATTTTGTGAGGGGGAATCCGAGTCGAACAATTTGATTCTGTTGGAGAGTTTGTTGAAGCTCTTCGGCAATCCATCATACCCTGCTCCAAATCCGGTGATTTTGGTTTCAAGTTGAGCTGAAACTGTCACCGTCTTACCCTTTTCGCCACTTCAACTCCAGGAGCTCCATCAGCGGTTTGATGTATGACAGGCGAATCATAGATCCCGATGATTTACATGGCTGCGTTCGGACATAGCTCCTTCTCGGGCCACAAAGGACTGCGTCAATTGGAAAGCTTATACTCGACTATCCCGGACATGGATTAGAGACCGGAGAGTTGCTTTTAAATAGTGCAAATAAGTGTAAAGTAGGGTAGGGTAAATGATTCCGTAAGTGCTGGAGCTAAACTCGAGTCCGTTACAGTCGGGGAAACACGTTGGGTAGTGGTGGGGAAAGCTATGGATACAGTGTGTGAGTGCAAGGTCCAAAAAAAGTGAGGATAAATAGCCCGGAAGGGGATGACAAGAGACAGCTCAGTGCAAATTATATGAACAGTAAGTAGCAAGACAATTGCGACTAGCGCTAGACTAGGATGTCTGGGTAAATGAATATGTGAAGATAATATGTTACGAAGGTCCCAAAGTCAAAACTTTACCAATGCCCCCTGGGCGAGCCAGTGGCGAATCCGAGCTCTAAAGAATCTTCTACGCCGTTGATTTTCAGGTTGCCACACAGGCCTACGAACCCGCATCGATCATAAACCCTTTGGGCTGAGTTGGCGTGACCGACGTATAAGGAGACGAGTTGTTTCCCGTAGTCCATCAACAATCTAGAACGGAACGCCATTAGCAACATAATCAATACTGCCTGGTGTAGATTCCGCTTACCGTCTGGTTACGTGCCGCACAATGGCCTCCGCACAACCCTTCCTCCTGAACCTTGGCGTGGTATACACCTTTGTGATTGCAGATACATTCTGGGACGAACGAGTCACGGCGCAGATGGTGGTTGGTTCGCCCGATGGACTCGCGTGGATCCAGATAAGACCCTTCGTGATGAGCTCTTCTGCTTCGATTCTTGCCCGATCCAAGGTCAGAGGGAAGTAAACCTAAACGGAACGAGGAGGCATCAGCATACTGGAAGCGGAAAGAGTGATCGCCGAACTTACCGAGTCATCGGCGAACTCTTTGCACAAGACCGCAACACCCTCGAGGTCAGCTATTGTAGCCCGTCGAATGGAGTGCTCATGTTCCCGTTGCCTGTCGCAATCCTTGAAGCTCTCCTGGGTACAGTAGGTGTAGGAGGCGGCGTAGAATGGCTCGGATTCTTGCGGAATGCCCGTCACCTCCGTCCAATGGCTTGAGAAGTTCTTGACGAGAGCCGTCATGCCGAAGACGGAGAAAACGCGTGTGGGAGAAGTGCGGGATAGGAGCGAGTCGATGATAAGGGACATTCTGGGCATGAGCCACGAGCTTGAGAGAGTGGTCGGATGTTTGGGTGTCCACAGGAATATTGGGTAATCGCCGAGCGTGTTGCTGACCGAGGCGAGGACGATGTCCAAAGTAGGCTGGACAAAGGGTGATGATGATGACCAGAGGGTGATCCAGAATGGTGCAGCTTTGCGGTCGCCTTGGGGGTAAGATGGCCCCTGAGAAGAGGCCATGGACAGAGCCCATTCACCAGCACCCTCCTCGTCAACGTACTGCCATTCGGACGTTGGCTTGTCATTCAATGCAAGTTTGAGTGCGTGAGCCAGGATAATGTTCGAGCTCAGCTCATGGTGGAGAAGAGTGGAAAGGGTGACTGAGAGAAACTCGTGAACAGTCTCGTGGCAGACGACGAACGCGTTGGACGCAGAGTGAGCAGGAGTGTGAGTGGGGACAGGCATGTAAGGTTGAGATGGAAATGGAGGAGGATAAGTGTGAGGAGGCTAGAGACGGATGGATCGAACGGGAAATGATTAAATTAGCGTCGCAAACGACCATGGTATATATGGGACCGGCAACTAAGCTGGTCATACTTGGTTTTGTGGCAGCGTCCTGGAGAAACGTGAGGCAGGCACGAATGACTACCTGTGTAGGGTTTGTCTGTTACATCGCACGAGGAAGTTCGAGAGAACAGCCATCCCGCTTGAGACAGATAGGAAAGAACGGCGATATGCGAGGTGATTTAGCTAGGAACGGGCGGGCGCTCGCATCATCAATCGCAGGCGGGGAAATCAAATTGTCAAACAACAGCGGCCATTCGTTCTGGCCGGGACGTCTGACACAGCAGAGAGAAATGGAAATGATGAAGATATCAGTGTAAACGGTGTGGGAATGCCTTTTGGCGAAATATCCAATGTCGATGGGAGGCCTCAATGTACTTCATCTACGAGGTCATGAGCGCATGCCACAGTTGAAGTGATTGTTCTTCACACGGCAATATTCTGAGCTACAGTCAATCCTCATCTCGCCGATGCGTTGCGTTCCTCGGGATACAAAGATAGAACGAAGCGGATACGGCAGCCACAGGCAAGTGCATTAACTGACTTCGGCGTATAGCGGCCAGGTGCAGTGGATTGATCTCGAGGCAGGGCGGGAGATCGGTCCCGTGCTATACGCATATACAGCTGCACCCACTTAGCGCCACATTGTGCAAGTGATGTGACTCGAAATAGAGCACCGACTGCCGCATCTGAACCGCGCACCTACACGGAGCTTAGCGTGTCAACACACAAACATTTGTGCGAGCTGCCACCTGTAGTGCAAGCTCTACAAGAAATATATGAATCAACCATTAAAAAAGCTGGTAATGGTAGAGTATTCACTATACCAGACTTCGCGAAGTAATATATTGGGACCCTGTTTGTTTGCGCGAGCTGAGCGAGTACCCTGCATGACGCTAGGGGCGGGGCGACGCTATTCGGCGCAGATTAACGAAAACGAACACAAAGGCGATCGTCTAATTGATGGAAACACAGCAATCAGCCCGGAAAGACGTCTCACAGGAATAATGAGTCAAGTCTGCGACGTCGCGTGTCCCTATGCGCTGCATGGTGTGCTCAAACGGTCTGGACAGGGCAACGGCCAACGTCCTCTGGGGTCTGCATAAATGTTGCAACAGGATCCGCCACAGATCGTGGATCTCGTAGTCGGTGCACGGTAAACAGTAGTACTTGTCTCATGTCCCATGGCCGCAAGGTCAAGAAGCCTAGAAGGGAAAAGGGTGTCTTAATCTAGTATGGAGTCCGAGGCCACATGGCTAAGGAGAAGCATCCAAAGAAAATGGCCCGTCAAAGCACTGCAGCGGAAGGTAAATGAGCAAGGAACCCACTAATAGATGGCCACAGAATCCTGTGAGTGTAGGAACATTAATCTGCCTGATAATTATTTGTTGAAGGACAGCACTGTGCACTGAATGTCATGACTGATACGCCTCTGCTCGGCTTTGCTGCCTCAATTCGTCATATCGAAGCACAATTCTGTACGCTGCTGAACATGAGATGTGACAGACACACCTCCAAATGACAGAAAATTTCGAACTTCGGCATGCGTGAAACATCCAGTGAAACGCGCAGGGTAACAACGTCCGTTGCGTCCTCAGGGTATTCGGTCGGTCACGGAGGGCCATGTGTCGAGGTTTCAAGGCCCAAAGGCACACATCTCAATTCCAAGGAGCTGTGCAACGCAAACCTAGATCGAATCCGAAATCTCTTGACGTCGAGTAATAGGATTGCCCGCATCGCATCAAAAAGACAAAGCGTCAATTTCAATTTGGCAGAAAACGACATACCGCGAAGTCGATGGTGCACAAGCACTCTGAGCCTTACAATAAATCAGCCAAGGTTGCCTCAGTGATCTCGCTCTCCACAAGCCTCCCGGTCTCCTTAGACTATCCACGATCCAAGTAGATGGTTAGTGAGGATACTTCGGATGCGAAGAAGCACAGCAACGTACGCTCCTGACTCGGATGATGGTTGGTATTGACTGCACGTTCCAAGGCGCCTTTCGAAACGGGTTTGATGCGATTCTCCATCTGAGGCGGGCACCAAGAGATTTTGACGGCGTCAGCGGGCGTTTCGCAAGCTGTTCAAAAGTGGAACGGGGAAAAACGGGTTCCCATACTCGGCTCGCTGCCCAACGTAGGCGATCATCCCTGTTGGCCCCTCGGAAGGAGAGAAGGTACGCTCGACCAGTGCTTCAACATCCCGACAGTCCTGAGTTGGTCGTAAATCGGTGTTTTGAAGCTTGATCCAGATGCGTCCCTCGATTTCATTAAGAATTGTTCACTCACAGGGCACCACATCTTCCCATGGGCATCGCGGGATGAGTAGAAGATAACGTAACCGTCCTGGCTTTCTTGAAAGCTAGCGAGGGCAGCAGGGTCGGTAGTCGTATGAAGCGGCATTGTCGGCCTCGAGAGATGCGGGCGATATGCGAGTGTCGTAGAAACAACGTAGTAGGGGAGAGAGAAGAAGTCAAGGACTACGACAGTACGACTCTTGCACCATATACATTACGTATTCAGTCGTTCACGCCGGCATTTGCCACAGTGGCGCAAGCCAAGTCACAGAGCTTCGGCATCGCTTCATAGTGGGCGCTCAGCTGGGCTCGTTCATCCGTCCCCAATCCTTAGAAGCACATATAGTAGAGAACTCCACTCTTAGCAAGGGATCACGCCATAATAATATACAAATGTCCACAGTCCATTGAGGGGGCACCACTGCCCGACTTCGGGTATTCGAGTTTAAGCAGACTACTTGAGGGGGCTGAATGATAGTGGGACCATCAAGTACGAGTCCATGAACTTCGCTAGTTGTGAGGTCTAAAGAGAAAGATTATCATCTAACCATGTTATGCAAATACGTGGACATTTACCTTGGAGACAGTATCTGCCCATCCGTCCAGTTGCCAGGCTTGCTCCCTCATTTCCTTGCGGGTAGCGAGATCACTGAGATATAAGAGCATTAACGCAAGAAAGATACTTCAGATGTTGTCGGAACATACGGATATTGCCAAAGGTGATGCACTTGATGCAACCGGCCAACTTGAGCATACCATGCCCCGACTGGTTCAACAAACTTCCTACGAGCATCAATGCCGCGTCGCCTGTTAAGAATGAATCACAGAGTGAGCACGGATCGAGACCAAGCAATCATTCCACGAGAGAAATCGCGTACCAAGCGCCCTCCCATTCTAGCAGTGTTCCTGGATTCAACTGATAGGTTCTCATTTCGAAGATCCCACCCTCGGTGTGAGGTGGGGCTGTAGGGAGGAAGGCAAACTCTTGATTGAGTTGAGTCGAGCGGGAGCGGAGGTAAGGAGCAAGGGCAGCATGGGCTTTGGCATGCTGGACACCGATGTGAGCTTCTATCGAATATGAAGCCCGGGATTGGACCATACCTCAGAGTTCAGGATACGTGCCCACGCCTTGTCGAAGCCAGCATAATTTTCGTACTCGAGAACGTGATCTACAAGACGTGTAGAAATTAGAAGGACACTCACATGCAATAAGAGTGCGAAAATCAAACGTACAGAAAGTGTCCTGCTCTCCGATGATTACTTCCCAGTTCCCGGTGAGCTTGACACGAGTTTCTGGGTCTTCCTTCAAACCGACGTAGTATGCTTCCCTATGGACGTTTCTCGTTGATTACAATTCGCAAAAAAAAAAAAGACAGTACAGACACTTACGCGGCTTTCTTATACTCCTCGACGGAGTCAGGCTTCACATGGTGCACTGAGCGCCACTAGCATAAGCCCTCATTACCCTTCAACGCTTGGGAGGGAAGACCACACACCTTCAAACCCATGGATGTACTTTCCTCTTCCCACCCGTCTCGAATGTTGTTTGATCTCAAGCTCCCCTTCTTGTTTCGCCTCCGGAGAGCCATGAAGCAAAGACTACGATAACACGACGGGCAGAGAGCGTAGTTAGACCGATGGTTCTCGAGGTTGATTGAGATTCACCTGAACAGATATAGCGCGTTGCGCACCGACATTGACAGACGGGCGCAGCGAGTTAAAGACAATGCGTGCGAGCATTTTCGAAATCAAGAATGAGTAGTAAATGGGAAGATCAGATGGAGACGGCAGGCGACGTCGGCGTGCGAATGAGTTGGTAGAGAGAGAGCCTGCGCGGCGCGTTCACCAGTTGCTGCACCTCTTCAGTGACGTAAGCGGGGTATACTGCTACCGGAAGCTTCTTTGTTCCACTTCGTGGCACGCAATTGCAAAATTGGGCCACACTCATTGTGGAATCTTAGTGACTTGTGTCACCTCATCAAATAATTCCGAAGTAGTGTCTGATAGTATTATATGATGATGTTACAGTACGTGAAATAGTCTCTATCACCAAAAACGATTGCTCTCTCTTGGAAAACCTTTACCCATCCTCAGCATTGTCAGATGGCTCGTGAGCGAAGACCAGCCGTTCCCAAGGAGCACATCAGCCCTTGTCCCAATCGCCATGTCCACGGCTAGAAGAAATCAAGCGTCGTATCGTCAGTACACGCAAGGAGATGACGTCTGATGTGGGGAGTGACTGACCTTGGGCTACGTATTTCTGCTCCCAGTCCAGGCTCAGATCGCGACTACTCGTGACGTCTTGCCAAGGGCCAGAGGGATGGCGTTCCGAATCCTCGAATAAAGCGCCCTGTAACTTCAGTATCCACTCTCGTTTCCCATTGGTCATCACGTATACCCTACCCAACTTGGGATACTCTCTCCTTATTTCCTCTACCCTCCTCACAATCTGTGGAATTTCAGGATAACACCGTCGCCCATAGAGTGCTGAGTTGTAATCCGTTAGATTTCCTGGCAGCGGTTCTCGTGGTTCCAGTGTATCTGGCAGCCCGTCCGCTGCGAGATCGTTCATTCCTTGCCAACCGGCCGTCCAGGTGGCGAGATGTTGGCAGTGCTGTTCAAAATCGCCACGGCGAATGTGAAGCACGAGGAGACCTGGAATGACGTCGAATTGTTCGTCGCGTAGGATTTTCAATGAAGATTGGGAGATATCTGGATTCGAACCGGCGGAAAACGAAATCGGAGCTGGTAAATGGGCCAAAGCAGGTAGTCGGGCCACACCAAGTAGATCCTTGTTCGCCTCAAGGCCAAGGAGGATGAGAGGAGAGGAGCTGTATCCGGATATGATGGGCGATTCCAATAGCATCGGCCACAAGTCCCAGATCCTCCTGCTGCCAAAAATCCTATGCGCGTCTTAGCATATATATCCTGGTGTTGAACAGCGAGACAAACTTACCACATCTCCCACATCTGGTATGGAGATCCGGCATTGGACACACAGGCCGCATCCGTGGAGTCCAATTTGTCCATCCACGTCTGCAGAATCTCGAGCGCTCCCACGTTTTCATCGTGTCGTAGCGGAGCGTTAAGGTCATCTACATTGATGTACTCGACGCCACCAAGGCTCGGGCATATCTTCTCGAAATAGGGTCGTGGTACTGCCTTGAAGGTTTTTTCTCCTTGGAGCTCACCCATCAATGATCCCCCTAGGATCACTGAAAGAGGTATATGTGCGGGTATAAGACGATCGTTGTAGATGGCGTATGGGTCCGGCCTTCGTGACCAAAGGTAATCGTCCCAAACGAACCTGTTTGACGTGATCACAATTTAGACCATATCATGCAAAACGGAGAAAAGACTTACGTGCGATTACTTGCATACGCTACTAGTGCATGCAGTACAATCTCTTGGACAGCATTTCCCCAACCAACATCTAATACATCCATCCATGGTCAGTGGATACACCAAAAAGGGGCATGGTATATGCGGTACGCACCAGAAACGTATCGAGCAGGGAAGAAGTACTTGGTATCCTTCTCATGTCTCCGGCTGCCAGACTTCTCTGGAGTCAGAGCTTTCTCTCGCTCCTTATACGCGGTATACGTCGGCGGTAATCGTTCATGGGGATGCTGCTTGATCCAGTCACCGACAGGATCTGGTATCAGATGGAGCACAAGCAAAGCACAAAGCACGATCAGTGCGACGAGTTTGAAAGCATTTCTCCAGCGGGCATTGCGCCTGAGGAAAGGGGCCCTCGTCCGGGGTGGCAATGCACGGTCAGAGCCCTTGTCATCGCTTTTGTAGTAAGTCGAATGTGTGGGGAGAATGAGAGGGAAAAGGGTCGGCTGTGGTCTTTGTGGCATCGGAAGGGAATCAAACAATGTGAAGGCAAGGTTGAGTGTGATGAGTACTACATCCTGGCAGATATTTAACAAATATCGAGACGGGATGAAGACTGAGCACTGCGGTGAGGCTGCGCATATCATCGGACGTGCTATTCTTCCAACCGCGAGCCCAAACAAGTCGTTCTACACGTTCCAAAGGTAATGAACGGCATACAACTCTGAATCACAACGTATATAACAAGATCACTTTTGGCGACATTGGTGAGCGTGCGCGGCTGCGCTACACCTACAAAACAGTTTTGATAATTTACAGCGCTTCGGGGCTTGGCTACGATCGCCTCCGACTTGAAGCTCGTAGCACGTCAGCTCTTGAGCAGCGTACCCGGAGGTCAGTAGGTAAAAAGAAGAAAGCCTAATGAAATTATCACGAGGCGTGCACTGTGAGGCAGCAGAGAGAGGGACGACTGAAAACGGTGTTAGTTGTACAGTAAGGACTCGGACGATAGCGTGGCGGCTCTCTTTCGGAGTCCGATCGTTGATAGGATGTTGCCGAGCCAACGTTTGGGAAATTCTTGCTGAGTTTCTTTTTCCCCCCATATCCAGGAGCTCAGTCTTACTACCAGACGTGCCGTGCAGGTCGAGAGACAGTTCAACAGAACAGTAATATTGAAAGATGACAAATGGATGAGAAGGAAAACACAGCACCAGTATATATCACGGTGCGGAGGGTACACGAAAAAAACTGAGAGCGAATAAGGATACGAACAAGATATGTACATGGTTAATGGTACAATGCGAGCAGATGATGGGATAGATTCGGAGCGTGTACAGATATGGTACCAAGGGAGAAAAGTCCAACGAGTCCTATGGCCCCCGGGGTCGCTCGAACACATTCGCTCGCGACGTGCCATGGCCACCCGCCTGGCGGCTGTGATTCTGAGCCGCTGTCGAAGATCCTCCTCTCATCTTGCCCAACCACCCCTTCTTGACAACCGCCTTCGAATCCAAACGGGAGCTTGACGCTCGACCGGGGCTGTTCGTAACGTCGGCAGGCATAGCCAGCTCGGTGTCACGAACTTGCGGAGAGCCCATAGTCCTGGCCATGATGTTGCGTACGGGCGTGAAACCAGCGCCGATGCGCGTCTGCTTTCGTACTCGTGGGGTCAAGTCACTGCGATCACGGTCTGGATTAAAAGGTGCACCGTCGGCAGTGAAACCTTGAGCACGCGCAGAGTCATAGTTATCGTCGGGAGCTGAGCGCTTCTTCCCAATCAAGGTAGTCGATGGGGGAGGTGGTAATGGTTCAGAAGGAGGAGATTCCACCGGTTGCCTGATATGCTCTGGCGTCTTGAGCTTGAACACGGCTGGTGCCGCCATGTTACGATCAGGTGTCCTGGGTCCGGGCATCGAGGTTGGTCCTGATGAGCTGGATGGTCCAGACACCGCGCGGGAATGGGACTGAGGCGAAGTAGACAAACGAGTTTGACCTGCACCGTTGAGGACAGCGATGAACTTTGGAGGAATGGTGGTTTTTGCTGAGCCTTGGCTAGGAGAAGGGGCTGCCATTGAAGGAGATCGAGACGACGAAGCCACAGCGGCAGGGGGAGGGGCGGTGGATGCCAATGCGGTCTCCTTAGCAGAGGCTAGCTTTGACTGCAGAGTCTGCACCTTGCGACTGAGACTTTCGATTTTGGTAGTCATCTTCTTCTTCTCTTTCATGAGCCTACACGAGTCAAGTGAGCGCGCGTGTCAGCATAAATGGAGTGTGCACACATACTCGAGGAACCGGTCATCATTTTCCTCAATTTCTTGAGTCTTGGCCCGAAGCATATCGTCCATCCTTTGAAGTTCGTCCTGAAGGTCCGCAATCATCTCCTCGTGTTGCACGTTTGGCTTCAGAGCATCAATCTGGCGCCGGAGGGAGGCGATTGTTTGCTCGTACCGCGATCTCTGCAGCGTCAACTCAATCTGGGCTGATTTCTCCGCCTGGACAGCCTGGAAACGCTCGCCCTTGACTTGTTCGAAGTCTGTTTTAAGACCCGCCAATTCACGCGAGCTGTCGAGTGAAAGAGATCAGCGAAATGATGGCGTCAGTCAAAACGAACAGTCGTACCTTTCAGCAAGTTGACTTTCAAGGTGGCGCCCCATCGAAAGACCACGTTGGATTTCGGCCTCTAATTCGGTGGCTCTGTGCTCCAGTACTGCCTTTTCGTTTTGCAACTCCTCGCAAGCCGAATTAGCTTCTTCAAGTTGAACCTGCGCCGCTTCGAGATCACGACGCGTGACCTCAACGCTTCGTTCGAGGTTCCCGTACCGCTCGGAAGCGAGGCGGCGCTCTGATTCGAATGACTTGCGGTCTGCGTCCTGGGCAGCAAGCTCAGCAGTTAGCTTCGCTTGGAGATGATCAATATCTGAGGCGCGCGACGCGATCTGTTCTCGAAGACGCTCAAGCTCTGGAAGTATATCATCACGAGCTCCCCTGACTGTGGCAAGTTGGGCCTCCAAATCGTCCTTCGTACGGGTGAAAGTGTCGATGGTTTGTCGATGATGTTCCTCCTCTTCCTCCCGATCTCGCCCAAGCTGTTCAAGCTCTTGCAACCGTTCATCGAGATGAGCCTGAAGAGCTAACATCTCCTCTTCTTGTGCGGTTTGAGCCGCCTCAGCATCAAGCGCTCGCTGCTTGTCTGCTTCGGAAAGCTCCAAACAATGTTTGTAACGTTCGTCCAATTCTTGGTAAGATCGGGAGAGTTGGTCCCATGAGGCCTGGTGGCTCGTCTCGACTGAGGATAGTTTCTGTGTTGCGTCCGTAAGTTGAGCCTGAATCTGCGCAACTTCTGCCACTGACTCGTTACGCAGAGTTGCGAGTTCCTGTTCGAGGGTCTGGATGCTCTGTGCACGAAAGGCAATATCGTCGTTGAGGCCACGGAGCTCCTCCTGCGAGCGATCGAACATATCCTGAAGTCGTGCTTTCTCGACCTGAAGCTCGTCGTTCTGTTGCTGGAGGTGTTGTAAGCGGAGCTCGAGGTCCGTTGACGGAGTGAAAGGCGTTGCGTGTTGAGCTTGTTGAGCATACCCGAGCTGCTCGTGAAGGGTTGCGATCTCGTTCAGCCGCAAACCAAGCTCCTGTCGTACTTGTGCGACTTGTCCTTCCAAAAGACTGTAGCGAGTGCGTTGGTAGTTTAGGCATTGTACCCGCGAACGAAGTTCAAGTTGGGAGACAGCGAGAGCGACGGTTGTTTCGTGGCCTTGGTTCGTGATACGATCCACGGTCTCGTTCGCAGTACGGAGGGATAGAAGGGCATCGTCGAGGCGCGATGCCGTGACATTGGCGTGGGACGTAACCTGCTCGAGATGAACTGCAGGGTCTTGCTCCGTTGAGCTGTTTGTTGGTATCGCAGCATTTGGCTGACCTGACGAGGCCCTGGATCGTAAGATAGCGTCCGCCCAGAGACCAACGAGAGTGGCAGCCTCGGCGGTTCGTTGATTCTCGGCCGCGGTTATCCTCTGATCCGCTTCCTGAGCTCTCTCTTCCGCCGTACGGACTCTATCATCGGCCTCACGAACTCTCTCCTCCGCCTCGTCGATCCTCGCATCTAAAGTTTCTACCTCCTCTTCCAGTTCTTCCACTCTTTGCAAGGCCTGATTCCGTGCCTCTCGAGCGTCGGCGCAGTCCTGGAGCATGCTCTCCTTCTCTGTGATCGCGGTGTCAAGCTCGGAGCCCATCTCGGCGATTCTCTCCTCGTTGAGCTGATTATTGATTTCCAGCCGCTTGATATCGTGTTGGTGTAAGCCAATTTGTTCCGTGCGACGCGCAACACGACCCTCCAGCTCTTCTATCTGCTGCCGGAGAGCGAGAGCGACTTCTGACGATGACATAGCCGACAATTGCTGAACTTGAAGAGCGCTGTAGCGTCGTTCACCTTCGGCGATGTCTTCTTGAGCCTGTTCAAGGTCCGCCTCGAGATTCGTTACGTGAAGCGCGAGCGAGTCGTGGTCGGCTGCGATGTCCTCGAGAGTTTGAGTGACTTGGGTCAACTCGGCCTCGGCCTGCTGGAAAGCTGCGTTCACTTCATCGAGTTCCGTGCAGGCTTGGTCCTTCTCCTTCCTGAGTTCCTCCACGAGATCTTCATGTTGAGCAATGCGTGCAAGAAGATCGTCTTGGTAGGCCGTCGCCTGTTTGAGATCCTGGACGCAAGCGTCCCGTGAGGTTCGAGCCTGGTGGAGATTGTGCTGGAGTCCGGCGATAGTCCGAGCGTTCTCCTCGTCCCGAACAAGGCGCGCGTCAAGTTCGCCTCGAAGTCGTTGTAGCTCCAAATTCATGGATACGAGGGTACCTTGGTCCTGCTCGGCACGAGATTGGAGGTGGCTCACCATGACCAAGGACGACGTGGCCACCAGCGCAACATGGTCGTCCGCAGTCTCCCGAGTAGTACCGTCTCGGGACATAGCTTGAGCCAGTTGCTCTTGAAGGCGCTGTACATCGTTCGTCAATTGTTTGACAAGATCCTGCTGGTTCGTGATGTCCGGTCCACTGGTCGATGCGTTGAGAGTAGCTGTGATGGAATCCAATTTGGACTGCAGTCCTTCGGTAGTAAACCTGGATTCGAGCTCGAGGTATTCCAGGTCACGACGAAGCCCATCTCGCTCACTGCGTAACCGCGCGATGGTCGCAAAGAGTCTGGCAACTTCTTCCTCTGATGGGAGGTCTTCCGGCGACCTAGGCTGGTAAACTGGGGGAGGCGGGGAACCGTCTGTTGACGAAGTGGGAGTTGAGTGGACAAGAGCCGCGAAACCTTCGTCATTGTTGAGAAGGCCTTGGTCGAATGTAGTACTACCGGGTTGTCCCACTTGCTCTAACGAAGCGATTTGCTCTCTAGCTTGTTCCACTTGAGACCGCAACTCTCTGCCACAGAAAGTCAACATCGTAACGCAGTAAGAGTTTCTCAAAAGTCATACCTCTCTTGTCCATCCAAGAAGACGATACGTCTATCTCGTTCCTCCAGCGCACGCGTGAGACCTTGGATCTGGGACTGAGCATCCCGGAGATCCTTCACCGCCCTGTCCCTCGTCCTTGTCAAGTCATGCTTCACCTCATCACCCTTCTTGACCTTCTCCATCTCTGCCTTCAACCTCTTTTCGGCCCTATCTAGCGCATCCTGCATCTTCTTCATGTCCTTTGTCCCTCTAACCAGCTTCTCCAAAGCTGAAACCTTCGCTTCCTCTTCCTCGATCCTTCTTATCAGCTCTTCCTCCCTTTCCTGTCCAAGGCCATCACTTCCACTCTGCGCCTTGAGTTGTTCAATATCCTCATCCTTCTCGTCCAGTTGCGCCTTCATCCTTGTCAGCTCACTCTGCATTCGTCTCTCCACCGCCATCTTCTCATTATCCGCCCTGACCAAATTGTCCTCCACGTGTCTGAGCTTCTCCTGAGACTTCTCCAGGTTCGATCGACAGTCGTTCAACGCAGCATGAGTTTCACGAAGCTCCCGTTCGAGCGTCGTGAGCCTCATGTCGGAGAGAGATGATGACCGTGGCCGTCCAGGCCGCCCCGGAGTAGCGGCGCTTACAACGTTCTGGTAGTTAGCCTCGAGGAGACGTACCCGACCTTCAAGTCTCTCCTTCTCCTTCTGCAAATTCGAAAAGGCCGTGCTAGATCCGGATTCCTTCGAGGAAAGGGTCTGAATTGTGTTCTGCATTTCCCGTGCTGCGACTTCTTGAGACTTGGTCTTCTCGTTTGCGATACGAAGAGCATCCTCGACATTCTGACGGCTAATTCGTTGATTCTCGAGGTCTTCTTTAGTTTGTAGTAGTTGTTTCTCGAGGTGTTCTGCCCTGTCGGCTTCGCGGCGTAACTGGTGATCACAGGTCAACGGACGAGCTTGATGGGAGACGAAAAAAGAAAAGACAAACGTTGGTTTGTGCCTCACTAAGAGTATCCTTCGTCTCTTCGAGTTGGGTAGTGGTCTTGAGGAGACGGCTTTCGAAATGCGAGCATTTGATGTCTAGAAAGCGAGCCTCGTTGATTTCATTGCCACAGCTAGGATACAGAAGAGGAGCGCACCTTGATTCGCGATCTGTCTCTTGAGAGACGCAATTTCCTCTTTAAGAGGGTCGGGGCCAATAGCCCAACCCGACATTATGAGGGAAATAGGTAGGAAGAGGCTCGAGTGGCCGTGGTCGTGTGGGGTTGCTGTTCAAAGTTGAACTCGGAGGTGTCGAGCCTCATGCTACAGGCTTGGCACGTGATCGTGTTTAGTGATCCTTGGCGCCACACTTGGTTCGTCTGCTCCGAGAGCACGGCCCCCATCTACTTGCTAGGAATGTTCATGAGAAACAAGAGGGAAATTAACAGATCTAATTGGCCTGAGGTATCTTGACGGCCGAATGTACCCCACGCAAAAGTGGCACCAGTAAGCACGCTGACACACTGGCCCAGCCACGATATCGACCTTGGGATTGTACTCGGAGGAACAATTATTACTTACTCGCACTGGATCATTCACGTTTTGTAAAATACACTAAGGTGCTTCTACTCGTATTCGCTCTGCGGCTCTAAGCTCTGATTATCCGTCATTGAGCCAGGACATAGCGTGTGTACTTATAAAAATATAAGATGACTGAGCTTGGTTTGTTGAGGGGAATATTAAAATAGACTGAGTGTGTTATGGAAAAGAGTTTGAAATAGACTGAAGGACATGTGATCATGACTAGTATTCGGGTCTCTAAAATCCTCATAAGCAATTCATAAGTTGGTTGGAATGATATGGTTTGTCTAAGGTGGTTGTATGCGTCTTGGTAGAAAAGCCATCAGGTCACAAACTGTACCACTCCAAGAAAGAAGAATACGCACTAGTTCTACTACTTATCGGCCAACAAGATTCATCACAATTCCATGAAACATGTATATGTATTTATGTATCCCTGCCCTGATTAGCCCACGCCAGCCTGAGACGGGTGTTCGGGTCATGAACCCGACACGACTGGCACCAGATCAACACCACTGTTTTAGGGTTGCGTCTTTGTACCACTGCGAAACATTTTGACAAGTCGAGCCATTAACGGATTGTCGCCGATATAAATCGATGCAATTATCGCTGATGTGAATAATAGTCCGAGGGCCATCATGTTGTAGGCGAACCAGCCGTTGGAGAGGTGCTCGTACATCTATGGAGTCATCCGAAAGAGTGAGAGGCGATGTTTGCGGTGAAATAGAGATATAACTAAACTGACCTGCCCACCTATCAGAGGTCCGACTAGCGAGAGAAGTTTGTGAGACATTGCCCATGACTATCTGAGAGGAAAAACTCACGAGCAGATCCAATTCCGTAGAAGAGGTTGAATGCACCGTATATGTGGGCGTCTGGAGGATGTCCATCAGCTCAGTCGCCGCCGCGAAGTAAACAGACTTACAACCAACGCCATCGATCGACCGGCTGATTGCTGCCAGTTCAGCGGTCAGTGGGGCTATGACAGCCGATGTAAACATGCCTGACGCAAGGAGAGCTAGTTATCAGGGATAGTCCGAAGAGATTGGCGAGGTTAATCGCACTTTCTAAAGCATAGCTGACTATGAACAGAGCTAAAGACGCGTTGATGGTAACAACGCCCCACCACGGCAAGGAAAGGACCAAACAAACAATCGTGACCCATTCAGGGCCATTCTTATCAGACCACCAGCCAGCCACAGGTGATGCTATACATCGTGAAGGATGAACATGAGTGGACTTTAAGCGTCAGAATTTGACTGTCCGCACGTACACAGGAGAGTTGGAATGACGCCACCCAAAGTGACGAGCCCGACTTTAGTTGAGTTCAGTCCCCAGATAGCCTGTAGATGAAGGGATATGATAGGTTCCTGTCCGCTGTAAACAATGCTTGAACCAGGAGAAAATCAGTCTAAGCCAGCATCTGCAAACGCTCCCATCTTACTTACCCATAAATTGCCGTGATGAGCAAACCAGTCAACGTGCGAGAGGACTTCAACATCAGAGCCACGACTTGCAGCATTGAGAGACGGCGGGTAGACGAAGTAAGACTGGCAGGCGCGGCGTCGTCGATAACTGGAGTTCTGGCAGCTGAAGGTCCTGGCATTCCAAGTGGCGTAGATGACTGGACAGGGGAATTTGTGGAGGCTACCGTCCGTTCTGTCTTAACGTCTTCTCGAATGTCTTTGAGCTCCTCCTTTGAGCCCTCGAGAGACGGTCCTTGTATAGGTGTCTCTTCACAGATGGTTTCGACATCACCCCCAACAACTGCGGCATCTTGAGCTTCTTCGTCAGCTTTGAGGGCGTCAGCCGCTGGGTCGACGCCCCACTTCATGGCATCTTTACGTTCGATGACAAGTAACCGTCCTATAAGATCGATGATTGTGACGACGATTCCGAAGTAGTAAGGGGCGTAATAACCCCAACGCCCATATAGAGCGCCTCCGACAGGAAGTCCAATGAGTAAACTGCCAAGAACGAAGTCAGAGCAGCTTCAGACCTGGGACTGGTTCTACTGACCCAAGTGAGAGTCCGGACATGGCTATACCGAGCTGTTCTGTGCGTGCGTGTATGCTGAATAAACACAAAGCTGACAAGGATTTGACAGGAGAGATACTCACGACCAATGTATCGCTCCGGAGTAGTGTCACATCTGTTTAGAGATTGGTTCCCTTTGTGAGAGTGACCGGAAACGACAAATGAAACGACATACAGTAATGCAAGTGCTACCACCCATACCATGGACGAGCTGACACCTTGTATGACGCGGGCAAGCGCCATCACCCAATATGTCGGCGCTAGCATGAGCATGATCTGAGATCCTGTAAGTGCAAGTAGTCCCAAAACTAATGGCATTTGCCTGAGGTTATATCGTTCGGAGAACCAGGCGATGACAGGTGTCGCTGATGGAGTGCGAGGTTGGTGAATTGATTATACGGCTCGTAATAGCGGTGATCCCTACCAACAACGAGGCCTCCAGACTAAGAGATATTAATGTCTAAATATGTGGGAAGAAGAATAAAACCGGAAGGACGTACGTATGCGAAAAGAAGATATCCGACTAAGCTTGACACGCCAGAATAGTTCAAGCTCTCCAAATAAAAAGGGAGCACGGGAATGACTATCGAGTAAACAAGAAGATCGGTCGTAATTCCTAGTTTTCTCCTCATATAAGGGAGTTGGTCTGTGTAGAAATTCGTAGCGATATCATACCTAATCCTACCACTATTGCAAGGATAAAGTTGCCGTTAAGAACATAGAATTCTAGTGGATATTCATATAGCAAATATACGTGCCTAAGGTCACGAACCAAACTGAAGAGCGCCAATTAAGTCCCCAGGGGCGGACCCCGTACTTAGCAGCGAAATGCGGGAAGAACGACAACACAGATTTCAACAGTATGTTTTTCGTGTGTTTTAGGTTGAACACTTCCGAGTCCCCGCTTTGCGCTGAAGGACGTCATACAGAGAAATTGACACGGTTTCCAACCACGAGTTCCAGTGAGCGTTCCATTCGATTTGTTGGGAGGGAATAACATACTGGCTAGCTGTCCTGATGTCGACATGTCAGCAGGGGCAGTATGACCGTCTGCTCGTGCTGAAGCGCGACAGCTTGAAATCTTTTAAAATGAGCAACAAGCGCTTTCGAATACCCGCCCAGCTAAGCACAGGTGACTCGGAGCAAAGGACAACGATCCAACGACGACTCGGACGAGTTCTTCTCGGCCGCGGCACGAACAATGTGGCGCCTTACTTTGAGACTCCGCAATGTTGAAACGGCCGCTGCGTCATCAGTGGCGTCGCCTCAAGTTCAACTTGAGAGCACTCGACTTAACGGTGGCTTCTTCCGCTTTCTTTATAAACCTTCTAACGACAGCCTCTGCGCGAACACTGCTATAGTGGTATTGTACGGTATATCCACGGTCTCAATATAACGGCTTACCCTCGAGAAGCAATACCCTTTTGTTACACCTGGCATCACCCTTTCCTCCATAAATATCGCGATGCCCGAGCTTCCTGGTCAGCTCAAGTATCTCTATACGCCATGAATCATGAGGCTAATTGCAGTTCCACGCAATAGAGGTCCATCGAGCTGCCAATTTGCTACGGTCCCTCACACTTGGCAGGCGAATCACTAAGGTGGTCACTAATGATGATACCATTGTATTCGCCGGTGTTACTCATGAAGAATTTGTAAGTTATTGCACCAATACCGGTTTGCTTACGACTGATGACTGCTGCCTGCACCAATATTTAAGGCCAAGGAACTCACGAATAGGACAGTGACCAATGTGGGGCGGTACGGTAAGCGGCAATGCTGTATCCTGATCGCCGAACTTTGTGCTACCTCACACTCACACTTGCCTTCTTTCCGTAGGCAAGAACTTTTACATGGAGTTAAACGAGAAATGTAGAACACCCGTCATGCATTTCGGAATGACCGGTATGCTGCAGGTTCGAGGTGAACTTCCCATCCATTACAGAGAGACGCCACGAAAAGCGTCTACGGACTGGCCACCACGGTTCATGAAGGTTCTTGTTTGCCTTTCTGCCACGGATACCGTCGTCGATCTCAGTTGCCATTTTTGCCCAGTTCGTCATGCACATCGAGCCAGAAGATTCCACGCCGTCGACCCCCACCGTCTGCACCGAAATAGCCTTCCTTGACGCTCGCCGTCTAGGCCGCATCCGCCTCGTCTCCGGCTCCCCTCTGGAGTCTCCACCAATCTCCAATCTCGGTTTCGACCCTGTCCTCTCAATGCCAGATCTACCTACGTTTTCTTCCCTCCTCCTGAAACGTTCATGTCCCATCAAGGCGCTCCTTCTGAACCAGTCTTTCAGTGCCGGCGTTGGTAACTGGGTAGCAGATGAGGTTCTGTACCATGCAGGGGTACATCCCGAGCAGAGGTGCAGGACCTTGTCTGAAGAACAGGTAGAGAAAGTGTGGAAGTGGACGAGCGAGATTTGTAGGATTGCGGTGGATGTCAATGCTGATGATGAGAAGTTCCCCGAAGATTGGTTGTTCAAGCACCGTTGGGTGAGCAGCTACCGTATTTATCTCCGGATGGTCTTCTCATGATCCTGTAGGGCAAGGGCAAGAGCAAGAAAGGCAAAGCTGCAGAAGCACTGAAATTAGTGGGTACACTTCAATGCAGTAGAGTCAATTTACAGGGATTGAAGAGTTCGCGACAGCCTTCTGGAGAACCAGCAACAATCAAATGGGTCACAGTTGGTGGCCGGACGTCTGCATACGTCGCTGAGCTACAACAGCTTCCAAGCTCTGCAACCGTGAAGGATGGAATACTGGTTCGTGCCTAGGCTATTGGAAAATTGGTTCCAAAGTTCCTGACATTGCTTCATCTGAGTTTAGGTAAACGACGAACCGAACGAGAGCGATCTCACTCCCATATCCGAGCCAGACACAGAAATCGCGGTCAACACGATTGGGAAGAAGCGGAAGGTAAGTTGATTTACCTCCTGCTGAATTGGATTGAGGACCTTGTCATCCGAACACACCGCATAGGCCTCCGCGGCGACCGAAAACAAGCAAACCAAACCAAAAAGAGCTACATGCTCAAATTCAAAGGCTGCAGACCACGCCACAGACGACAAGAAGTCAGTCACTCGGTCTCGAGCGGTAAGAGCTAAAGCGAAGAAATAGCGCTTCGGTTATGCAGAAAGCAGAGCTACATACTTCTTAAGACAATTAGGTGGAGGAATACAGCAGAGACATGATCGCACATACTTTAGCATGTGACGATAATATACTTTTGAGTAACACTCATTCGCTCTCTTCCTCGCTGTCCTCGTCTTCCTCTGCCTCGTCATCTACGAAACCGTTTAATTTCGGGGCACCTTCCTCGTCATCGTCCTCGTCATCCTCATCGTCGTCATCAAGTTCTTCGTCCTCTTCATCCTGTTCTTCATCGCTCCCATCCTCACTGGCGCTTTCCCCGCCCAATTCCACGTCTTCAATACTCCCAGCTTCGCTTCCTTCCTCGACCTCCATATCCATCGCTCCAGCGTCCTCATCTTCATCTTCACTCTCACCCTCCACGTACCTCACGGGTTCTCTCGCAACGATGCCATTCGCCTTCCCTCCCTTCTTCTTACCCGCTTTTGATGACTGCGGCGGTTGAGATATTGGAGCAGGCGCAGCGGAAGATCGGAGCTCGATCTGCTGTAGAACCATCTCAAGCCGTCCAGACAGCGAGAGCAGAGAATCTTGAAGTGTCAGTCGTGTGGTGAGTGTGGCATGAAGACCAGATAACCGTGCGACCAAATCGGGCATCTAAAACAAACGGCGAAGATGAGCGCCCATTCTCATGAAATAAGAGTAATATAACGTACGGTCATCAGATGTCCACTGTGCACAACTAACACCGTCTTAACCCATCTCACCAAACCCATTCCCCTCTGACTACTCGCTCCCGCCCCACCACCCTTGCCGCTTCCCGCCCTCTTTCCCCTCCCCAGTCTCTCAACACACGCCACTACAAGCGGAACAGCCAGCTGTGGCGGCAATCTTCTTACTGTATGCATGATCAACCCAGAATCCGAATGTGACAGACACATCTCGAGTAGTTTCGAGTCCGATGAGTGAAGAGCTTGGATGAGAGTGCGAGTGAGCGTGATGGAAGACATGGCTGGTGTGGCAGTGGAATCGTCTTGCGTCTGCTGCCGACGATGGGAATTACGACCATTGGGAGCAGCGTTGTCTTCGACTGACGAGTCAGAGTCCGCATCGGCAGCGGTGCGACGAGTGGCGGGAGTGCCAGGGTCTAAAGCGGTAAGACGTTGTCCTAGGCTGAGTTCAGCAATATCGACATCGAGGGCGCCGTCAATGTCACGGAGCGCGAGGTCGTCTGTCGAGGGTTCTTGGCCGAGTTCGACACCTGATCGGACAGCGAGGTTCGAAGACTCAGCGTAACGCTTCGTCGAAGGCCCCTGCAAGAAGATTACATGCACTAAGCGGAGGATAGGAAATGAAGAGGGTGGGAGAACATACAAGTGCAACATCAGCACTATCAACCAGGCCAGAGTATACGTCCTTCATAACGATGACCTCTGGAATGAAGTTTCCAAACTGATCGAGATATTCCTGAAGTAATCGTTAATTATGGTACATTCGGGAAATGGAGGATGATACCTACAACAACGTCAAATACTGGTCGTACGCCGCCTATCAACCGCGCCATACGTACGTGCCCCTCCTGTCCATGAACAGCAGCCGCCGATGCAATCTCTACAGGTGTTGTTCCACGTTTGGCCTTGGTGAAGACGGTCGAACGAGGACTGAGAGTAAGAACCTTTTGTTTGGACTTCTTCGTAGGAGAGCTCGAGGAGAACTCCGAATCGAGTTCGAACACACTGATCTTCCCCGACGCGGAGAGAACGAGAAGATGTCGTCCGTTTACTGATATTTGTCGCGCATCCGAGTCCAGCGGTATAGAAGCGACCAATTTTCCCTCCGTGGTAGACGCTTCTGGGACCTCCCAGACATAAACATGACGGTCGGCCTCAGCCATGGAGACGAATCGTTTTGGTATAGACCCTTCGACCCAATGTATAGAGGTGATATTTGAGGCATGTCCTGTAAAAGTGGCCAGCTCCTTCGGTTTTGATGAACCTGAAGGAGAAGAGGGAGAGGCGGAGGAAAGGAGGCGGATACTATGATGGGCCAGAAGGAAGTCGACTTGATCGTTAGAATTCGATTTACACATGCTGAGGGACGTGCATGGTATCCGGTCGTCTGTCTTCCACGATGAGAGATGCTCGCCACTGTGTGCGTTCCAGACGTGAACGGAGCTGTCTGCGCTGGAAGTCCAGATGCTTGATGCGTCTTGTGAGACAGAAAGGGAGAGGATAGCGGCGGTGCTGGACGAATGTGACAGGGTACGGAGGACGCGACCATGGGAAGGAGAGAAGACAAGTAGCGAGCCGTTCGAGAGACCCAGAAGTACGACCTGCGAAGTCTCAGAGGCATTTGTCGAACTCGCCTGGGTAGCGAGACTATTCCGCTTTTTACGTTTTTTCTTCGGTGCGTCGTCTTCCTCCATAGGTTCTTCCTGATGTTCCGAAGAACCGAGCTCAGTCCACGAAAGTGTGGCAACTCGTGCGTCCTGGACGATGTGTTCCGCTATGCTCTGTCCTGTAGCAGTATCATGTACACGTAGACGATGCTTGTCTATTGCCAAGGATAGAAGGACAAAGTAATTGCCTTTGGGCGAGAAGGTGGAGAGTGCAGTTAATGAGGATGCATCTTCGACTACGGGTTGAGAGAGGACGGAAGAAGAGGTGGGACGGCCGCGAGGAGGTGCAGTCTTGCCCTTTTTTGATTTAGGAGTTGCTGACGACATATCGAGCTAATATACTGTGGTGAAGCAGAATAAATATGAGAATAACGGCGAATAACGACGGACATACCTTGCACGCCAGAGAACGCGTCTGACTTGGCACAGAGCAAAAAAGTTGCAAAGGTTTCGTCGGGACGGGATTGACGGCCCGGCGCCGATCCTATGGGGTCGGACATGTTCACGGCCTGGCTTGACTCTTATAAACACCTTCGCCTCTCCCTTTCCTGCTCGCCGACCTTTCCTTCCCTTTAACTACACTCCAAGCCGCTCGTTTCAGCGACTCAAACCTAGACATTTTCTCTTAGTATTTCTGACTAGCTATCGTTCATAACATAATGAATTACATCCAGGTACTTTGCTTACCTTACTCATAGCTGGTATGAACTAATGAACTGTGCACGGCTTGTAGCTTGAGAAGTTAGGCAAGTAGCAATCATTGTAGTTTCCAAGCGTTCTTTTCCTTATGTCTTGTGTTTAGGTGAAGGGACGTATGCAACGGTGTACAAGGTAAGTCGAAGCCATGGTTCCTTCTCCCCGCCTCAATTGAACCCTACCGGATCCTACAGGGTCGCTCACGCACAACGAACGAAATCGTCGCCCTCAAAGAAATTCATCTTGATGCTGAAGAAGGCACTCCATCCACCGCCATCCGCGAAATCTCACTCATGAAAGAGCTCAAGCATGTCAACATCGTCCGCCTCCACGATGTCATCCATACCGAGACCAAACTCGTTCTCATCTTCGAGTACTGCGAACGCGACCTCAAGAAGTACATGGACGCTCACGGCGACCGCGGCGCGCTCGATCCACACACAGTGCGCAGCTTCATGTACCAGCTGCTGATGGGCACGGCGTTCTGTCATGAAAACAGGGTGCTTCACCGGGATTTGAAGCCGCAGAATTTGTTGATCAATCGGAAAGGCGAGCTAAAGTTGGGAGATTTTGGATTGGCGAGGGCGTTTGGCGTGCCCGTGAATACGTTCTCGAATGAGGTACGAAAAGTCATTTTCGATTCCTGTTTGTGTACGTACTGAAATGACTCGGCGGACATAGGTCGTAACACTTTGGTATCGCGCTCCGGATGTGTTGCTGGGCTCGAGGACATACAGCACCTCGATCGACGTCTGGTCTTGCGGTTGTATCTTTGCGGAGATGATCTCTGGCGTGCCGCTCTTCCGTGGGCGGGACAACTCCGACCAACTCCTACACATCATGCGCATAATCGGTACTCCGGACGACCGAACATTGCGCAAGATTGCAGCCGAATCAGTAAGTTCTGCTGTTCTCGAGTTTTAACATATATCCTGATTTTATGTCTATCAGCCCGAGATTCAACTGAAGCAGTGGCCTCGCTACCCGAAGATGCCATTCCAGCAAGTTCTCCCCAAGGCCTCGCCACAAGGTATGACCCAAGTCTCTCTTTTTCGTATCCTTCTGCTTCGCTCAATCATGGACCCACTCTACATAGCCATCGACCTGCTTGAACGTCTACTCCAATTCGATCCCGCCAAACGCATCACCTGCGCCGAAGCTCTTAAACACCCGTACTTCACCGCTCCAACCCATCAAGGCCCTGCCGGCCCACTTTCCGCCACCTCCCCCATCGCTCCTTCAAACCTCCCGCAACAACAGCAGCAGCAACAGACTGCAGGCTCCATGGGCCCTCCACCTGCAGTGGCGGCACATGCGTACGGTAGTGCCGGTGCCGGCCCTGGATACGCGCAAGGAGGAGCAGTGTATTCAAACTCGCAGTTGGCGCATGCGCAGATGCAACAGGCTCAAGCTCAGGCTCAAGTCCAGGCCCAAGTTCAGCAGCAGCAGCAGCAGCAGCAGCAGGCGGCTTATGGACAATATCCTGCTGCCGCGGCGGGTTATAGTCGATAGGTTGAGGTGAGGCAGCTTGGACTGTCGTGGACTTTGAACACGGACCACTTTCCTCGAACCTCTCATGACTTCAACGTTGTACAGTTTACACGGCCCCTTTTCTTCCGGCATTTTCACCTGCGTGTTGTATTGTCTACTTCCGTCGCCCACTAATGTCTCGCTACCTTAGCCATTTTCTCCTTATTTTGTCTCTTTTTTTCTATACATACCATACTCGAGTCGTCAAACTCGACGTCCACAAGCTCATCGTTTATTGTCTACTATATACATACAGTATCTGCCTCGGTTTCCCAACTCTCGGAACCCGATGGACACCGGAATCTGTGTTTCGAACTTCGTTGTATTTGTTATGTTCGTCAATGTGTTTTTATTATGACCTCCCAGCATACATACAATCTAGAGCGCATCATCATCTTTCTGCCAGTATGGGCGCATTCGCGCACATGAAGCCAGTCCACAGTAGGCTGAGTCTCTTCAACCATGCTTACAAAGTCAGGTGCAAAGAGGTCCATTGGCGTGTATGAGTGCAGGAAATAGGCGCTTCGGCAAAGGAGGAATTCGAACTTGGACTCGGTCGAGAGCTGATAGTTCTAAGTGGCTATAGGCTTCGACAGAAATAGTGACTGACAGAAGAAACATTAAATAAATTGAGACAATAAGAGCGACAACCACGACTCGGTCAGAAAGCAGGATGCAGAGAGCAAGTGAGGTAGGGGCAAAATGGACAGGGTGAATAGGAAAATGTGGGGCGTTGAGAGAGGAGGGGATAGAGGGAATGCGGGGCGTATCGACGAGTAGAGCGTGGCGTAACGTAAGTAGATGAGGCAGGGTGAGGCAAGGTGAGACGAGGACAGATGCGGACAGATACCGTATCCGAGACTACGACGAGACAAACGACAACGCTAGTAATATGAACAATGGCGACGAAGTTGGTGTTGCGATGCTTGCGAGATGCTGGAAAGCGATGAGATGATCACCGTAGGGTAAGTATGTGGAGGGCAGGCAAAGACAAGCGGCGAACAGGTTACGGGATGAGAGCGACTTGGACGGTCGAGGGGATGGCGTGGGCTAGTGTCCAGGAATACAGGAGAACGGTCAAACATAAAAGTGCCCAGCGGGGGCAAAGGAAAGAAGAAGAGATGATAGGGAGGAAAACATAACAGGTAGCAGAGTTGATATATGGCAAAGAATGATGATTAGAAGTACACAATTGTCGTGGCTCATCTTGATGCTCCTTCCTTCCTCCCCAGCCCAGCAGATCGAACTAACTGCGCGTTGAATGAGAGTCACTTCCGATCCATGGGATGCAGGGAGACTCTCATGGAGGAGACGCTGCGAGGGCCTCAGACCCCATAGGCTCATGAATATGTTGCTTCGCGAACATATCGACCATCGCGTCCTGGTCCTTGCGCCTGCGGTGCCTCTTGCGTCTGTCGTCCTTGATAACCTTGTCGATCTTTCGCCGCAGCTTCAGGTGCAGGCGAGGGTCTACGACAGCAGATTTGCACCGGTAACAAGCAAGTTCGATGCTGGCTAAAAGCCGAAGTGTTTCCGAATTGTTTAGAGCCTGGCGAATAAAGAACGTGATGGTCGAGTAAACGTCAGGCGGGTGATGCCACAAGGCGAGAGGGCAAGCACGCACGTTAAGAGACCAAGACACTACTTTCGAGCCCTCAACGCAGCCCACGACGACGAAGTTGCCGCGCTTCTCAGCGAGAACATCACTGGCCTGAGAATATTTGCCCACGCAGTAAGTGTTCCGTACCCATCAGTCCAGGCGAAGGGATAATATACCTCGCTAAACATAGTCATCACTTTGTTGGTCGAGGTCGAACGCACGACTGTTGCACAGGGAGCATCGGTGAGCAACCAAATTGGGCGCCTCTCAAGAGGTGGAGATGAGGGTGGCTGAAAAGGCAGGCGCACTCACCAACTTGGGCTGAATGGCCCTGTATGTCAAGGTGGACTATTCCACGGCCGACGTAGACCCAGGTGTCCCTCTCCGGCTTTCGAATGTGAACCTTCACGGGTATATCTTTGAAGTTTTCGCGCGGCTCAGCAGCAGCTGGAGCGTCCGAGAGTACTAGGGTAGCAGTCAGACCAGAGCAATCATGGTGCGGAACAAGGACAATTTGGACCTACCAACGGACATGGGTAGCGGCGGAGTAACACTTGAACTCTCTTGTTGGTGAAGAGACGTGAGTTGGGGTTCTTGGTTTGGGACATTGGAATCGACATCCATGCTCGCCATGATCGCTCAATGAGAGTTGTGGTGTCAGTTAGCAGGAACCTGAGTGCGTACTTCAGCGCTCCGTGTGCGGTAGATACATTGAGAATCAAACATACTCTTGTATGAATACCACTGCTGGTAGGTGTAGTCGAGGACAGTGCAATGCGTCGTGTGCGGAGAGGCAGAGAGAGAGAGGATGAGTTCTGAAACTGGAGTCGCCACCGCACGCGACCGACGTAGGGCACGTGACACATCCGACGAACGCGTCGCGTCCGAGACGCGCGCCGTAACCCGTTTTGCCCTGCTTTCAAGCTGGTGCTTATTCGAGGGCTCAGTGCTAGCCCGTCGTTACCTATATGGTTGATAATTGAATTCAAACTTATTGCGGCGTGATACAATGTACCTCCTCATGCTCGGTCTCGAGGAGGCTACTATACGTGTTCGCCACTCTGCGGTGCCGGGATTTTCCGTCGCCACTCTAATTAACAAAGCCACACAAGGATGTGACGCACTCCGAAAACGTAAAGATCTTTTTGACAACGAACACAATGGGCCTCTGAACCCTATCCCCTGGTTTCTTTCGGGCATACACGGTCTTATTGTCTGTGCCATCTTGAGCTGTTTGAGATCTGTGGCTACCAGTGGCCTTGGCTCTTGGGCCTTCAGTGCCAGCTTGTGCCAGTGTCTATTGGCCATCCTGCTCTGAATCTATATAAACCTTTGGTTCTCACCTCGTAGCACCCTCTTCAAGACCTTTTACCTCGAAACTGCCTCAGGACAAACTATAGGACTATCTCCAGTATTCTTTGGCTCCCTGTCTCTCAGTCTGAAGATGTCCAACATGCACAATCGTTCACTGACAAGGCTCAGCAGCGAGTTAGAGGTCCAGGGTATGCTCGGGATGCCAATGGTTTGTGTTCTTTCTCAGGCATCATGACTCCCGTATTTGTTATCTTTCCTCACCGCTGATGTTCACCGTACTTTGGTTTTTCTCCAGGGCTCAGACTCCGAAATTGACTCGCCCCAGCACACACAACAGTTGGACTCACAGGTATGTTTTCTTTGGCAAGGCTAGATCGGATCTTCCCCCGTCCTCGCATGCTCCATACGCAAATATTGACTATGGTTGCTCATAAATGTACTAGGCTTCCTTCGTGGGTAGTGGACCAATCCCAAATGCAGCTCAATGGTCCAATTCTCTTGCCGCGTCTTCAACATTGGTGTTGTATGACTTGAATGCGCAGATGGTCATTCCCTTTGTTTAGTGTGCCAGGAAAATAGCTCACCCAGCCGTTTTATCTTTTCTAGGGTGGCGGTAACGATGGAACTCTTTACGGTTCCCAGCAGACGTATTATGGAGACGACGAGCTTTCGAGCTCTCAGACTTCCTCGCATGACTCACATGCTTCCTTCGTCAATACTTCCAATGGTGCTCAGGTATGTCTGTCATCTCTCCTTGACCCTTCTATATCGATTGAGACGTGGTGACTATTTGTTCGCGTAGATCACGAACGGAAGAACGATGCCGACTTCTCGTAAGCCGTTGAGAGCCGATGCATCTACCACCTCTACCATAGACGAAGACGGAGATGAGACGATGGAGGGAGATCCAGAAGAGTCTGCCACTCAAGTACGTTCCTCCAGTGGCGTGATACCAACTTCTCACCTCTAACGCTTTTCGCCATGTCCCTCCGCAGCACGATATGGAAGCGGACGTCGACCCAGATTGGTCGTCTACGGAAGGAATGGAACACGCCCCCTTTCGCGCCTCCACCAGCTATTCAGAATACGCCAACGACTGGGACATGATCAAGGCAGCCCTCAGAAATGGAGATAGAACCCCATCGTCAAGCCCAACGGGTTTCGACACTCACCATTGCCTCTTTGAGCAATGGCGCGTCCACACTGCTCGAGAAGACGCTCAGAGTACTGAAGAAGACGAAGACAGCGACGGCGACAGTGCAGGGGGCAGCACCGAGAAGGCTGATGAAACTGACGTCGAAGAGAATAGCACGCCTCTGAATCCGTCTGCTTCGCGCAGTCCGTCCGAGCCCGCGAGCCGGTCCCAAGGCCATAACGCTCCTCCGGTCAGGGAACGGACCCTGTTGGCGGAGGATATCGGCAGTGCGAACAACCGTGTCGACAATCTACCTTCTGGTCTTGTCATTCCATTGCGAGAGGGAGCCACCCTACTTGAATTAAAGTTTTGCGGTGAAGGGGCTTCGGGTGGTCCGGCGCTGTCTCAAGACTCGTCGCGTTCGTCCTTCAATAGCCTGTTCGATGATGAGAGCGGTTTGCCGGGCTCTCAGGGCTCTTAGCCCTTGTGACGCGTTTTACGAGGTTGAACCCCGCTGCGTAGTATATACGCGTGTATTTGTTACGGTCGCGTTTTGTTATGATGTTTTCTATGTGGTTTCTTAGTGCCTCGCTAAATTGCTTTTGTATGTACGATCTCGATGATATTGTCAACGCGTTGAGGGTTGTTTTCTTGTTACGCGAATTCTTGACATGTACTCTTCAAAAGCCATCTGACAATCTTGCTATGAACACCGAACACCTAACCGAATCACAAGGATGAAACGCGCTCCATTCGTTCCATAATAAAGGATACCAACATTTGGGAGAATATCCACGTCCAAAATAGTTGCACAACATCAGCATGGAAGAAGGTGACAGCGGTAAACATGGGAGCAGACACAGGTTGAAAGGTAACATCATCCAGCACAAGACTCAGCCCGTGCCCGTGATTAGTATTGGTCGACGGTCATCGGTGCTGGTCAGGAGAAAGATAAGGTCCAGCGACGAGACATAGATTCCTCGGAGTAAAATGAACATTCGTGATCGGTGTCCTCTTCGTTGGGAACATTGCCATGAGGTCCGTCCTGTAGCGTTTCCACATCGTCAACAACATGACAAGGCAAAGGAAGGAAGGAAGGAAGGAAGAGAGAGAAAACTCACGTTTCCACGGTATCAATGACATACGGGTTCTTATTTCCTCCCGCGCCACCACCTGCCGCGGCCCCATGTCCTGCTCCAGCCCCATTGCCATGACCATTGACCATCCCATTCACACCAGCCCCCGACGCCACCCCGTTTTCCTTCGACTTATCCTTCTCCGCCAACCCACCTGGAGCCTTCACGTCCCAACACCTGACCGTCCAATCCGCACCTCCAGAAACGAGCATGCTCGATTCTGCGCTGAATGCGAGGGAGTAAATCGATGCAGTGTGGCCCAGCATTTTCTTGATGCGTCGACCGGAACCGAGGTCCCACAAATTCACGGCTAGATCTTCACCTGCGACATAGAAGCAATTGCATCAGTAAGTATGTGGAAAGTGGACGGTTGGCGGGAGTGGAGTGAAAATGAAAGGGGTACCAACCCGCTGTGGCAAGATATCTGCCGTCCGGGCTGAAGGCCAATGTCGTTATGATGTCTTGATGGCCCACGAATATACGTAGACATGAACCCTTCTGAACGTCCCAAAGCCTGGCTGTCTTATCACTAGAGCCAGTCGCCAGGTACAACGAGTTCGGATGAAACCTGACGCACTATCCACGCCCACATACGTTAGCAAAAACCAACAAACCAAATGAGAAATTGGGAGATGACGGGAGGGAATAGGTGTGACCTACGTCCACATCATTCTGATGACCCGCATAAATCCTCAACGCCGACGTCCTATCAGTCGACCAAAGCCTCGCCGTTTTATCCCTGCTCGCCGTCGCGAAATAGATCCCTGTACTACTCCAAGCCACATCCCACACAGGATTCTGATGCCCCCGATAGACAACAACATTCGTCATAGTGTCTAGAGACCATAGTCGGGCAGTAGAATCTGCTGAGGCGGAGAGGAGGTATTTTGGGGGGCCTGAGGAACCTGCGATAGGGTCGAAGGCTAGAGAGTAGACAGGTCCGCTGTGGCCTATTAGTTTTCGCGTTGAGGGTCCGCCTTTTTCACGAATTTTGCGGATGGAGGATGCTGTGTGATCATGTGATGGATGAATTTGACGGGTAAAGAAACAGAACATTGTTGAATGGTCTGGACTTACTGTCTTTGATGTTATTGACATTGAAGTCACTTTTGAGCACGTTGAGTGATTCGCCCTTGAGGCTCCATATTCGAATATAGCTCTCTTCAAACCCAGCGGCCATCAGCGACGTATCCTGCGAAAATGTAACACAAGGCGATCTATCGCCAAACCTCAGCAACTTCAGTTTAGAGGAAGATATGTTCAACGCGACTCGCCCTTCAGGAACATCATGCAATGTATAGGCACATATACTCGGAAGAGCTCGTTGTCTCGCAGCAGCAGCCTGGGGTGAATTCGCATCCACTGCGTGCAGAGCCGAAGGCTCTAATCGTATCCTCTTCCTCGCATCCCTCACTCTCTCAACCTCTCTCTGAATGTCCACCGTCTTGAAGGTCGGAGGATGTGGCGGCTGTTCTGCGACAGTCGGTGCGACGACACCAGGTACAGGTGGCGGCCGTACGTTGTTCGCGTCGTTCTGCGCGTACGGGTCCCTGTCAATCATGGCCTGATCCCGTAACATCTTCTCCGTCTCTGCTCGCAGTTCGTCCGACATTGGTGGCGGACCAAGTTTAAGGTCGCCTTTGGAAGTGTTGAAAGCCTGCGGGTTTGTTAGTAGTGCCGAGGAAGATGTGGAGCCTTCTGGTTGAGGGATGAGGGAGGAAAGAAGACCGGTGGATTCCTCCCATGAGTTGGCCGAGACAGCGCTTGGGCTGGCGGTAGTGACTGGCCATACAAAGGCAAGGGTAAAGCGCACAATCCCATTAACGAGTGTTCTACGATCATGTATATGAGTACAGCGAGATAATTTACCGTCAAACCGCAAATGGTTGTTCACGACACGCATCACGGCAGATCGACCCCTCTTTCCTTTGTCTCCAGAGAACCCAACACCTGCACCGGTGCCTTCACCTCCTATACCCTCCGTGAGCCAGCCCACTAGTAGGTTAAATCCTGTTCGGCTCATGCGTACGACGTACTTGGCATTACGGAACTGGTTGGCGATTTCATCGTGTTGAACGTGTGATGGGAGGCGAAGTGTAGAGAGTCGGTGGAGAGTCGAGCTGTGCATGGGCTCGAGTGATGGTGAGAAAGTTTTGAAGAAGTCCAGGGCTGTAAGGAGGTCGTGAACGGTGACAAAAGCGAGGAGTGACACGCATACTGACCAGCGTCTTTGAAGCCGTACTGCACTAAGTCGAGATAGAAGTGGCAAAATATTGGAAAGAGTATTGGGCGGAACTCGGGCTACAATAGCAGTGTTTAACACATATCAAGAATAATCAGAGATAACGCACCTTGTACATATCCAGTGATCCGTCAACCCAAGACTCGAGTTCTCGAAACCCCTCCTGCTTGTCAGTGGGATCCAGCGTCAAGATCTCCTCAGTACCTCCAGGCCCAATAGAAGAAAGTAGGCTTTGCAGATTCGATGTATTGCTCAAGGATGTAATGTCCTTGAGTGCGTTTTGGACCGAAATGTCACCGGAACGGTCTAGCATGGAGGTGAGCTTCTTGACAAGCTCGTCTGCTGTAATGGTCGTGCCCGACATCTCTCGCCCTTTCCCTTTGTCATCGCTTTCCAGAGATTCACTGAAAGCTTGTTCAGCAGACGTATGTCCATGTGTACGAAGGTATTCGAGAACGTAGCGGTCGACGGAGGATGCATTGGATGGGATATCTTGCGGAACGGCGGCTGGTGAGGTTCCGGCCTCTGGTGTGGACGAGCTAGGAGTGGCCGCCGACATCTCAGCGTAATTAGTGGTCCAGAAAGGTCAATACTAGTTTAGTGGACTAGCAGTGGCACAATGGCAAGAGTGTGAGGATGAGGATGAGGACCGAGGACTCAGATTCAGAACTAACTGAAATGTGGCACTCTCGCCTTGACGCGGTCACGAGACTTATGTCGTGTTGATCGAGACCCTGGAGACGCCACTGTGGCCCACTCCCCCTTTCCTTCGTACCGCGAGCGGCCTCGCAGCCCAAGTCATCAATGATCTTCTCCCAACATATATTTATTCTGCTTCCGCCTCGATTAGGCCTCAATTCTCGGGAGGACAATGACCTCACGTGCTTGGCGGAAAGTCTGTTCGCGCGCCAGCTGGAGCCCCGCCTTGCGTCATAACCGTCATCTCTCTGACAGGCTTTGCATCAAGTCCTCAGCCTCGTCGACCTATATAAAGAGCTCCTAGAATGAGCTCTGCTGACTCCCCATTAGTCTTATATCTCTTTCCCCCCATAATTTTGTGAATCCAATCTACCAACACAACTTTAAATCATGCAGGCCGCAGCTAACAAGTTCCAGGAGGTGAGCGGCACACTCGTCCATACCAGCGAAATTACGGCCCATTTACCGGAAAATTACTTTTCTTTAGCATCTTGGCTCCTACCCGACTACCATCACGACAGATAGGGAGGGTTACAAGGCCCGGCCAGAGGGAACCATGAAGGCCCTCGCTTGGTTCGGCGCAGACGATGTCCGCGTCATTGAGGCCGGCATTCCAGACATCGTCGACCCAGATGATGTTGTCCTTGTGAGTGTGTTGGCTACGAAGAAACATCTATGGTGAACTCATGTTGTGCACAGAAAGTTACTGGGTCTACGATCTGCGGCTCGGACTTGCATCTCTACCACGGCGAAATCATGGGTCTTCAGAAGGGAGACATTCTAGGCCACGAGGTGCGTATCTTTGAGTTCCCCATCTTTTTTGTGCTGACGCGAGCCATTCTGTCTAGTTCATGGGTGTTGTGGACAGAGTCGGGCCCAACGTCAAGAACCTCAAGATCGGTCAGCGTGTTGTGTCCTCATTCCAAATTGGCTGTGGCAAATGTAGGTTCTGCAAAGAGAACCTCTCCTCATTCTGTGACAACACGAACCACTCGTCGTAAGTCTGGCATGACTCCGACTATGCCATACATCGCTGACGAGTAAGATGTTTTGATATAGACTGCAGAATTATATGTATGGTACACGCGATGCTGGATTTTTCGGATATTCACACTTCACTGGTGGTTTCCCTGGTGGCCAGGCCGAATACGTGCGAGTACCAATCGCAGAATAGTGAGTTTATACTACCAACTTTTCTCTATATACCATCTCACGCGCGAACTATCAGTAACCTTCTTCCAATCCCCGACGGCATTCCGGACGAGAAGGTGATCTACCTATCCGATGTCCTCCCCACCTCTTACCACACCGTCGTCGATACTGGTGTCAAAGAAGGTGACACCGTTGGTGTCTGGGTACGTCTCCGTGCATCGTATCTTAATATGGCATATTCTGACCACGGTCGACTCAACAGGGTCTGGGCCCTATTGGTCTCTGTGCTGCGAAATGGGCGAAGCTGAAGGGTGCCTCTCGAGTCATCGGTATCGACAAGGAACCAGAACGACTGGCATTTGCTCGAGAGGCCATCGGTATCGAGACGGTGGACTTCACTGAGTTCTCTGATGTCCCGAAACGGCTGCACGAGCTCGTCCCCGGTGGCCTCGACATCGCTCTTGACTGTGGTGAGTGTCTTCCTCACAATTCTTTCTGTGCGCCCATGGCTCATATTGACTTTCTTCCACTCAGGCACGTTCCACGAACCAAAGACTATGTTGCACAAAGTCCAGAAGACGCTAATGCTTGAGACTGACGTCCCGGAGACCGTGAACGAGATGATCGTCGCATGCAGAAAAGGAGGCAGTGCGGGCATTATCGCCGCTTATGCTGGTTTTTGCAATGGCTTCAACCTCGGGGCCCTTATGGAAAAAGGAGTTAGACTTGTTGGCAATGGACAAGCTCCGGTGAAGAAGTATTGGGAGGAGATTCTGAACGATTATATCATTCCTGGGAAGTTTGATCCTACATTGTATGTCTCTCTCATTCCATTCTTGTCAGACTGTGGCGGTTGACGACGATGTACTTGTTTTCAGTATGATTAGCCATCGGGTACCGATTGACGATATGGCCAAGCTTTATGTTGCCTTCGACAAACGGGAAGCTGGTGTGAAAAAGGTTTGTGTTCTCACTTTATGGTTCTGGTGTGATGGTTCTGGTGTGACGTTGGCTGATGGTTGGATATCATATAGGTCTTTGTAGAGACGCAGTTCTCGTCACCTCCTGCAACGGGTTGTCCCACGCTCACTCGCGTCGACGAGTGGACGAAGTAGAAAACAATTCGTTCGGCTTAGAAAGAATCGTAGTATCGCCGGTGCGATGTCTGTCTAGGTGGAGAAGTTTGGCGTGTAACGTTTTAGTATATCAACGCAACTTAATATGTACTATGTCTAGCTGAGGTTGTATTCTAGTCGCTTTGAGTTCTTTGTGATTGTCAGTCCGTACCTTTTTCTGTAACACTCCATGCTAGTAATCCATACATCGTGTCCCGCATGGTGAAGTCTATCTTTCCGACCTCGCCCATCATCATCCATTTCTCATGATCGCCAACCGGCGTTCATTGGAGCTGCGAGCAAGTAATTCTCTTTCCATTTCCTGGTTTGCCCTTGAGTGTTGTTCATCATCTATGTAGCCGCCGTCTATGTAATTGCTAATTGCCCAAGGCAAGATAAGTGCAGCGCTTGTTTTTCCACATCCGGGATCTTGAAAGCGGATCTTGGTGTCGAATGAGCATTTCGTCACTGAGCGTGTCATGGTCATGAGAACGTCGAGACGGTGAGCAGCGATCGCGAGGCACGACAGACGCTGACAGACGCCGATCGGGTGGGTTCGAAATGAATTTCATCGCAATGCGTACGCTTTGAGTTCCCCTGGCAACGTTGTCTCGAACGGCGGCAAACGACAGTCACAGATCGTCACACCCGGATGCAGAGTTTATCGTCACGTCGTCCTCTCCGTTGCACTCGATTGCTTCCGTTTCTGGATTCAGAGTCCGTGAGACTGCGAAGGCGCGTCCGAGCGCGTGCGTGTGTGAGCGAGCACAATTGCTGGCCATCGAAGTTTCAAGCCCACACTCCTTGTACTCGTTCGACACATTCCTCCCCCTCGTCGGACAGAGGTGAGCTTGCTCAGGTCGTCTTGGTTGAAGCTTATTGAAGCCCGGCGCGAAGATAGCTCGGCAATCAATTAATCAACTCGTGTTGTCGGCATTATCCGAGGTGAGTTGCAGATACTGAACCGAATGACGATGTGGCCACCCTTCTCGTGGAGTTTCACCTGCTGTACTCGTCATGTTTTCTCCATAGCTCACACTTCTCTGTTTATTCTCTCGCTCATCTCAGTGTAACTCAAGCTCTCAGTTTCTCCGATAATCAGAAGAAACACTGGCCAGCATACCCTAATTTGTTTTCAAGTTCGTCTGACCAGGACGACGACGACATGAACCTTAGCATGATTGCCTACCCGCCACGAAACCGCCACGATGACTCTGTTCAGAAACGCTGGACCACGGATCCTGCTTACGCGTCTTACACATCCTCCCTATCCGCCTCGAAGTCCTCCGCCTCTCTCGCGTCCTCTTCATTCAGTGCCTCCGTTGCAGCAACTTCCTCCAAATCCCTATTAACCGGCTCCGACCCGTATTCGACCACATTCTTGTCTACATCGTCAGCATCTCCTGCACTCTCGACTTCAACCATTCCGTTTTCCTCCAGCTCCGGAGCCACATATGCCACGGATATCTTTACCACGTCTGCTCCGGTGACTGTCACCCTTCCTTCGACAACATTCACTTCCACGAGCACGTATCTCGCGTTTTCAGCCACACCCATAGGTTTTGCTGCGGCTGCGTCGGACCCGACTTGTATTGGCGGTGGTTTGGATGCGCCCGCTGATGGTATACTTTCTACTCTAATTCTTCCCGCTTGCATTGGACTTTTTCTATGGGTGAGTCCGTCTATCCATTATTCGACTGCGCAGAGATTATAGTCCTGATGTGCGATATCAGTTATTATTTGCTTTCATTCGTCCACGATTTCGCCAAGTATACGGCATTAGAGAATGGTTCGTTCAGCCCGAGTGAGTCTCACCCCTCGTTCAACTCGGTTGTCGTTCATTGACCGGTAGAATAAATTGTTACTGTTAGCTTGCGGCCTAGACTACTTCCGGACACCTTTTGGGCATTTCTCAACCCTCCCGTTCCCCTCGTCCCATCAGTACCAAAAGACGTTTCCGATACGGGCAAATCGCCTGCCACAGACGCGTCTCTGTATCCTTCAGACGAAGAACTCAGCCAGCGCGCCCTCTGGCATTGCTTTCTTCTTGTTTTAGGCTGGACGCTCCTCGGCCTAGCAGCAGCATTACCTCTTTATATGGTTTCCACCCCATGCGTTTCTCAGTCCATCTCGCAGCCACTATTCGGAGGTGGATTATCCACGTTACAGGATTTGAGCTTGTTACGGCTACTGAACCTACTGGACGACAAGTCTATCACGACTTCCAGCTCTAATTCCATAACGCTGCTGAGGCGCGCGACGGTGAACGGGGTAGACGTTGCTCAGAACACCCGCATTCGTATCATTATTCTTACTGTCATCTTCCTCGTCCTCGGCGTACTTCCGGCGCTCTGGAAAACAATCAAGGAGTTTAACCTACTCGTCGCGCACCGGAGACGTTGGCTTGATGTCAAGCTGGGAGGGAAGGATATGGGGTGGTTGAGCTTGAGAGAGGCACCAGGGTTTGCTTCATGGGGAGAGAAACGGGTCAAGGATTTTATGAACAGGACGGGGCTGAGCTCTAGCTTGGAGACGGGGGCGAGGAGAAGGAACGCAAGTAGAGCTCGGGATTTGGATAGGGAGGAGAGGATTCAGGAGGATAGGAGGCTGTCGACTGAGGAGGAGGCGAGCTTGGAGGTGGATGTGCAAAGCTTGTTCACAATCGGGTGGGTCATGCTCGTTGGACCCTAAGAGATTTTTTTGCTCAGATCGTCTTGCTGATCCTTTCTTTATAGCGAAACGAGACAGCTTGCGTTGCTTATAGAGGAACGCGACGAAATTTTGGAGAACCTGGAGATAGCGGAAACGAGATATATATCCTCGTTCCGGCTGTCTACGCCTGACCCTTCGATAGCGGATTATCAACCTGCACCTCCCTCAGATACTGAGGGGATACCATACATCAGTCGGCCACAACCTCTCAACGCATCGAAGGTATTTGCTCGTATATTCTTCACACACTCTTTCATTATTAAACCTCAAAAAACGAAACAGGCACTTCCTCGGAGACAACGAGCCCGAAATCCGGCCTACGCCTCATCCTCCCTAACACCAACCTCCTATGTCGCGCCCTCACAATACTATAAACTCGGAAGCCTTCGTGGCGTCAATGGAGGCCGCTTCGCCGACTCAGAAGAGTCGCCCAGCTTTTCCGACTCCATCACTCAACGAGTCGTAGGTAGCCGCTTCCAAGAGATCCCGCGAAGTTTTGCCGACGTCTACGGTCCCGTTCCTGTTGGGAGCCGTGTGCACCTCCAGGGTGGGGTGCTTAGTACTACCCCCAGACTACCACTACCGCCGATTCCTAACCCGAGTCAGCATGGACCGAATTGGGTGGAGCATTCGGGGGACACAGAAGCCGATAAGGAGGATAGAGACTGGGTAGATCTGATGCGCGAGCCACCTATTGATTTTGCGACGCCTGAGGAGGGTACAGGACAAGGGGAAAGAGACAGGATGATCGGGGCTTCGTCGCCGCTTGTGGAGAGTCCATACATGGAGAGCCCAGAGAATATGAGTGAGATGGGGATGTTGAGCTTTGGGAGGAGACCGAAGATATTTGGCCCGTCGCCTTCGGATCAACTTGATACATTTCCGCTCAGGAGTCGTAGGCAGGATACGTCGGGTAGCAGTGATGTGCCGCCTCCACATCTGAGGCTACAGTCTCACCCCCCGTTTGTGAGACCCATGACTGGTGAGACCTTCTGCATGCTTCCTGTCCAATCACTGGAGACTGTATTGAAATGATGTTTATTTCAGGCCTCAATCATGACGACCTCGGTCATGTGTACGCAGATATTCGCTCGTGGCGAACCAAGCTGAAGCAGATTAATCAAGAAATTGCGGATGCGCAGAGTGAAGGGTACAATGATATTGCGGATGGTGTCCGGGTGAAAGGTTGGATCCTCATCGGGAAAGGCCTACGCTTCATACCCGGCATTCAACTCATCGAAGGCCGAGCCAAGGAGGACATCCGCTGGGATCAGCTCCAGCTCGAGCACGATGCCTCAAACCATGCTGTCTTCTGGACGATCACTGCTGTCATTGTTGTGCTACTTGGAATTGGCTGTAAGTCTCCCTCGCTCTAGCGGCACCTCTTCGAACTCTCATCGCGTTTGTGATTGCTCACTAGTGACCGCCGCGGCAGGATTGGCGATGTCAGCCGCACCCGACTATGCGCATTATTTCCCATTCCTCCGGCCTCTGGCGAACCATAATGATTTTGTCACGGGTCTTGCCATCGTCCTCGCACCTGCAGTCGGTTGCGTCGTCTTCATCTCCACCTCGATAGCTATTCTTGCATGTAAGCGGTTCTCCTTCTCGAAATAATTCAGTGGTACTAAAATTATTCCAACGTGCGTCAACTTCCAGACTCATCTCGCTTGATCAGATCCGCCTCGGTTTCTAGAGATCGTCTCGTCATGTTCAAGACGACGTTCTATGTCCTTATGGCAGTCGCCACGATTTGGCTCATCGCAATAGGCGCCATTCTGTATGCTTTCTCGGCCCTTAGCCTAAGCAGTCAACGGCCACAGAAAGTTGCTGACGGTGCCATATATGTCACTACCTTGATTCTGGGTATCGCGTTGACGGTGGCAGTCATTACTCCTGCACTGTTGTTACTGCAGCCGTTTCACCTCATCCGTGTCCTGCGGGCGGAGAGAGAAGCTGTCACGCCTCGACAGCGGTTCCGTGGTAAGGACTTGCCACAACAAAACCTTGAACTTTCGCTTGACGATGCCTCACCTTTTCCAGCTGTGTATCCAAGGACGTACAATCCATCGTTTGCTCTGGCCTGTTGTATCTGGGCTCAAGTTACAGCATCGACCCTATGCATTATATTCCCTATCATTGGCCCAACCCTGGCTCTTCTGCTATTTTTGAGCCTCATCGGTACGGTGCAATCTTTCTATGCGCTCATAGTATGTACGTTCTGACAGCCTCGTACAGCACACCGATATCTCGTTGGCTACGTCTACGCACGCACTCGGTCCCAAACCGGTGGCCTCCTCCAAATATGGCTCGTCCAACGTTTCGGTACCCTCCTCGGCTTCCAGCCCATGCTCCTCGGCCTCATCCTCCTCACTCGCGAGATGTGGCCCGAAGGCGGCGTCCTCTGTGGCTTCTCGGTCGGCATTATCCTTTTCGTCGAGCTTTATGCCACTTGGAAGACGAGACTTCCGGGGAAAGCCTCTTTGAGCAATATCACTCAGGATTCGCTGGAGACATTTAGGAGGACGGCAAGGCCGACAAAGAGGGAAAGGAAAACTGGGCACGGGGAGTCTAATAGTTTTGCGAGTTCCGGACCATTGGGGGGTGGGAGAATGACGAGGACGAGGGGCTCCATGGCAAGTGTGTTGGAGATGATGTCAGTTACTTTGGCTGTTATGCCTTCACCATCACAGACAAGGGGCCCTGTGCCCATTCGTATGTCCTCGCTTATTATTATTTTTCCTCGTGATTGGCATTTCATATATTCGTGTGCTTATGCAGAGACTGAAACCCTGGATGATCTCACGGCAACTGAGCGAGCAGCTCGAACCCACCCTGATGCGCCACCTCACCTGCCGCCTCTTCCTTTTGCTGATCACGCGGAGGAAATGGCGAGCATCATGTATGCCCCAGAATTGATAGGTGAGGACCTCTTGTGCTATACTTGACAATTCAGTCAAGTAGCACCCTTCTTTGCCGCCTCACCCCCACACGAGCGCACCCCTCTTTTCCGAATCTTATCCTTCCTCGACTTCTCCGCGTCGAGGACTAAATGGCTGACTTATCTCTCCACGCATAGCACCGACGCCTATCATCTGGCTGCCGAACGACTCTGCCGGTGTCGCTCGTTCGGAGGCTTACGACCTACAACGATACCACGATATACCCGTTACGCTCGACGTCCGCGCGAACGAAGACGTGATGCATCCAACGAGGACAGCTTCGTCCCGTGCGCGCCGAAGTCTATGACATTTTCAAGAACTTATGTGACGTTTTATGACTTTTTCTCGGCTTGGACTGAGTACAACTTACTCTCAGTGACGATTTCCCTTTGCGCTTGATCTTTGATGCGTTTCGTGGACTTTTGCTTGGCTTTACTTACTCGTTTTTTTGCGGTGTTATTGGGACTATTTGCTTGCTTACCTATGTATGTCTGAGATTATTGCGTGGACCTTCTTCCGATCCTCGTGCTTATTTTATCTTTTTTTTGCCTTCGTCGTCATTATCACGGCCGGAGTCAAGGACTGTATCCCTTTGTTTCCCTCCTCACCTCGGCCGTTGTTTGACCAGTGCATATACCTATGATTACTCAGTACTCTCAGCGACTACGACCTTTTTGACCTCTTACCTCGTCCTATAGCATTCAGACTTGTTGAACCTAGATGGGAAATGGTTCAGGAGCTTGTTCCGAGCCAAGTACAGGCGAATTTGTAGTGATTGAGCCGATCTTGAGGGTTCGATTTTCAGTCCAAACCGCACGCAGTGCAGGGCGCCTATGTGGGGGGTTTTTGTGCGGGCCGGCGGGGGTAGTGCGTGTTAGCGCGGCCCCAACAGCCCCTGCCCCTTGCTCCAAACCTCCAACAACTCTCCAGCATTCCAGTATGCGCAGAGATGCCATCGCGACCCTCGAATTCGTCAGGTCAAGGATGACCCGCCGGGATAGATAAGTAACTGATTTGATTTCTGCCCAGAAAACCCTGGAGTTACCTCGGAAGTAGAAGCTCGTGTGGGGTACTAGGGGTCAAGTTTGCTCAACGGAATCAACTAATTGGTGTCCTGGCGCCGCCTAGGGGGTTCAGAGGTGTGTGTCCTAGTGTTCTCTGCGTTTTATGGAACCCCTAAAATTGCCTAACCATTCTACCTTGCTGTGAAACTGATTTCAAGGGTACATGACAGGGACAAGTAAAACGTTTCGCAAACCCCAATCATCCCTCGTTCCGCACTGCTGTCTGCGGACTTCAATTAAACCTGCCACTGTCGGTGCTGAGCGTCACTGTCGGAAAACGACATCATAGGCATCGTCATATAGCGAGAGAAAGGGAGCGATAAGCATTTTGACCTGTTCGAACTTGAGTTGGCGAAATGGTGATCACCGTCATGGGGTTTCTTCGATGGCAAAAAGAGGCAGCCCTGATATTGTCTGTGAACCGCGCTCCGACACCGCTCCGTCAGAGTTTGAGCCCCAAGGAATGGTTCACGGTTGCTCGGATAAAGTACACGAGCTCCCTATAACTTATACGATCAAAAGAGGTCCCACAGCAGCGCGAAGAAGGGACCCCCTCGCTCCCATCCTCGAGTGGATCCTCGGGTACCCCAAAACATAGCCGCTCTTTCAATAGTATTTATCTCTCTCTTGTCCTGGTGCGAGTGAGATATTCCCCCAGACCCGTACCTGGGTGTCCTCTCCGTATCTTCATCTCCCCTTGTCGTCCTTGACGCCGTCGAACAGCTCCACTTCGCCGACCCTTTCACTAGCGCCACTCTGACCGCCACGATGTTCGCCACACCTCATCACTCTCACACGATCCCGCCCACTTCGGGTCCTCTTCTGACTTATTCCAAGGAGATGAAGGCATATACTTTGAGGTTGTGGACAGAGTCGCTACGGGTTTCGAGGGATAAAAGGGCAAGCAGCAAGGCTGCGGCGAAGGGGCAAACTTGTGTCCAGGCGAAGAGCCATTGAGGTGCATCGCTGGTTTCTGTGTTTGACGGTCGTGTGCCATGCTCAGACATGGCAATTCTCTAGCAGGCAGTCACATCGCCTCACAGCTTCATCACCCGCATCACTCCATCCAATTCACCTTTCAGGTCCTGCCTGCTTCACGACGTTCAACATCGCAACACCAATCTAATTCGCCTCCCCGCGGTCTCATCCATCATCATCATCACTTCGTCTTTGCCATCGTCTACCTTCCTCCCTTCTTTCTCGACCATACCTCGTCTGCTCAACGTTCTCTCGCCGATTCATGATGTTTGTATAGTATGTATTACAAGACTCGTCTCCGACTTCATCACGCTCTCGTACCTCAGCATCTGTTATCAGTCCAAGCCCCTATTCTTGCACTCTGACATCATCAATTGCATCTAACTTCGTTCGCTTGACCTCTGAGTCTGTACTTATGTAGATCTTACTTTTTTTCAGGTTCTACTCTACACATTACACTTCTTGTACTCTACTCTCTACGCTTACACTACCACATACACGGATTATTCGCCTTCTGCATTTGACCATGAAATTTTTGCATGAGCTCCGCGCTCAGCCATCGGATGTTATGCTCGAGCTCCCCGTTGAAACGTTCGCCTAGACGCCACCGTTCTCGCATGCTCTCTAATAAAGCATTTGAAATTCTACTCCGCCGCGAACACTGTTCATGAACTGTCTGCTGAAGAACGTGCGTCGGCGGTAAACAGGCACCATCTCGTTTTGGGCTCTATTCTCTTCCCTATGTGCATGTGCGTACTTGGGTAGGAACTCCTTGGAGGATGCGTTGGTGAATCGACCAACGGCTGCCCATTTTCCCATTCGCGGATTATGCCTCTACTCGCTTCTGATCGCTATTCTTACTCAACAACTCGAACATCCGGCCGGCACTGCAGAGGGTATAAAGTTGAGGTACGTTCGCTTCGTACCCGTCTGCGCTCCTGCCCTCTTTCTGAGCAGCACTTGCTCTTCCTAACCGTCGAGACTAACGAGATGGGTCGGTTTACAACCTCAGGGATGCAGGTTCTAGCCGTGACGCTCCAAAGCGTCGTCGCCCTCACCTCCGCACAAAACAGCATCATTACCTCCCAGGGATTAGGACCAGCGACGTTCACAGCTCCTGGAGCGTTCCCGACGACTCTTTACTCCTCCTATTATAACGCGCCTACGGCCACCGACGCTGTCCCACAACCCGTCATTTCTGATCCCGTTTTAGTACGTTCAGCGTGATGCTGCGACTTTATACGGGGTTATTTTTGGCAGCCCCTGTTGACATGAGAATTTGGTTCCGTGGACGTCGCGTCCTGTAGCACAAGACCTACCCCTTGGCCTTAACCAACCCGGATACGATACCGCAGGTGCGTTTGACGCGTCAAAAGACGCGTAGTTCGCGCTCTAGGCTTGATTTATTCGCGTATTCATCCTCCCCTCTTCTTCACAAAGAATAATACGGAAGACCCTCGCGTCCTTCCTCCCAAGGCCTCCGACTCACTCCTGCTCCAACATGCGAAGACTCAAATCACGTCGATTCAAAATAACGCTCTGTTTGATACGTGTACGAAATGTCAGGCAAGCCTTGAAGTCGCTAAGTTCCTCGCGTTGGCCGCTCCGGATCAAGGACCCGAGCTGGCCGTCTTCGTCTGCAATGCATTTTGGCTGTCGAGTACTTGTGAGGCGACATATGAAGGGACTCCGCTTGGAGCGATGGTCACACAGGTTCTTGCTAGTGCGGATGTCGGAGGTTTCGATGGTCAGGTTCGTGCATTTATCTTTTCTATGCTCTTCGAGAAGCCATACATGTACTTATTGAAGTCTATTTTTTGGATCGTGTGGTATAAGTAGATGATCTGCGAGAATTTCTTCAGCAGTGCATGCCCAGTGGCACCCACGACACCTCTGAACCTTACTGGCTGGTTTGCGAAACCAAAACCTGATCCTCTGCCCGCCCCGAAAGTACCCAGTGGAGAGCGTCTGAAGGTTCTTCATCTGTCGGATCTGCATCTCGACCCAAGTTCGTATATCATTTCTTTGAAAGTGCGATATTTGATCGTTAACCATCTCGTGTGTTTGCCCAATTTTACCAGGGTATGCAATTGGTGCCGAAGCGAACTGTTCATCCGGCCTTTGCTGCCGTGAGAATAATCACAACAAAGCAAGCCCCAATGCTAGTATCTTGGCTGCTCCTCGCTATGGATCTTTCCTATGGTCAGTCCAACAACCGTCTAATACCTGCACGAGAAGAATTTGTAGTTGATGCAAGTGTTGAACGTTGCCCGCTAGTGATTCGCCCCTGGGACTGGTTACCACTGCATTCGAGTCCATTCCTACTCTGACTGACACCGCCGATACTGGATTCAACTTCACCCTATACACCGGAGACCTCGTCTCACACGACCCTGATAGTCAGCTCTCAGAGTGAGTGCCAGCTCTATATCTGTCACTCATCTTACTGCCCATATGATATTCAAATGTAATGGTCATGTCTGGATCATAGGGATTATGTCCGCTACACTGAGGTAGATGCTCGATTTCTAGGTGATGTGGCCTAAACTCTGATTTATCTTCATGGCGTTAGACCGTGCTGTACGATCTTATGAAGAGGATGCTTCAGGCGGGCCCTGTCTATGCCGCTCTCGGGAATCACGACTCTTACAACCAGTACGGCTTCATCTATATATTCTTAATCATCTGTCAAGGGGAGCTAATTTGGTAATGCGCTTGTAGGGACCAAGACGCGATCCAAGCACTCGGAGGTGACCTCGCCACTCAATTCAGTTGGTACGTTCTCCCACTCTCAATACCTACTATGTTTGTAGCTAATGCGCCGTTCGATTCGTGTATCCCTAAAGGAACTACGACCACGTCTCGTCCCTCTGGGAATTCGAAGGCTGGATCAATCAGACGACTGTGGACTTGGCTAAGGCCCATTATGCTGCATATATGGTTAAGCGCGTAGATGGTCTGCGAATCATCACGCTCAACACGGACTTATGTGAGTTAGACCCACCGATCTTGTCTGGTGCCACTGGTCAGGGTTCTGATTTATCATTTTGTGCCCTCTGCTTAACAGGGTACCGGTGCGTAGTCTCTGTTGTGCCGCCGTCGTGATCATAGAGATTAAAATCTCATCTTCCCCACCGGATGTCCATAGTGCGAACTGGTTTGCGTACATCAACCAGAGCCACATCGACCCCAGTGGCATGATGAGGTTCCTGACCGACGAACTGCAGGAGGCCGAGGACGCCGGTGACAGAGGTTAGGATCTCAACGACCTCCCCACTTCTGACTGACTGGATCTTTGTATTGTTCTGGATCAGTCTGGATCTTGGGACACGTCCTCAGCGGATGGGATGGAACGAACGCTTTGAAAAATCCCACGGATTTGTTCTACCAGATGTGCGTACGGACTGCCTTCGGGAGTTGACAAGGAAGGCTTATTGTACCTTTTGTGACAGTGTCGACCGGTTCTCTCCTCATGTCATTGCGAGTAAGTATTGTTTGCATTGTATGTCGTCAAAATCTCCATAATGTTTATAGATATATTCTTTGGGCACACGCATGAGGACGAGCTCTCGGTATGTGCCACTCTTTCTCCCAGCCCCACGTTATCTATCGAACGAAATTACTAATGCCATACGAAATCAGATCTTCTATGCCAACAACGGGACCAACATCAGCGCGGATACCGCCCAAACTGTCTCATGGGTGCGCGTTCCCGCCTTGCCCCTCCTCCATACTTATCTATGTACACGCCAGCTCACTGATCGAGGCTGCTCCAGATGGGTCCCTCGCTCACGCCGCTCACGAACCTCAACGCCGGGTTCCGGATGTACGAAGTCGATTCGGCGACGTTCGACGTTCTCGACGCGCACACGTACGTGTTGCCTTCATTCCGTTCCTTTCTTCGAAAAACCTCATCGGCTTCTCATTTTACCCTTTTTCTTTTTTGTTCTCTCGTCGTGATGGGACTGTGCAGCTGGAGGTCGGACGTGAGCTCGTTCCCCGAGCTGGACTCGCAGATAGCGAATGGCCCTACGTGGGTGCATGAGTACAGTACCCGGGAGGCGTACGGTGCTAATATTACCTGGGGCGCCAATGACCCCTTGAACGCAACATGGTGGCATCTCGTTACTGAAGGTTCGACATCATTAACCACACGCACTCTATATCTCGTTTTTGATATCGATCTTAACTTATAGCGATGGAGGCCGACTCGAGTCTCGTCGCGGTGAGACCCTTTATTTGAGTGCTCGTGCTCGCGGCATGCTGACTGAACGACCTCAATACAGACCTTCAACACCTTCCAGGGTAAGGAGTCCATCCTCACCGCGGATTGTACGGGTGATTGTGTCTCAGCGAGGATATGCTACATACGGAGTGGAAGTTCGAGTCTAGCACAGCAGAACTGCCCGGCTGGGTTTGGGTCAGTGCAGTAAGCTGTACGGTAGGGGGATTACATTCAACCGACATTTCGTCCTGAGAGACAATATGATAACTACTGTACATGCTTTCATCGAGTTGTGCAATCCCTGCGGCCCCCTGTGTCGTGAAAGGCTGACACTGGAAATTCCATGCCATAATATTTGAACGACAACGTGCCCCACACAGCTTGAGTTTGAGCTTGAGTGCCTTGCTGTGACGTGTGCACGATAGACGGGCAAGATCTGCCTCTCCGTTTCCACGCCTTGGTGAAAAATTGCGACTATCGCGGTGGAACGGACAAAGACGGAGCACCTTTGAGGAGCACCGGGATTTGCAGCCAGGCCTCCACAGAGAGACACGGCAATAGCCGGGCGGGGTTTTCCCACGTGGATCGGAATTGCGTCGGAAGGTCGTATTTGGCGTCAACGTTTTGTTCGCTGGCCACTGTCCTCGCGCTCTTCTCTGGTTTGTTTTTAGGAAAAAGAAATGATAGAAGAGCGCCTGAAGACTTCTTATGGAATATCGCACAGCCGACCGTTGCCGGAGTGAAGATCTATGAAGACTCGGCCGCCTGGCCTGTTCTGGCCATGGACTCATTGGCCCCTCATGCATATTTCACAGCAACAACCCGTCTTCGACCCCGTCTCATCCTCATCATCCGTAAATGCCCGACGTGGTTTGGTTGAGCCTCGGCACGACCGCGGGCGTGAATCCTCACTTCCGTCCTGCTTTGAGCCCTCCTTTTCTTAACATGTCGATCGGCCGGTATATAAAGAGCTTGGTGTTATCTGCGAGCTCCAAATCGCGTCCCTGCTTTTCCCAGCCCATCAGCCATCATCCAAACGGCCATGTCCCAATCATCCAGCACCCTCCCTCCAGAGCTCTGGATTGACATCTTTCGCTACGCCACACACTCCCCTAAGCTTTACTCTGCTGATTACCACCCATTCGAAACTTCTCCATGGGAAGACCAGACCCCCAGCGACACACTCGCACTCAAATACTCCATAGCGCTTGTCTGCAGACTCTGGAGAGCCCTCAGCATCCAGATGCTCTACGAGGACGTTCAGATCGGAGAGAAAGCAAGCACGCTACAACATACCCTAGAGTCTGATGACTCCTCGGACGACGAGAGCGCCCCGAAGGTCGGCGGATGGATTCGTCGAGCTTGCCTCCCTTACACCCAATCCGCCACACCCACTCCCAAATCCATGCCATGCCTCGACATCCTTCGCCACTGTCCTCATCTCCAAGTCCTCGTCCGCCCGCCTCTGGGTTGGGACAAATCCTTTTCCCTTCGCTACGAGTATCCAGCCAGCCCACCGCCACGACTTCCTTCCGTCAAGCGTCTCGACTGGTGGCACAACGACAGCGCTTCCAGCTCTGGAGGCATCAACTCGTTAGACGAGACCCTCCTTAGCCTCCCACAACTCGAGTACCTCTCACTCGCCGGCGACATGGGCTTCACATCTCTCCGGCAGACGCGCATCACGCTTCCCTTACTCCACGTCCTCGACCTCAGACGCATCAACCCTATCTTCGTCCGTCAGGTCTGCTACTGGTCGTTGCCATCGCTAGCCCAAGTCATCGTAGACGCACCGCCGCGAGCGGAATGTTTGGAGGCGATATGGAGTACCTTCGGGTCTACCATCAAGGAGGTCGAGTTCGGGAAGCATATGCGGTACATGGTGGAGGATTACGTCTCGCAGTGCTTGGAGCTGTGCCCGGAGGTTCACACTCTCGACTACCACGTCCTCTTCACCACCCCTCCCCACCCGTCTAACGCCCACGTCTATTCGTCACTGAAGCGTGTCGGTCTGAACGCGGCGCACAATCTCAGCCTCTGCGCTAATCGAAACGACCCGCAAGGACTCGGACACATCGCAGAGCATATCGCTTCGTTCACCCGTGAGGCATTCCCGGAACTGAAGGAGTTCGTGCTGTATGGCGATGAGTGGGATGAGCTTAGTGAGGCGGTCGGGTTTCACCTTCTCGAGGAGATGGTGAAAGCTCAGGGAAGGGTCTTCGTCTTCGCATAGTGAGTGTTTCGTACTCTCGTGCCTCTACTTCTTGACGTTCGCTAACGCGCCTTTATCTGACAGATTGGAACAAGATTGGTGGTTCTTCGATATCATCCCTCTATTCGCTCTGCCTCCTCCACATACCCTCTTCTGTTTTTGCCATCTCTATTGCCATTCCGTTGCTATTCTTAATTCGCGATGATCTCTGCGCCTAGAACTTTATTATTTACGATGACCTTAGACTGTGGTATAGATCGTGGACCCTAACCCTAGAATAGGTTCCTGTAATGTAATCACTCAGCTCTGCTTCACCTACTTTTGCTACTCGATCTTGTGTACGCACGAGCATGTCCTTAGAGAGTACTTCTCTTTTATGTCATCTTCCATCTGAGCTTTACGACCATATTCTCGATCAAGTCCCGGAACAATATCTACAACGTACTGCTTTCGCTCTACGCTTAGCTTTACCTCGCGCACCAATCGCACAATATCATCTCTTCACATGCGTCCTCCTCACTCGTGCTGAACAAGTCATTCAGCTATCTCGTCGTCTCCGTGAAGTGCCGGAGTACTACTCGCAGTCAACGTACTTCTCGTTAGAGACGTGGACCGTCGATGCTGACGCTGCTATCAATCTAATACGGACGCTACCACGACTAAAGTCGCTCACACTATTCATTGGGCCGAACTGGGCACCCGAGCATCTTGAGCAGCTGTTAGAGAAGCCGATAGAAGGGTTGAAGAACGTGTCGTTACGGTTCAGACCTTAGTGAGCCCTCTTACTTGTAATTAGCGGCTCGTTCTGACTGTTTGGTTGGCAGCGTGCAGAAAGCAACTTACTATCAGTTCCTGAAGGTATGTTGTTCACATACGCCAACCTTCATATCCATCGCGTCAGACTGATAGCGACTTGAAGGGCGCATACTTCGATTCGACTGTGATCACGCTCTCTCAATGGCCTCCGTCAGGTCTGCCCAGCCTATCTATCGTGCAAGACCCGTTAGACCCTTCCATCGCACCAGTCCAGAAATTCGCCCAGCCACTCGTCTTCTTTCGACTCGATCCCTTCTCTTGCATGAGCATCTCTCCTTACGCACAAGACATCGAACACTTCCGCCTCCGAATCCCATCCCGTCAGATCGCGCGTTTTCTGTACACTCAACCCGGAGCTTTTCCCAGGCTCACCTTACTGGACCTCTCGACGTGCAACGTCGCCGAGTCGGACGTCGAACAATTGCTTGGAAGGCTGGTTGGGCTGAAGCACCTGATTGCGGATAATTGTAGTTTGTTGAGGGGCGAGGGCGATTGGGCTGCGTTTGGGAAGACTTGTGCGTTGGCGGGGGTGAAGCGGGCGAGGGAGAGGGAGAAGAAATTGAAGGCTCATTTGGAGTTGGTCCATGCGCAACAGACTGCTCAGGCTCGTGGTATCGCCGTTCAGGATGCGGTGCTTAGGGTGGATCAGAGCTCGTCCCGGTCACGACGTGGAAGGTGCGTTCTCCTATCCAGTCGAGTATTATTTTCGGAGATTGTCTTCCTGACTAGTATATCCTCAGGCGCGGTATCGCAAACTCGACGATTACCCTGCGGGAGAGGCAGAGGGAGATAGCCGTCGCTTTGAATCCTCTACTTGCTACTCCCGGAGGTCCCGGAGAAACACCGACACAAGTACAACGAGTACGGATCCTTCCTCCACTTCCAACTATTCGAACCCTCTCCACCACGATAGCACACTTCGTCGAAGACTCAGAGGAGGATATTCGGGAAGACTTTGAGCGCGGGTGGGGAGAAGGATTGCTGCAGCTTTCTGCAGTTCGAGGTAGGCTACGAACCTCATACCACAATGGACTGAGAGTCGTGAGATTCTCGGAAGATGGAGAGGTGTCGGAAGAGGGATTTGATGGACTTGAGGACTTGGAGAATGGGGAGAGTGAGTTTAAGGTCGAGCGGGTGGGGGAGGGAGATTGTCCGGTGTTGTGTGTGGCGGGTCCGGGGCGAAAGGGGAAACATGTGGAGGGGTGTGGACATAGAGCGGCGTGGTCGGTCTGGGAGGATGAATTATGAGGTATTTCTATGGACTATGTTGTATTAGTATGTAGACTTTGGGGTATAGAGCATAGACGCATTTGCTTTGATTTGTTGCCCGTAAGGAATGACATCGTCGCACGTGACTGGACTGTGAATTCTCGACTTGCAGATTCGTGGAGAAGAGCGAAATCATTTTCCGAAAATGCCTCGCGTTCTCCTACCAGCCTCGTTGCACACGCAACTTGGTTTATGGCCACCACGTCGAGCTCTCGTCCTTCACATTCCTCCTCTTCTAGCAAGTCGTCTGCTGCGCTTGGTCGCTCCGTGAGTGACAACACAACAAGCAGCAGCACTCCGTCATCTGCTCCCGCTCCTCGCCACACTCAGAGATCCGCGTCTCACACATCAAGTCGAGCCACAGCACCCTCCGAGTCTAATACCTCTTCTAGCGACAAGCAGTCGACGAAATACTCGAAATATAGCATTCACTCGACATCAGACGAATCTTCTTACTATTCCCCTCGCTCTCATACCTCTCAGCTGTCGGAAAATTCGTCCGTACACTCTTCAGAAACCGATCGCACGGAACGGTCGGCCTACTATTCGGTGCATAGCCTACGTTCGCCTGTGAATTCTCCGAGATTGGGGGAGAGCCAGCCGAAGTACTCGAAGTACAGTATCCATTCACTTTCTTCGCAGTCATCCACGACTGTGCCGAAGAATCAACCACAGACGCAAGCGCCTCCGGATCCTCCGTTTCTGTCTTTAGACGGCGTCCTCGCTGGTGAGAGAGAATCAGAGCGCATACGGCCAGCTGCCGTTCCCCGTTCGTCACCACAAACAGTAGTTGTGCAACCAACCTCTTCTTCGTCCAAAGCATCGCCTATACTGCCAAAGGCGCAAGCTCAGACGCACCCATCTTCTTCGTCACAGTCGTCGGTGCCTTTGTCTACGGCTACACCGAAGACTCAACCACAAAGCCGCCCGGAGATTCATCCACCTCAGTTATCTGTGTCTGGTACCCCCGCTCGCAATAAAGAACAGCCACCACCTGCCCTTTCTCGGTCTTCGTCGCAGAGGCCAGGTACCCAGCCAGCGTCTTCCTCGTCGAAATCATCATCTACCCAACCAAGAACACAAACGCAGAGGCCACCGGACCCTCCTCCCTCGTCGGAAAGTGTTGCTACAAATAGAGAGCAACCCCTGCCCGTTCCACCTGCCCGATCTTCATCACAACGAACAGTTGTTCAGTTGTCATCATCTTCGTCAAAACCCTCATCTACATCGACAAAGGCTCAAACACGGGTTCCTTCTGATATCTCGTCTTTACCTTTGAAGGGTGCTACCCGTGGTGATACAGAACATCCACCACCGGTTGCTCATTCTCGCTCGTCGCCACAGAAAAGTGTGACCCAACCAATTGCATCTTCATCCTACTCGTCATCCACCGTCTCGAAGGCCCAAAGTCGGGTTCCTCCTCCTCCTCCTCCTCCCGCATCTTCGTCTTCGATCGATTCTGCCGGTAACGAGAAAGACCGCCCACGGCCAGTGGCTCCACCTCGATCGTTGCCACAGAGAAGTCTGACACAGCCATCGTCTTCGCCCCAATCCTCATCTACTGTCCCAAAGACTCAACCCCGGGCTTCCCCGAATCCTACGTCTTCATCATTGAGCGGTTCCACCGGCGGCGACAGAGACCGCACTCGGCCAGTAGCTCTTTCACGTTCGTCTTCTCAAAGAGTTGCACCTCCATCCGCCCCTTCATCGTCTGCCCGTCGAGAAGCGCCTGCAGAAACACTACCTCTTTCTTCGCAGACTCGAAGTGGTGTATCGAGAGAGAATACTCGCCCTGTCCCTGATCCGCATCTCAAACCGCAGGTCGTTGTCGTACCTTCGGTACAGGCTTCGTCCGGAGACAAACCTCGTTTGACTTCCACCAGTAGACCCTATACTTCGACCCAGGAGCTTCGTGTGCCTCCCTCTCAGACCCATTCGCATACCACGCAACCTCCAGTGGTTACACCTCCGTCATCTCCTCCACCTGCCAGCACTCGCCAACCTGATAGAGAGCCCACGAAGATCGTCCAGTCGACGCCACAACGCATATCCTCTCAGTCCAGTTCCAACCAATCAACCTCTTCGTCCTCAAGTGCCACTATGGCGCCCAACCCACAACCCACGAAGTCACGTCTCAATCCGTGGCGCTCTTCATCGCAGACCTCGTCATCTCAGGCTTCTGGCTCCTCGACCGCCGTGTCTAGCAGCAATGAGCAATCGAGCAAACTACGACCCTTACCTCCACGATCCACGCCACAAGCCAAATCATCAAACCCTCCGCCATCACCAGTAACTCGCTCCACCTCAACCCCACCTACATCCCCTGTTTCTCAGCCCATTCCTCTACGAAAGGTGCCAGTACGATCGTCATCGCAAACTGTAGTCCCTCCAGGACAAGATCCCCTCACATCAAACACCGAGAAGGAACCTCCTTCGGAGCCGAAGGTCAATGTCATACCTAGAGCCAAGGTATACGCCTTGGAGCAGTTCGCAAAGCTGGGACGAAAGCGAAAGGATCAGGATTCTGGGTCGGAGACAGGCAGCGACAGGAGCGCACCTAAGAAGAAGAAGCCGGAGTTTCCCCCTTCGTCTTGGTTCCAGGATCCGTCGTCTTCCTCTTCCGCGACCGCTGCTCCCGCTTCTGAAGCTAGCTCTGGTTCCGGCTCTGGCCCTCCTCTGAGTACGAGCAGCAAGTCAGTTACGAGTATGAGGCCTCCTGGTCAACATGTGCGCAGGGCGTCTGAACCTGCAGTAGAACGTATGCATGTCCAGGGGATTACGACACCCTTGAAATCGTCTTCACATTTTATATCCGCTGTGGACACTGAGGATGCAGTCGCTGGTGATGAGACGCCTCCTGCCGATGTTGCGACGCCTAGGCGAGTGGCTTCACCGCCCGGAACGCCGAAGGGCCAGGAGAATGTTGGCCCAGAGCCTGCCAACCTCGCACGACGCATCCAAGCATTACTTGGTTCTTTACCTTCGCTCTCTACTGCAACACCAACAGAGTCCGAAGATACCCCCACGCAAGACTCCCTCTTCCCAGCCACTCCCATAGCTTCCACAGCCCAGCGTTCCAGTCCTCCAACCACCCCTCCACGGTCATCGACGCCCAAACCTCACTCCCCGATTCCCTCTGCGCCTATCACAGATTATCGTCTCATCTCAATGCTCTCCAACGGCTCCATCATGAACGGCTCCCTGGAAAAAGGCCGCCAATCCGTCTTCTCCATCCTCGACCGTTTACGTTCCCCGGCCCCATCCCGTCCTACCTCTATAGCCTCCTCAGCAGGAATCGCACCCCCGAGCGTAGAAAACTACGAGGACGACATGGACGACAACGAGAGCATCATGCTTTATGCCCCGTTGGAACCTACGGAGGATTCGGAAGTTGAGCTGGCCAGGTCGGATATCATGTCGGTGTGTGATGATGGTGAGGAGGTGTTCGAGAGGGAGAGGCCGTCGCGGAGGATTTCGATGTTGATGCTTGAGGATGGGGTTGCGTTTGATCCGTGGTCCAGTCCTCGAAATAGTCGGGTCAGCATGGCCAGTGTGTCTACCAGGGGTGGCGATGCCTTTGTTCCAGAGGCTAGTGGTACGGTGGACGAGCATGAACAAAGGCGATCTCCGACGGACGGTGATGAGACTCCTGGTACGGAGACGAATGGCGCCGGTGATGGAGACAAGGGAGAGGAGGCCCAGGGTGGTGCGATCAAGCGTTGGTTTGACAGTTGGAAGGGCAAGGCTCCTCCCAAGGAAGAGGATGCGGAACCCCCTCAGGCGCTTCCTCCTGTGCCTTTTCCCGTGCTCGAGAGACCTGTCAAGACGAGAGTGGTATGGCTGCCCAGCCCAGACAAGATATCTTTCCAAGCTACGTGGTGGGGCTACCGATTGTAAGTATCTTCTCGACTTTCCGACTTAATATCCTATTCAGTTTGTTCACGCTGGTCCACAGATACCTTCCACCTCCGGTCCTTGATGTCCTCAACAATAAACGCCTCGAGGCAGCGAAACGAGCTGCTATAATCACGACCGCACTTCAGTGGCTGTTTAACAGCATCCCAGTAGCCATCATACCTATTCAATTCCGTGCTGGTCTTTTCCTTGCGCAACAGATAGTACCCTATCTCGGTTATATCGGTGGATTCTTGGCCTGGAGCTGGGGCTCTATCAAGGCTTTCGACAAGGGTGCGTACCTCGGCTTGCTTGACGCAGTCATCGATTTGGACTGAACGGCCTTTTGATCTACGTAGGTGAGGGTGTGGTTTTGACGGCGACGTGGCTTTTGCCTGTGGCTCTCATCCCGGGAACCTGGGAGACGCCTCCAGACGCCCGACCGCCTTCGGGGAGCTTGACTGCGACGGAGGACACGCCTAGCTGTGATCATGCGGTGGCTGGCCCTTCGAACACGACGACATAATTGTTTCTTGTTTTGTTTATTTATTGCACACGGAGATTCTCAGTTGTGACGTAGGAATTATATCACATTGTACGAAACAATCTCGTTTGTAGCGTTCAATGCGTTTGTGTCACAATTTTCGCCAGGCCAGTTTTTCGAGTAGTTGGCGCCGGCTTCCGGGACTTCTATTACATAAGGAATTCTTTTCGTCCACTGTCGCTCATCCTCTTCCGATTTCTTCCGCATTGTCTGTGTCAACATCATGGGTCATGTCGGACAAATCACGACCATCTAGACTTGTTTCTATCTTTGAACTCGCTCTGCCGGACGAACAGAACCGAGATCGCGCGTGCTCAAAGCGCTCATGTCCTACAAGAGGACGAGACCGCTCTTTTTGCGACTGTAACTGTCCGGATGGGCTAGGACTCGGCCACGGATGTCTTGGGCCAAAGCTTACTTGCATCTCCGCTTCCTACCTTAATCTCTATTGGCTCGCAGGCATCATGAGAGCTAGACATGTTTCGGGAGACACAGCTTGCTACACGACTGGCTCGGAAGTTCTAGCTCTGCCTATATAGTCATATATACCTGCGGGCCGCCGCTCTCGCGCTGACGTCCCTTCCTACGCACTTTCCATCACCATCCCCTCAAGCACTGCACTTATACTACATCCTATCGTGTATTCCCGCACTTGTTATTCTGCTCTAATGTCCAACATCAAATCACGCACAAGTGCAGTCACGACTAAATCAGTCGCGTCTAGTCATAAACGCATGCAGTCTAGAGTAGACAATCCCCCCTTTGTCAGCCAAAAGCCGTCGATGGGATCGCTGCAGACGCTGAAACGCAATCTCGAGCAAGTTCAGGGGAAACTGCAGACGTCGAAGTCATATCGCGGTCCTCTCGACAACAAGTACTTTGCATTGCAGTTACTGTACGTTCGTACAATTACTGCTCTTATGAAGGACCATCTCAGGGTCAGTCCACCACGCTCGCCTTTCCAACTCATGTCTCTGATCCTTCTTTGACTGCGTGCACAGTTCCTTCGTGCATTTCGCAAACAAACTGAGCGTTATTATCCCACACTACAACCAGCAGACCGCGCCTCACTCACCATCATCAAAGAGACGCTCCCATCCGGCATTCACGCCCGCGAGCGGGAAATAGAGGATTGCCAATCGCTAGACCAACTCATCTCTCGATACCTACAAGGCGACCAGAAGGCGACAGGTCAGGATTTGGGGGAGGTGACGATGAAGATCGATTATGCACTGCTCGGGCTAGAGCTGGCGGTGAGGAATCTGGAAGCTAATATGAACAAGTTACGGGCTATGAGAAGTAACTCTCTTTCTATTGTATCGAGTGATGAGGGGCGCAATGTTCTGGGTGGGGAGGGCTCGGGGTCTGCAATCGTGGAGTCGAGACCAAGTTGGAGGAGAGTTCAGGGGGTGAGCAGTGCACGAAATCAATGACGCCTCGCATCCTTATCATAGAGCCTTGTTTTCTTAGTAGCCTGTATACCCGGACATTCATCCATGTGTTGTATTCATCGAGTCACTCCTACTTTGAGCCTATGGAGGTTATGGCGGTGTGGCGGTTCGAGGGAGGAGTGGCGGTGGCGCCGGCCGGCGTGTCGGTCTGGATTGAGCCGGTAATCCGAAACTGGAATACTCCTTCAACCATCTTTGTTTCGAACCACGATCTAGACGAGCATAAGTTTTCCGTTCTCGCGTTTTATCAACCTCGGCCAAACCCTCTGGTCATCGGTACCTTGCATATCTAATACTTGAATTTGGATCAGAGTGGATAAAGGCCCAAATAGGATCCTGCCTTTTCGAGACCTCCCCTCCAGTTTTCATATTTATCATTGCTGACCTTTTGCCTCGCACGCTCTCACTAACGCTTCTTGTCTCCGCATTTGGAAATACCCTCTTCAAAGACACGAATCAACTGAGCGATGCCGTGTGAAATCTGTCTTTAATAGTGTGGCGTTAAGGAACATAAAGTAGGCGTACCTTCTGTGTAATTTTTCCCTGCAGATATCCAACATGTCCCGGCAAGGTCTGTCTACTCCGTTCCTGAAAGAATGTGTTATATGAACAAGCTGAATTAGCATGGGTGGAATGGCGCACAGTCTCTAGCTTCAACTCCATCATAACGACCGCTTCGTCTCAACACACCGAGTACTGCAAACTCGCTGGTGCGACGCATGTGATCGACTACCTCACGACACCCTACAACGCTCTCCCCTCCGCCATCTCCTCACATCCTTTCCACCACTTCCCAGCCTCTCAGATTCATTTACGACTGCATAAGCGACGAAGAGACCGTCACCACATGCTGGAGCATACTCGCTCCCTCCGGAAATCTGATCGTGACGAGACGGCCCCAGGCGTGAAGCTCGTCGTGCGTCCTCAAGAGACTGCTTGATATCGTAATTCAACCTAGCAGCCGACTAGGAAAAGTACCTGCTGTGGTCCTTGTATTCACGTCAGACACTGTACCCAACTCACAACTTGACACGCACCTCTTCCGATCCGAGTCTTGACTCACTGCCCTCACCAGTTATACCTGAGAGCCTGAGGCATTCAATCTTCAGAGACAGTCACCCACAATCGTCAACATAGCACACCGCGAAAATGAAGTTTCGTCAGCATACTACTATCGTATTCTGTACCCCCCCAAACACTAAAAAACCATCAGAACAGTAAAGTACTTCAACGCTCGCTCGCTCTCCTTCCCTCTCTCCCTCTCCCTCTCTCCCCTCCCACATCCATTCCCTCCCTCTACCTCTGCCTAATGCATCTCCCTCACGCACCAACCACCGCGACAGTCAACTTAGCGCGCACCCTCCCAATGGCACAAACTTCGACTAACGACAACGGCTACGGCTCGGAGGAGAAAAAGGCGGATAAGAGGGTATGGAGGGGGAAAGGCGGAGAAGAAGCAATGAGAAGAAACGAGAACAAGCTAAGCTGTGATAAACGACACGAAACCATCCACCTAGAACTATGAAAAATTCCGAAAAAAAAAGCTTTTCTAACACCACAAACTCAATGCGTATGTAGTAGCCAGAGAGAGAGAAATATATAGCCACTCCAGCTTCCAAACTCCCGCGCGACTCCGAACCGTCAAGATTTAAATAATGTTGACAAGTTGTCACAACCCCACGAAGAGGTAAGGGAAAGAAGAAAAAAAGGGTGGTATACTCAGGCAAAGGGGATATGCGGGAAGCGAAAGGTAGAGAATAATAGAATTGCTAAAACGCGAAAGAGGAAATAGCTTGAAAAAATGCTCTACGACACACACGAGGAATGAAGGGATAGATTACACTGCGCTCTATAGTCGGTGAGAATACTTAGGGCAGAGGATATGCGGTGGGTGAGTGGGTGTAGAGTTGAGAAGTGGGAATGTGAGTTGGGAGTAGGGAGTAGGGAGTAGATTGTAAAGTGTGTGTGAGAAACTGGCAAGAAGGTTTGTTCAAGTAAATAGGTGGATGGACGCACGTATGGATGGATGAAACAATGATGGTTCAGAAGAAGAATTGGGGGGTACGAATTGAGGCGTGAGAGACGCCGGACGGAAAACCGCAACAAAACTGTAAATAAACACACAGCAACATCGCGAATGATCAGCCCAGAGTCGAAGTTCGTTCGATCATCTAGCGTGATAGGAAGAGGATCTGGGTAAGTCATAGGACGGGGCGAGGCAAAGGAGAGCATGGGGTGATTAGGCTATTGCTAAAACCGTCAAACAACAAGTAAAACACAGTCACAGAAGAGGAAAGGGGAACACGACCGAAATACTAGGGAACAAGAAAGAGAACTGGATGCTGGCAAGGAGTGTTATAATGTTAGTGAGGACTCTCTGCGGAGTCCACAGGTTGGTAAATCATAATGCTGAAAATTGAGGCGGAAACAAAACACGAACCAGGTATAACAGGGAAGGGGATGAATGGAAGGAAAATACTCGAAAAGACTAGGGTACCGTGACGGAAAAGCATAGGGGATATACCACACCACACGATATCACAGCGAGAGTCCAATAACCACAGGTTTCTTTCCTTTTTTATCCATCCACCCTCCTTCCGCCGATATCCTCTTCAACCGCGACGTGCTGACTTCGACAAACTGCCTGGCCTTATCCGAATCTTCCTGTCTTCGTTGTCAGAATCTCCACCACCAGAACTCTTCCGTCCAGCACCCGTGAAGCTCGGCCGTCCAATTCTACTTCTTCCTAGAGCTGGAGTAGTCGTCGATGAAGGCAGCCGTGAGATTCGCGTAGTGGAGGCGCTATGGGTGATAGGCGGTGACTTCACGAGGGGATCTTTGAACGAAGAAGGTGAAGACCTGTCGGTACTCGTTCGTGGAGGCGCAGGAACAGAAGTTGGCCGTTCACGAGGCGGCGGCGGTGGCATTCCACGGTCGGACGGAGGATGCACCACGGACGGGGATCCTATCTTGCTTGCACCCAATGAAGAACGCTTCAAGCCGGTCGGCCCGGTCGACAGCCTGAGTTGATGTCCTGGACCCGTCGACCGTTTCAACAGAGTCCCGTTCCCACTGCTGGTACCAGAACCCGTGGACAGCTTGAGAGGATCCTTGCCTGACTGATGAGAGAACAGGCCCGAACTGGCAACGGGCAAGAAAGTCGGTGAAGTCGGACGAGATGATGGCGTCGCGATGGAGCTCATAGTCGCAGTAGTACTGACGCTGCTCCGGCCCTCGGTCGATGTGGACGTGCGAGACTGAGGCCGCCGGGCCGACTTTGAACTTCGTGAAAGCGAATCCTTCGAGTCTGAAGCCTCGGGAACAGAGGACCCGCTACCATTGCGCTTCGATGCGTACGGACGGTAACGCGGTGTAGGCGACGTGCTCGACATTCGGCTCGACTCCTTTGCCCGGTCTTTGATAGGTGACGGCGTGTCGTCCAGAACAAGAACCCAACCCTCTCCATTCTTCCCTGCAGGTGTATGCTGCTTTCGGTCCACTTCCTCATCACTACGTCGACTGAGGAAATTTGGTTTTCTGATGTCCTCAGACGACTTGCGAATGTGGTTCAGGAAGGAGTTAGAAGAGGAAGAGGTGGCGATGCCAGGCGGTGGCTTGACAGTCGCCGTCGACGCTGAAGGACTGCCGTACGGTCGCGTGGAGGTACTGCCGTTCCGGATGCGCGGAACACGTGTATGGATCTTTGCCTCGAGGTTCTTTACCTTTGCCCTCATTTCCGATACCATCTGCACTCCCTTGCTTCTCGCCACCGTCTGTGGGATACCAGTGGTCGGTATCGATGAATATGGTGTGCCAGGGATGCGAGTGGGTAGCCGCACGGGAGTATTCCGAGCAGGCAGACGTGAAGGCGAAGTGAGTGATGGAAGAGTGGTCGATCGGTTGATAGGCGTCGATGTTGTTCCTGGCGCCGGCAGTCTTGTGGTGCGAGGCGTCCCAAATCCTGCACGTTGCAGCAAGGCAGACTTTCCTGCCTCTGAAGAATTGAGTGACGAAGTCGATGGGCGAGGGGTTTCTGTGACGGTCGAGGGCATGCTGTCCGAGTCGAGAGCAAGATCGGAGAGTTGGAGATCGGAAGGGGGCCGTGTGTGCAGGAGATCTTCCTCTGAGTTCTGACGCAATGAAGGCATACTCGACGAGGGTGTTGCAGAGTCAAGGGATTCGAGTGTAGGGTTGGAACTCGCGGCGCGAGTGAGGGCGGTATCGAGTTGATCTCTCAGAACAGATACTTCTTCATTGGTGTCTGAAGCGAAATTAGTTCGCGGGTTGATAGTCGATAGAGTGTCGACAGTGTTGCGGAGATGAGAGGGTGAATATACGAACCTCGTAGGTCATCCTTGAGACGCTGGCATTCCTCTTCCAGGTTTGCCTTGTCCAGAAGTTCGTGTTCTAAGATAATCTTCTCCTCCAGTGCCCGATTATACTTTGCCTCGACATCGGCCAGACTTGACGTAACCGCACGCTCGTTCCTCTCCAAATCGTCATTACCCATCTCGAGTTCTCGCAGTTGAACCTTGAGCTTCTGGTGGTCCTGCCGTAGAGTGTCAAGTTCACGCTGCAGTCGGGCTGTCGTCATGTTGTGTGTTGTTTGAAGTTGAACAAACTTGGCCTAGGAGAAATGGGCAGCGATGTTCGATGGGGCGTGATCAAGACAGGGTGCCACAAGGCGCAGTAATTTTGGGGAAGAAATGACAGACCTTCCAATCATCCCTCTCGTTCTCCGCTCGCTCTACCTTGACCCGTAGGTCCTGCTGTGCCTTCTCTGTCCTCTGCAAGTCCCTTTCCAGCTCTTCCTCGAGTTCCTTCGACGACTGTTGGAACTCATCGAGTTCGTGTCTCGTCTCGGTGAGCATGTCTGCGACTTCATAGTACTTTGACTTCCAATCCGTCGAGGCATTCGAGGAGTAACTGAACCATGCACGCCGACGTCAGCAATCAAAACAAAATAGCACGGGGAGCGATGCGCACTTGAGCTGGTGGTCGTCATGAGAGGCCATGATGTTTTCCTTGCGTAACGCGTCTGAAGCTGACAGGATGGCTGTCATCGTCGTCGAGCGCTACGTGTCGGATTTTGTCCAGGCAAAGACGGAGAGGAAAGAGCGACCAGAACGGGGGATGAGGCAGGGGGACGGCGGCGACGGCGGCGAGCGAGCGGTTGTTGTGCGATGGGTTGGTTGGTTGAAAGTGAGGAGTGAGGGAGTGGGACCGGGCCAGGAGGATCAGAACTCCCCAGATTGGGCCATCGCGCGCGGTCGACCCCGGCAATCGCCGGACACGCCCTTTTGTTCATCCTTCTTCCCCACACCGTTCACCGCGTTCCGTCCCTTTGTCCGCCGCAAAGCGTACTCCTCCATGCCGCGCTCGGCTACCAGCGCTTTGAACAGGCAGAGGGAGCTCATTAAGGCCCCTTTTGGTCCCTATCTCGACGAGGACGTCCTCGCCCCAGAGTGCAAGAGCACCCCCACCAATGTCCTCACGCTCGAGGATGTCATGTTCCAGTACAATGGCCATCCTGCAGGGTATATCTCACGATCTACCCTCCTCGAATCATCTCATTGAGTCGAATCTATACACAGTCTTGACCAGATTGAAGGACGAGAGAACCTCCCGTCCCTCCCCAAACACACCCAGCGGAAGCACCGGCGCATTCCCGCCAAGGCCACCATTTACTTCCGTGGCGTCCTGACCGTCCAGTCGTTGAAGCAGCTCACGGACAGGGGTAAAGTAGCCGTCGGTACAGAGCTTGCCAGGCGGTATCACGAGAAACACCCGTATGGTGACCCATGGGGCATCAAAGCGTACTTCAACGAGTCCGGTAAGGCCAAAGACGAGCTCGCGGTCAAGATCTTAATTCAAGGCGAGAAGAGCATGCCGGCGATATACATGGCAGGTAACCTCAGCTTTGCGCCTCCCAGTGACAATCCTTTTCTCAAATTGATGTAGGTGACGGGGACGAACTCGTGAAGAAGGGTCTCAAGCTGACCACCAAAGACCGAAACCGAATCTACGAAATCCTAAGCCTCGATACCGAAACCTACGAACTCTCCCGAACCTTCCTCTACCGCTACCACACCCTCCACACCCTCGAAGAACTCCACAACCGCGACCAAAGCCGTACCCCACGTAACAAACGCACTCCCGACTGGTTCGCCTCCAGATACCTCCACTGGCAGAGTTACGCGCCCCCTACTAGCCGTTGGCGCAGAACGTACTACCTCGAGGACGCGGTGGACTCCGACTCGGGCTCCGACATCGCCGATATCGATCCGGAGGAGTATAAGACGAAGGAATGTTATAGGGTGCCAGATGAGGCGAAAGACCCGGAAGATCGGGCGAGGAGGGCGGGGAGACAGACGAGGGTTCCGAGGCGGGTTAGGAAACCGCACAGGGCGGAGATTCTTTCAGTCTTTGCGTCGCATTGTGAGTGGATCATTATGGAGCAGATGAAGAGGCAGAAACATAAGAGGATCTTGGATGTGGACATTTGGCAGAAGTGGAGGAATGAGGTGGTTCTGAAAGGGAGGAGAGTGGCGAGGGCGAGGAGGCCGAGGGTTAAGTGGGGTGTGAGGGATGAATATGATGGGAGTAGTGATTCGGACAGTGGGGGAGATGACGATGACAACATGCAAGAGGGAGCAGTGAGTGAGAATGAGGCGCCGGCGACGGCTATGGAGGTGGAGGTGGAGGTGGAGGACGAAGAGGATGAAGAGATAGATATAATAGTCCCGAGCAGAAGAAGAAGAAGAAGGGAAAGCGCGAATTCGACGGACAGTGACCGATCAGTTGCTTGGACCCGAAGAAATGCCAAACCAGGTCCTTCTCGCGATAACGCTGCACCTAAAATTCACACTTACAAAAAGCCGCGGAATGCACCCAAGGTATCATTGTATCTCTCTTCTCACACCTATATGTGATGTCTCTGACACGTACATTTAGCCGGTAGACATCCCAATGGATGTCGACGTCGACGATGCCCCCGCTCCGATCTACAACTCTGACTTCTCATCCTCATCCTCCAATGCCCCCGACTCTCGTGCGTCCAGCCGCTCCCCCTCACCCCACCCCATCGACCCCGAAATCATATCTCTGGTGAACAACAAACTCAGCCACACCTTCCTTCCTCCCCTTCTCCGCGCCGACTCTACCTGGCACTGCGAGATCAAAGGCTGTGACTACGTGCTCGACATGACGGACCTCAAGGACGATGAGGTTCAGAGTTTGAGTAGTGAGGACGTGAAGGGCTTAGTGAACGTGCTGAGACAGCAGGTGTATAAGTGGCCGGGGAAGAGTGTTTTTCAGAAGGTGTTTATGGAAGTTGTGAGGTCTCATTATGAGGAGCATTGGAGGGAGGAGGATCTGAAGATCGTGGCCCGGCCGCATGGAAAGGTGAATTATTTCGTCGCAGACATCTGTTTTCCGATTGGTGGTGTGCTCACGCATGATTTTACAGACGACATATGAATGGATCAATCCGAAATGGCACAGACAATGGCCGCCTCCTGTCAAAGCATTGAACAATCCCAGGGCTTTTCGTGACATGGTTCAGAGACTTGAGCGAGAGCGGGGAACGAAAGACGACGATGAAGTGAGCATTGAACTATGAACACCGCAGAAGCAGACAGCGTGCAGTGCTCCTGTGTGTAGGATATACATATTGCTTCTGAACTTACACTACACTCGATTGAGTCCCCGATAATCAGACATTCTTCGATAGACGCTGCAAAAAAAGAATGCCCACAGTGTAGTAGCACATTATGATTACAAGCCTTCTGGCTTTGCGCATTTTCGTTTCTCGAGTTTACCTGTTTTCGGACAGCGCATTTCCTGCCATGACACAGGTTCCATCGTGCCACCTGAAGTATGTATTCAATCAGACAAAGCTCTAGCGACTTGAAGGATATAAAAGGCGTCTCACCTGCCTCGCTCGTGGCAAAAATGACACCGAGATCATTGCGAGCTGTAGTGATATAGTAACTACGAGCATCACCAAGAGAGATCTGCACCAAAAGCATAAAATCAGTTTCCTGGGGGCCACACGCGAAGTATAAAATCAGTAAAGCAACATACGACCAAACCCTTAACGACATCTCCACCGCGAAAACAATCACCGATCTTGACCTTGTCCTTCTCGGTCGCACGGACGTCCTGCGTCCTGATCACACCAGTAAACTCTTCGCCGGCAGGTAATGGAACGCCATCAACGACGGTGATAGAGACCATAGCTTGCTGTGGCGAGAGTCTCGTCACGGAACCAAGAACTAACGAGCTCGGTGTGGGTGGGTGTGGGCGCACACGCGAAATTGTCAATGTCTGTGAGTTTTCGAGACCGGGGAAGACGGACAGAGAGTGAGTTAGTCAGTGATGGTGGCGCCTCGGTTTGAAACACAAGAAGACGAGAGAAACGGCGGCAAAGAAAGATAACAGACAGATGCATCGTAGTGTGGCACGCCGACGACCGACGCTCTCGCAAGCCCATCTTTGGAGTATATTCCGCTGCCCAAGAGGGGAGCAGGGCCCTTTGGAAGGGGGACGGGCTGGCCAGGGAGGAGACAGTCTGAGGCCATTAGTGTGATGGAGTGGCGAAGAAAGATGGGATGCGGGCAAAGCAGGAACGCGTCTGGTTGGCTGAGCCCGAGCGCTGGGGCAAGTCCGATCCCGACGCGAGTCCCAAAATTCGGTCCCTCTCCCTCCACCGCACGTCCTCCTCGTCCTCGTCCCCGTCCTCGCTATGTCTGCCTCGTCCTTGGCCCGCATCCTCACCAGGAGTATGTCCATACTCTTCATATTCTTAACGCGTTCCAAATATTAACACGAACGCCTCTTTCGAATAGGAATACACTCCTCCGCTCGCCGGCATGCTCTCTCCAGGATGAACATGCCAGCGATGAGTCCCACCATGACTGAGGGCGGTATCTCATCATGGAAAAAGGCAGAGGGTGACTCTTTCTCTGCTGGCGATGTTCTTCTCGAAATTGTGCGTCCACTTCATTGTTGTCCCCATTACATCGCATTGCCAGCGGATTCCTGACCTGAGCGGACGCCCGAATCCCAACGGACTGTAGGAAACGGACAAGGCCGTCATCGACGTCGAGGCCGCTGAGGACGGTATCCTTGCCAAGATCATTGTGCGCCGCATCTCTTCGTTCTCTCCGTTTAATTCAATGCTCAACGCAACTGTGTGGTGCACAGGCCCAAGACGGCGCCAAGGGCGTGGCCGTCAACTCCCCCATCGCCATCCTCGCTGAGGAAGGTGATGACCTCTCCGGAGCTGCCAAACTCGCAGAGGAAGCCGTCTCCGAGTCTTCCGAGCCTCCCAAAAAAGAGGAGCCAAAGGAGGAGAAGAAAGAGTCGTCGGCGCCCGAACCCTCAAAATCTTCTGAATCCTCCAAGTCCTCTCCTCCCAAGTCCTCCGAGTCAAAGTCGGAGCTCCCTGCAGGCGACCGTATCTTTGCTTCGCCTATTGCGAAGAAGATCGCTCTCGAGCGTGGTATTCCCCTCGCCAAGGTGAAGGGTTCCGGTCCCGAAGGGCGTATCCTCCGTGAGGACGTCGAGAAGTATCAGCCTTCGACTGGCGGGGCTGCCGCTGCCAATACCGCCTCTGCTGCTTTCGGTGCTCCTGCTTCTGCACAGACGCCGGACTACGTCGATGTTCCCATCACGAACATGCGTCGTACCATCGGCACGCGTCTTACCCAGGCTAAGGTTGAGGCACCTCACTATTACCTCACCGTTGACATCAACATGGACAAGGTCACTAAGCTGAGGGAGGTGTTCAACAAGTCGCTGGCAGAGAAGGACAAGGGTGCGAAGTTGAGCGTGAATGATTTCATTGTCAAGGGTGTGAGCAAGGCACTTGAGGATGTCCCGGAGGCAAACACTGCCTGGCTCGGCGAGGTCATTAGGCAGTAAGTCTCATCTCACCAAAACTCTTCCGTTTACTTGATCTCTCATGGTGTTTAATCTGTGCAGATACAAGAAGGCCGACATTTGCATCGCTGTCGCTACTCCCAACGGTCTCATCACGCCAATCGTCAAGGACGTCGGCGCTAAGGGCCTCGCCACCATCTCAGCTGAAGCCAAGGCCCTCGCAAAGAAGGCCCGTGACGGCAAGCTCCAACCCCAAGAGTACCAGGTACGCCCTTCGCATCCTTGCATACTTCCTTATACCTTCTTCAACTCTCAATTCGCCAACTAACCACATTTTGTACGTTGAAAATAAACAGGGTGGCACCTTCACCGTCTCCAACCTCGGCATGTTCGACATCTCCCACTTCACGGCAATCATCAACCCCCCTCAATCCTGCATCCTCGCCGTCGGCTCCACACAGCCCACGCTCGTCCCCGCTCCCGAGGAAGAGCGCGGCTTCAAGACCGTCAACATCATGAAGGTCACTCTTTCGTGCGATCACCGTACGGTCGATGGCGCTGTCGGCGCGAGGTGGTTGACTGCGTTCAAGGGATACCTTGAGAACCCGCTCACGTTCATGCTCTGAGCGGCATAGCGGCGTAGGGGTTTGTCCTGGGTGAACGTACTGAGCGGGGGATGGGAGACGGACGTGCGGTGACATGATGGACGACCGGGCTTGTCCCCTCGAGTCCGTTTTGGGTTGATTAATTTACTTTTTCGCTGTGGGCACTTTTGCGTCGTTTGGTTGGAAGATAGACTTTTCTTTTTCTTCGCTTCTTTTCGCGTTCTTCGTCTACATATGCTCTAAAGCTCGACGCGTGCGTCTGCTTTAATTCATAAACATATCATAACCTATCCGAGCCACACCTACAGCTCCTAGGTCCCCCACCAACAATGAAGACCTGAGAAGATAAGACGAGTATTACGGTCTAGTACTACCATCATAACTGAAGTAAGTGAGTATAAGGGGTCAAGGGAATAATAACGAGGCTCTACATAAGCAAATATCTAATCCAGCACGTAAGTAAGATAACCCCATGCATCCACAAAAGCAACCAACCAAAGCGATGCGAAGACGAAACGAGGCAAAATTGAGGAGAGGTGGTACTAATCTATGGCGGTGGGCAACGTCGGTGGCAGCGGCCGCAAGCCGCACGCAGTCTAACGTGGCAAGACATACCATCCTGAGCGGTCGGACGGTGAGATAGCACAGAGAGGTCTCAAGGGTTCCACATCCTGGATTGGATGTGTTTCATGAGCTTGTCATCGCTCAGCGCGCGCAAGTCTGTGAGACGGTCGACGCCCTAAGTTGGAAAAAAAGAGGCTGTTGTCAGCGACCGCACCGCATGTATAGTAAGCTGAGCGGCGAGCGTTAAACTCGGAGAGTGTCGGAAATAATAATATTGGATGGTGGTACGAGGGCAAGATCGTAACATCGAACCATGATGAGGATGAAAGAGCAATGGGGCAAGGGAACTAAAAATATAGAATGTAAAAGAATAACGAAAACCACATACCTCCTCCTGCGCCTTCCTAATCACCCTAAACGCAATAAACGCACTGATCTCCCTAATCCTCTCCAGCCTCGGATAAATCAAATCATCCTTCTTCTCACTCTGCGTCAACGAATCCGCCAGCCCCAAACTCGCCGCCTCGACCATACTGTCCGTCATCGTCTTCGTCTGGCACAAGATCGCGCCGAGGCCCATGCCGGGAAAGACGTACATGTTGTTGCCCTGGCCGGGGTAGAGCATCTTGCCGTTGAAGGATTCTTCGGGGAAGGGAGAGCCGGAGGCGAAGAGGACGGAGCCTTGGGTCCATTCGATGGCGTCGTGGAATTCGCATTCGGAGAGGCGGACGGGGTTGGAAAGGGGGAAGATTATTGGGCGGGGGTTCAGGGCTGCCATTGTCTCGACGACGGATTGGTTGAAGGCGTTCTGTATAGTAATAATTTTCAAAATATGAGAACGTCGAAACAACATGGTATCAAATACATAGGAAAGAAACAGGACTGACCTTGATGGTGGAGAGACCGAAGAGAGCAGTTGGCTTCACATGGCCGATGATATCAACCAAGTCGGTCATGGGAGGACCATGGTAGTCACTCCTCGAGAAGTCTGCGACAGTCCGACGATTCAGCAATGATAATAGCCAAAGGAGGAGACGGAAGAAAGATGACCTACACTTCTTATGCTCCGCCATCGGCCCTCTCGAGTCAAAAATCAATCCCTGCGAGTCCACGAGGTAAATCCTCGACCTCGCCTCCGCCTCCGAAAGACCTTGCAGCTTGAAGAAACTCATCAACTGCATCGCGACACCCACACCCGCGGAACCTGCACCCAGGAAGAGAATGCGGTGTTCGCTGAGTGGTCTGCCGGAGGCAGCGGAGGAGAGTTTGGCTGCGTTGATGAAGCCGGAGAGGACGACGGCACCTGTGCCTTGGATATCGTCGTTGAAGAGAGGGTAGCGGTGGCGGAATTTTTCGAGGTAGAGGAAGGCGTGGTCGGTTGAGAAATCCTGATAAGTGGCCGAAGATGTTGAGTATGATGGCAAGAAAGCGAGTGAAGGAGAAGACCCACTTCGAACTGAACGAGGAGCTTTGGGAAGTTGACGGACATCTCGTGCATGAACTCTTCCATAAATTCAGTCATCTAGCAGTACAGTATTTGAGCTTAAAGGCCTCAAGAATTCGTAGTCGTTCGACATACCACATCGTCGGAGACACGCTTGTGTCTGAGCCCGAGGTAAAGAGGATCGTCGAGATACCTCTGGGTGTTTGTTCCCAGATCCAAGCAAATCGGGATCGTCGACGAAGGACGAATACTGCACGATGAAAGCCCGTACTAAGCACACGACGTGACACGCCACAATTAACCGCGCCACACTCACCCAGCACCAGCAACGTAGAGCGAGAGCTTGCCGATAGAGATGGGCATGCCATTCACACCGAGATCACCCAGACCAAGTATCCGAGAACCTTAGACGGTGTGTCAGCTATCTTAGTGCACCGTAGTATGATCGTGTAGTGTAGGCGGCAGTCTTACCGTCAGTAACGACAGAGATACGAGCATCCTTCGAGCGAGGCCAGTTACGAAGGATGGATCCAATTTTTCCTTTGTCTTGGATAGAGATGTACTATAAATGACCATAGAAGTATGAGTCTTCGCTGCACAGGACGGTTGAGTATACTGATTGAGATGATACGCACAAGTCCTTCTGGTCGACGGAAAATGTGTGAATGTTGCAGGCAGGCATCCCCGACAGTCGGTGTATAGATGATCGGCGTGAATTCCTGCACCACAAGGTATGGTAAGCTCCCACTTACCCCTTTTTCCGAGGGTCGGTAGTATCAAGGAGCTAAGGCAATGATCACTTACAGCCATGTTCATCAAGCATAACCGATAGAACATATTCTCATCTGTATGCTTGAGCTGCGATAGATAGATGAATTTCTCGATGGCCTTGTCCTTCGAGCGCAGCTGCGCCATACATCTCACAGCATGAATGGATTCGTTATGAGCTGCAGGAACCGTTCCACGCGGGACTGGCTTAGGCCCTATAATGTTACCACATTGGGAGAAATAAAACCACATCATGCATCAGCAAACTCTCATGGTCTATAGTACTGCAGGCCCGAGTCTTAAGCGCAATGACAAGAGGAAGACGGGACAGACCTGTACCCTCCATTTTCAGCTTTTGAACTCCATTAGACCACACCGGGGTAAGCACGATAGTCATGTCCGATGCAAAGCAGTGATTATGCAAGGAAGACCGGAGTAGTGTCCAAGCAGCAACTAGTCGAAGATCCTAGATACGAGATACGAGTGGTTTGTTTGATAATGCCTTGCGAGTACGATAACCTGGAGATGCAGGAGAGGGTGAGCTTTGGGTGAGCTAGAATGTGGGGAAAGAGGGTCTCGTACCCTCCGAACCCGTTCACTTTATATACCCACCCTAGATCATTTGCGGGGTTATAGCCCTTGCTTTCGCACTCTCCGAGGACCCGGATGGCTGCTTGTAACCTGCCAACGATCTATCGGCACCGCCGGGGATGGGACCTTGACGCCTGCGAGGTGCATGTTGTGCGGTATCCTGAATCAGTTGGTGGATGCACTGCTGCTCCGAGCTCCCCTCGAGACCGTTGAAGCTAGACCATGACTGGGCACATCTTCCGTCTTTCATCAACCCATCCGTATCTTTTTCGACAACTGACTCGAACAGATTTGAACGGGCGTCCAATCAGGAAGGGTGGAAAAGGGGACGAGAGCGTGAGCGACGGTCCTGGACCCTTGAGCTCGGTCGCACGAGCTGGAGAGCCGCGGCTCAGAGTGGAGACATTTTCTGCTTTCATTTCGGGGTGACTCGGATAATCTGCTTTGCTTGTCGAGGAGTTCTCGTCTGTTCGCAGCCATCGCCTAGAATTCGTGCACGGTGTGTTGCAGCCTGCGCGTCTTATTGAACTCGAAGATGCGTCAGGGCAAGACACGAGCATGGTTTTTCCGCTGTGGCGCGTCGGACTCTGGACACGACTCGGAACTTTGGGCGCGCAAGGGCATATCACCCCCTCTGTCGTTCCAACCGGGATCAAGGAATCTGCATCAGTGTCTCGGATACATCATGCTTCGTGATCTCCCTACAAAAAAATCCTGCACGGCGCGTAAACCGCAGCGACGTCGAACTAACAATAAGCTTTCACGAAGTAGATATCGCCCTAACCCTCGCCATTGCGAACGCCACCAAAAGTCTTCGCTTGCTTCATCCATTTGCCTATTACTTATGTATATTCGAGGTACATCGGCATAAACTATCCCAACCGAGTGAAGTAAAGATACAGGTTGCCATCGCGCGACGATACACTTCTTCAGCAAGCCATTCAATTCTACCTAATTTCGTTACGCTACGTTCTCTTTCGCCGTCATTTACAAAGGTTCAATATTGGGGATAGGGCCCACAGGCACGATGCGGTGCGGGTTGATCTACGAGAAGGGTTGGGGTCAACCGAGGTTTGACTTGACCAGTGAAAAGTGATACAAGGAACATACAAAGGGGTGAGACCAGTAATAGTGCGTCTTGATGTGCTCAAAGTTGTTCGTCGACTTGAAGGCGTCGTTGTTCCAGTACAGTCGGCGCAGCCAGCTAGGAAAGAGGCTCTGTTTGAGCATCACATCCGAGCATCCAGGATATCGAGAATATAGGGAAATTTTGCGCACAGATGGATGTTAGGATAGCCACCACGAATGGTACGAATGTTGCACTTGAAGTGGCCCACATAGACGGGGTCGAACCGAATCTACGAAAGATGCAGATGAGATCTTGAGGACAATCGACAAAAATTGAATACATACAATCGTGACGAAAAGTCGAATGTCTGCCTCCGTCAGACGGTCACCAACGAGGTACTCTTTCCCTTCCAAGATCTTCTCGACACGGTGCAAAGATTCGAATACTTTAACAACAGCGGTCTGATAGGCCTCTTGAGTTGATGCGAAACCCGACTTGTACACCCCATCTACACATAGACCCAGATCCAGTGAGATCTATATGACAAATAGGTGAGGGAGAGGAGACACTGACTGTTGATGGTATCGTAAACCCATTCGTTTACTCCGTCGATCTCTGTCCGGAGGTTAGCGGGGTAGAAGTCTAAGTCTGCCTTTTCCTTAGGGATAAGGTCGTTGAAGGCCGAATTGAACATCCGGATGATTTCCGAAGACTCATTGTTCGCAATGGTGTGTTGCTTCTTATCCCATAGCACGGGAACAGTGAATCTGGAGCACGGTTTCAGAAGGAGTAATGGGCCACAACATTGACAACAGACACACCTCCCGGAATAGTCGGGATTGGCACGCAAATAGAGATCTTTGACGTGTTTAGAATCGTAGTTTGGGTCCTTGTCGGCACCAGGGAACTCATCTGCGACAGCAAAGGGCCAACCGTCATCTCCCATTCGAGGTGACACCACGGTCACAGCTGAAGAAGTAGTAAAGTGAGCTGTGTGGCGAATAGGGGCTAGAGGTGCCGTAAGGCGACATACGGATAATGTCCTCCAGTCCCTTGAGTTTACGCATGATCAGGGTGCGCGTGGCCCATGCTATAGCACAAGTATGAAAGTTTAAAGATGTTTCGTGCACAAGATCGAGAAAGTAACTCACGGCAGGCATACGAGACGTAGAGGTGATATCTATCTGTGTACCAAAGTTACAGTCAAGGACATCGAAGGACCGAGTATGGAACAGGTAACGCACCTTTCTCAGGAGGAAACTGTCCGTCTTTCTCGATAAAGTTTCTGAAAGATGAAGCAGCGCGGTTGAAGTTACCGTTCTCCGTCTTCATCTTGTTAATGTTGGTCTGGTGGGAAACGTCGCGCGTAGGCTGAGACATGGCGTAACCTCTCGGTGACGGTCTGAGCTGAAGATACTTCAGCTGCTGTGGTGAAGAGTGCACTGGTATATGTCGAAGAGACGAAAGCGAGCGAATATGTAGAACTGAAAGGGATGAACAGCCAGTCTTATGAAGGGGATGGCGAGAGAGCCTGAGGGCAAGAGCGCATGACATAACGCAATCGCTCATCGCAGGCGCTGAACAAGCCTATTTCCACATTTGTGCCAGCCAGCCCACGCTGTCCGAGTAAGCCCACAAATACTGCTTGACAAAATTCTGAGGGTCTCATACGGATTGGAACATCGATCGTCAGCGAGGGCAGCTGCTCAGTCGTGCTGCTTCGTCGTGCGGGTTCTGTGTAGGTGTACAAGATGTGTTTGTTTAGCGAGCGTGAACCTTTTGCTGACTCGATTTATTACGTCAAATTTTGTGGAGAGGAAGATGTGGCACACTTCTGTACCACACGCCACACTCTATCTTGCTCATGTCCTTCACATCATCCGAGCTCTAGAACTGACTCTTGACGAATATATCACCAATTTCACTTGTCTGACGACAAAACTTGTAAATTTTTACCATGCCTGGACGTCTACGCAGATCTCCACTGAAAAAACCAGGTAACAAAACTGGATCAGCATATCTCACTGGCTCTCACACCCCTTCCACCAGAACGTACATATCTAGCCCTCGGCCTCGAGGGTTCAGCCAACAAACTCGGGGCAGGAATAATCAAACATGACACCGACGGTTCCATGACCGTCCTGTCCAACGTTCGGCATACCTACATTACTCCACCAGGAGAAGGTTTCCTCCCGAGAGATACCGCCCAGCATCATCGGCAATGGGCTTTGAAGGTTATCGGGGATGCGGTCGAGAACGCTGGAGTGTCGATGCATGATCTGGACTGTATCTGTTTTACGAAAGGTAGGTCTATCTTGTACTCACTAATCGAACTCATGAGGATCAATGTTGGATGTAGGACCAGGGATGGGTGCGCCTCTGCAGTCCGTTGCTCTCGTTGCTCGGACGCTGTCTCTCCTATTCGACAAGCCTCTCGTAGGCGTAAATCACTGCGTAGGCCGTGCGTACCCTTTATTCTTCCTTCGTCACATCGTACGAAGCTAACTTACTGGGCTACGTATCGCGTTGACAGACATCGAAATGGGGCGCAACATCACTGGCGCACAGAACCCCGTCGTTCTGTACGTCTCGGGAGGTAATACCCAAGTAATCGCCTACTCCCGACAATGCTACAGAATATTTGGAGAGACACTCGACATCGCCGTCGGAAACTGTCTTGACCGGTTCGCCAGAGTGATAGACCTGAGCAATGACCCGAGTCCAGGTTACAACATCGAGCAATTAGCGAAGAAGTGCGTCCCTCCAGTACCCTCACTCAGTCTTCACTTTACCACCCCGAACATAAAGGCTGATTTTCCGACCGATTATCTAAGGGGAACACGCCTCGTCCCACTACCCTATCAAACCAAGGGCATGGACATCAATCTCTCCGGAATCCTAACCTCGACAGAAGCCCTGACGCTGGATAAACGGTTCCGAGCAGAAGGAGTGCCAAAAGGGCCGGACGACACGGATTACTTCACCCCTGCCGATCTGTGTTTTTCCCTGCAAGAGACCGTGTTCGCGATGCTCGTCGAGATCACGGAGCGCGCAATGGCACATATCGGGAGCAAGGAAGTCCTTATTGTCGGTGGCGTTGGTTGTACGTTTCTTGTCACCTTAGTTGAACAATTTGGGGTGATATTGATTTGACTTGTAATTCTGCATTCCCTAGGTAACGAACGATTACAGGAGATGATGGGGATCATGGCCAGAGAGCGTGGTGGACAGATCTTTGCCACCGACGAAAGGTTAGTTTATTGAGGCATTTGACTACGACTATGTTTACTGATTCTGAATCCAGGTTCTGCATCGACAACGGTATCATGATAGCTCAGGCTGGTCTGCTCAGCTTCAGGATGGGTCAGAGCACTCCATTAGGGAAGAGCACATGCACACAAAGGTACGATTTTATTCTCATGCACCTCACGGCGAAATCTAACACATCAAAAAACCTATAGATTCCGCACAGACGAAGTACACGTCACCTGGAGAGCTTGAAGCCATCCCAATCGAACCGTGACCACAGCGCAGTGTAGCAGCCATCATTGTAATTCTATACACATGTAACATTTTCTTCCAATGAAACCATAGGTAACTCTGTGCCCGTCTATGTCTGTGAACCACACAAAACACGTTGTGAAGCTACGGCTGTGCCACATTATCAAGCACCAACCTCCGTCCCTCCGGATCACTCTTCCCAAGCTCTTCCACCAACGCCTCCAACTGATCCCACCACCACGTATTCACCTCCTCATACTCCGCCGAACTTCCCTCCTGTCCGACCCTCGCCTGCCACGGCTTATCATGCAATATATAATGCAGACATCTCACTTCCTCGTCCCTCCACAACGGCTTGTGGATCTGCCGTAACGTTTTCAGCGCGTTGTATTTCCACGGCAGGGGCTTCCATTTTCCGGTGAAGACGGCGGCGAGGAGATCTTGATCGGGGAAGGAGAAGGACGAGACGTCGGGAGAGGTATGGAGGTAGTTGAGAACGGTTTGGGAGAGGGGGGCGGAGGGGTTCATGACGACGATGCCTGAATTCAAGAGACCATAGGTCCGTGGGCTATCTGATTTGATATTGCTTGCCTGGTCGAGAGCGAGAGGGTGCTCGAGGGGAGAGTATGCACAGTTTTCAGGTACCCTGAGAAGGATGGTGATGTCGATGAGAAAGAATGAGAATAGAGATGGATGGAACGGGACATACCAGTCCTTCGGATAGTGAGGTAATTTACGCGGGTTGCAAGTGCAGGCATGGCATGCAGCGATCCAGTCGTCGGGGAGTTCAAGATCCATGAGCTCGTCCATATTTCGGCGAACGATCATGTCGCAGTCCATCAAGACTATACGCTTTGGACATCATGAGAACAGATTCAGCTTTCGGCCTGTTCTGACTATGATAACGGACTCACATCATATTCCACGAGTTCAAAGCCCCTGTCAAAAAAAAATGAATCCAGAGCAACTATAAGACCGCAATTCACAAACGCAATATATCACAACAACCGCAGCGCACCTCAACTTCGTCCAAGTATCCGCAAACCTCGCATCATGTGCGCTAATCGTCACCAATCCCTCCGCCGGATCCACTCTCTCAATCTCTCTCATCTTCACACCCCGTCGACTTAACACATCTCGGGCTTCCTGGGACAGCGAAGGAGTGACCATGATGACCAGCGGATACTTCGAGCCTACGGCTCTCAGCGAGGACTCGACGACGAGTGCTCCGGGGAGGTATTCGGCCTTGGTGAGGAGGGTGACATAGGCTGCGTTGCGCGACATGTGGAAGAGATGAGAGTAAGATCAGTCGACGATGGCTGGTGCGATCCTTGGGGAATGGGATGGCAAGAGTGTGTGTCGCGGTATAAGATGAAATAGGAATAACAATAAGACTTGAAGGAAGGGAAGGGAAGCAGGAAGGATCAAATTTGATGGTAATCGGAAGGCTTAGAGAGCCCCATTTTGACTCAAGTCAATCCTCGGGATGTTGTAGATGTCGGTGTTTCGGTATGTGCGGCAAGGCGATTCGTCGGGAGTGTAGAGAACGTGCATGCATCTGCTGCGATGAAACATATCCGTTCATATCTCTTGTTGACAACTATCCTTGCCTGGTTCGGAAAGGGAACGATGTTTTCTGTTTCCGAGGAGAACACGGAGAGCGCCGTCGCCCTGTATTGTTCTTCGCCGGACGCCCGGCCTCAGCCTTCCCAGACTTCCAAGTCTTGGCAATTGTAGTCAAAGCGTCAAGTTTCATTTCGCCGAGTCTTGAGTTCAGTTATGCCGAAATGAATTTCGCAGATCCAGCAATAATCCCAAGAAAAATCGAATCTACTATATCGTAGCCCCAGACAAGATAGTTACAACTTTTTCCACTTCAGCTGGAGGAAACTTCTACTACCTCCTTGATGACCCGCTCTCCAGCCAAAGGCGGCGCCGTCTTTGCCCTTTCCATTCTTTCTTCCGTGATCTCGAAGCTCCGAGGAAGACGCTCGTCCCATACGCCTTGGTCCAAGATCTGTTTCGCAAGAGACTGAGTGCAGCTCAGGATACGAGACATACCGTGCCCTGAATGATACATGTACGGATGTTTTCAGAATATTTGTGATATATTAGAGGAAGCATTTCAGACGTACCGTGGAATGCGACAGCCGCCCACAGATTCTTCTTACCCGGGACTGGTCCAATCAGAGGTAACAAGTCTCTCGAGTAGCCCATAATTCCTGATAGGAAACCCCAATGTTAGACGGCGGTCGGGAGGGCGATCCATGATATGAAGTACCAACCTGTCCAGACTCTACTGAGCCCCTCGCCCTCAGCTTCCTCACCCCAACCCTGAAACGTGTCCTTGCAGTAATCTTTCAGATCTATATACGAATATGAACCGAAAGTCAGCATCCTCATAAAACAAGCCAAAAAAACAGGCTCACAATCCCGAATAGGTTCCAAAACCACGCTATCGTCCACCGCCCCCAAAAAGTTACCGACCTCCTCCTTCTTCACGATCCCCTCATTAACCAACCCACCCCAACCCACTCCTAAGACCCACCCAGAACTCGGCGTGAACATGAGGTATGGACCGCTGAACATCAACGAGTTCGAAATATGTTTCGTTCCGGAGAACGATGTAGGCACTGTGATGAGGGACGCATGACCTCGAGCCGGGGTGATATGAGCCTTGAAGGGCTCGAAGATGTGGCCTGTATGCGCGTTCGAGCAGAGGATAACGTTCTTGGCGCGGATCTGCCCTTTACTGTGCGCTTTCACGAGCCATTCGCCTTCGTTGAGACTCTCGAAAGACTCGACGGGCGTCCAGGAGAAGTATTTGAAGTTGGAGGATTTGGACTGAAGAGCGAGACGGACGAGTTCGGTGCAGAGTTTATGTGGATGGACTGAGCCTGCTTTGCGAGTGGCACCACCGACTGCAGGTGTGCGGGACAGCTACTCGAGAATAGGGCGTTCAGTAAGCGCAGAGAGTTAGTAACAAAGCTTGTCCACTTACGCGCTGCACCTCTTGTGCGTCCTCTATCCACCGTGTTTGGTCGTCATCCGATTGGAATCCGCATGACTGTAGCGCCGCAAGACCCTTATCCCAAGCTGCCCTCTCAGCTAGCTTCTCTTCTTCAGTCAGGAACACTACAGTCAATAAAAAACAGGAGATAATCAGCTCTGGGACATACTAAACTTCAAAGACAGGCCATACCATCCAAGGCCTCGCCACACCAAAGATCGACATCCAAACCCTCCTTCTCGACGATCTCGCGAGCGATAGCATAATTATCCCTCTCCATCCTGATAATCTTGACAGCTTCCTCGCTCGACACGCCTGCTCCTCCTTCTGTGAGCGGGGTTACGAGTCGAGTATAAGCTCCAAACGTATAAGGTGCGAGATGCCCTCCATTGCGACCCGCTATGAATGATGTAACATCCAATGATGAGACAATACATCGGCGTGAAAAATCATGGTTGATGCCTACTTGCGCCGGAAGCAATGTCCTTGGCTTCAAGAAGCACGACACTTTTGCCTTCGCCTGCAGCACCTGGTCGGGTCAGTTGGTAGGCCAGCGAAGCGCCTAGCAGAGTGTTCATGCACAGTATGAGCATAAATGTGTTGTCGGATTATGCTTGGGATTGGACATGCCAGTCATTCCTGCGCCAATGATCACGAAGTCGGCATCAGCAGGAAGAGCATCTTCTACTCCATAGTTAAACAAGCTCTTCGGGCCACGATTCTGGAAGTAGAAATAAATTGATATGCTCAGTTTCCGAGAACATGAATATGATGACCCACGGTAGCTTGCCAATGCGACACCGTGGATTTGAACGATTGAGGGAAGGAAGACATGGCGTTGCGCCGGCTCAGGAGATGGACAAGATCGAAGACGAAACTTGGGAGAGTGCTTTGAAGAAGTGCGTATCTCTTATATCGACGATGCTGCAATTTCTTGAAATTGAATCGGAGGGACCATATGCGTTAGATAAGCTGACCGGAACGGTCCTCGTGCTTTGCAATTCGCAGCGATCCAGAGGCACCCAGCCAGTGCTCAAGTACATTGCCACGGCGAGTCGAAAGGGCAGCGCTCTCTACCGGCGGCTTCAACGAGAGGCATGCTCATACTGACCATAAATTGCCCCATCAGTCGACGAACTCAGCAATGCTTCCACATTCTCACACAATGTGCTGCGCCCTACGTATGTAGTAACACGGCAAGAATCAAAATAGAGCCCATACGCGAGTCATTCCGAAAGGGAGGCCAGCATGCGCAAAAGCCGTTTTCTCCTGATAGACCAGACGAACTGGAGCGCAGTCAAGTTGCTCACCGGTCATTTCGACTCTCCGTGAGCTACGGCATCGGATATGTTCGTTCATTGTCGATGAGCTAGGGTACCCTGCGGTAAAACCCTAGGAGCATCATTGAATAGAGTCAAACACATTGCGCCTTCGGATGCCATTTTAAGGGAGGCTAGGGTCCATCGGCGGATGATCGAAAGATTCCGGGATATCGAGAGGAGTCGCGCAGGTACTATCTTTGCCGATTTTGACGCAAACAGGAATTGTAGGTTGGGCAGACCCATGGGTCTACGTGTTTCATGCTATGAGATTGGCATGACCATGACCATACAACATGCGATGCAGAGCGAGACGGAAAAGATGAGGGATCATAATGCAAAAGACACGGCGAATCGAGGATGGTTTTAACGGAGACGACTGTAACGGCACAGTATGAATATATTAGAACCTCGAAAATCCTATCTATACAAAGGAGATAAAAGCACGCACCGAGCCTCACGCTCACTCTCCAGGAGAGCCAAGATGTCCTCCTCTCGGACGGGACCCTTCACGTTTCGGATGATTGTCCGTGTAGTATCGTCCAAGAACTCGACTCGGACTTGAGTGACACCACCACGGGATCCAGTCCTGCCGAGGACCTATTCACAAGAGTACGGTCAGAAATTGTGGCTCAGGTGAAATTGTACGAGTCGAGAGGATGTGACCTTGATGACACGGGCGAGCTTGACTGGTGCTTTTGACGAATCCTACATCTAACAGTCAGACAGTCATACAACGAGCAATATAACGCCGTGCTCACCATTTTGTGCTGGAGGGTGAGGCCGACGTGTCTTGCGGGGTCGAGGTTTTGTTGAGGGTCGTGGTCGCGGAAAAACAAGGTTTGCACGATAAGGTTCATGAAATTACAGCTCCGCTTCGCAAGCTACCGGCTCTCGCCACATTTGTGCCACATGCAGCCTCTGTCAGAATTGTATGTCTCTAAGCTGTTTAACCTTCTCTTTTTTAACCTTCTCTTTTGCATCTCATATAAGTACACCTGATGCACTGAATTTAATCTGTTGTTTATTGCGGTATTTTACCCATGCTTGCCATAGCGTCATATGTCAATGGGGTTTCATGCGAGGTGCCAATACGAGGTGTCACCCGCATCTCACAAACTTTCTTACCTCCTGACGATCGAATAATCTATCACAGTATGTATCCTCAGAATATGGTGTCACCTTCCAACATCAGAAAAAATACAATCAAAACAATTATTCTAGTCCACATTACACTCTGATCGTACAGGAGGCTCCTAGCATTCGGTATCCCGGACGAGCCTCTAATGAAATTGCGGGTATCTTATAATACATGTTAACGGGAGTCATAAGGTGTAAGTCCGTGGTTGTGAATGAGCATGAGAGGAAGAGAAATCATAGTCGTCCAGGAAACATTATAGAGAAAATAGCAGGATCGAGAGCGGTTCGCCGGAGAAATGTTGTGCTCTACTGTACACATTCAGATTGCCAGAGTATACATCATTGATCGTGAAAAGTCATACCATCCAGGAGATGGGTGGTCATCGTGAAGTTTACCAATCGGGCCACAACTCGAGGAGGGTATTTCCCTCTTCCTCGGGAGCATCCTTCAGCTTCGTCCATCGATCGGGGACCTAGAAATGGTTTGAGTTAGCTTTCTCTCAAATCCAAAAGAGGATGGACGTACAAGTGGAAAATATCGCTCCATAGCACTCGTGAATCTCTGCCTGTACTGTTTTGGAGTGACGATAGTTGGTTCACCTTTGCCTGCACCGCCGAGGAAGGCTGATTCCTTCACCCAGCTTTCAAGCTTCTTATCCCAAGTATACGTCCTCACGTAATCTTGAGCCACGCAAAAACGGTGTTCAAAGCTGTACGAAATTCTGAAGCTGGAAAGTAGAACTTACCAACAATACCAACAACAAGTTCATTCCTCTCGCTATCAACGCCGACTACGAGCGAATAGTCCATGACATTGATGTCGGCAAGGAATTTACTATCGTTATAGAGAGCACCTCGAAGAATACGCTTGGAATGCTCGCGAAGATAAAATGGAGCGAGATGAGCAGCTAATCCATACGATCAGCTATGGAAAATGAAGTCGATACGGGAAAACATACACTGGACCAAGTTCTCATCGAGAAGGACCTCATTCTCTCGCCCAGTGGATTGGACATGTCGATTACGAGTAGAGCCTTTAAGGTCATAGATCTGATGGGTATGGATGTCAATACAGCTCTCGCATGAGTAGAATGTGTCTTACTTTCGAGTACCGCCTGTCGTAAAACAGATTCTCCATGACTAACAGGTTCATCTGGGTAGGTCTTGCTCGCCCTTGTCCCCTGTCCTTGCCGTTCTTCCCGAAGGTGATCTTGTAGCAACCGAAGACCTTCGCGAGAAGTGTGGGACGCTACAGCCGATGAATTAGCCTAAAGGCATATTATTCGAATATGAGACGACATACATTGGCAGACACTGCGGAGGACATGTAGTCGAAGTATGCAGGCGCAAAAGTCTCCATGGTTTGTAGCTCTGCCCTGGACATCTCTTTCGCAATGAAGCGATCGTCTATGAACCCTGGTGTGTCAGATGGAAGGACCGGGAAGCAAGGGCAATACACATACCCCGAGTCTTCAAGAATGCGGAACCCGACTTTCCACCACTCGCGTTCCACTTCACGCACCGCGCCAAAGATTCAATCATGCTCTTCTCGCAGTCGTAAGTCCTTCGAAGAGCATCAAATTGTTCAGGGTAGAGAACCGTGCAGCTAATGGTAAGACCACCACTTTCGAAGGCTGTCACGACATGATTAAAATCATAACACAGCTTCTACTATTGGGGGACTACTCACTGATTGCCCAAGGTGATTTCGAAGATGGAACACGAAGTTCCTCCGTAGGATTGGCACCATCGGTCGATTCGACGTTGACTACGCCCCATGTAGATGTAGACTCCGCAATAGAGCGGTCGTCAGGCATGAAGGCTTCACCGCTTTCGTTCATAAGCTTGGGTTCTTTCGCATGTCGCTTTTCGGCACGAGACTTGGCCAACATGTCACGGTATTGCGGGGAACTGGCAAAGACGAAGACAGAGATCAGAATCACTGATAGAAAATTGTGTGAATCGGAACTCACTTCAGTGCGAGGGCGATGATGGATGTCGGTTCGTCAGTCCGTACAACCATCGAAGAGTCTCGGAAAATATGCTCCGGATCGGCCATAGGATCATCGCCCTCCAACTCGCCCCGAGCACGAGGATGTGGCAAATGCTGAGGCCAGAGATTCGTGAATGCTTTCAAAATCGAGTTCCGTTCCTGCCCAGGCCCTAGCTCGAAGTCAGATGGCGGAGGCAAGGATTGTTCTTTGTAGTGCGGGAAGATGGACGACAGCAATGGTGAAGCCGGGACCGACATGGCCATCTCGCGATCCCTGGGAGCACTCGACGGTTCTCCAGGCGGTTTGCTGGGTCCAGGATCGGGCTCTGCTTGCGACGGCCCAGATGGCTGGGAACCGTCGGGCTGGTTTAAGTCAGAGACGTGAGGCTCAGACCCGATATTGACTTCAGGAAGTGTTGCAGAAGCCTCCGGGGAAGTCTTGGTCGAAGAGTCGGGAGATGTCGCCTCTGAAGGCTTCTGGCCCTCATCTTCATCGCCGCCTTCGTCGTCAGCTTCGCTCGAGGAATCAGAGCTCTCCGACTCATCCTTTATCGCATCTTTCACGCTGTCAAGAATCTCTACCCGCGCACGAGCAGAGGCAACTGGACGTGCTCGGCGTCCACGAATGACCGCATAACGTCGATTCGCACGTTCGTTATCTCGATTCATGCGCTCGAAATGCTTTGCGATGTTGGAGACCTTGCCACCTGGTGTTACTGGTGCGCGTCTGAAAGTCGATTTCTGGCCAGAGCTCGAAGTCGGACGAGACGGTGTCTTCTCCTTTGTAGCACTACGAGTCGAAGGCTTCGTCCGTGGTGGTTTCGAGGGTCCTGCTACAGCCAGGAACGGACGAACGCCAGGAGGCGGACTTGTCCTTCCATTGCGCAGAATAGATACAGGTGCGTCCGATTTCACCGCCGTGAGAGTGGAGCGCTTTTCGGGCGAGGGCTGGCGAGAAGGGTCTTGCGATTCGAACGACGAAGGAACGGGCACGGGGATCTTGCTCGAGTTGCTTCCGTACGATGACTGTCGAACATGTCTCCGAGAGTGCGTAAGATAGCGTGGTGCGATGTTGGCGGCGTAACCGGATTCAAAGTCAGACGTAGAACCTTTCCTGACAGGTGCGTGACGGATCCTGCTTCGTACGATACGCGATTGTAAGTGCGACGTGGTGCTCTCCTGATCGCTATCGGCGGCTTGGGTCACAGGAGAGAGTGCGGTCTTCGCCAGCTCCTCCATACCCTGCGAAGGTAGAAAGTCCTGGTATTTCTTGACAAGCTCGGCGACGCTTGGCTGTTGTACGGGACGTCGCGGTAGCCTAGAGCCACCCCTGGATGGGCGTTCAGTTGTCACTGCTTGTTCACCGTCCTGCCACGTATAGAAAACACATAAGTTAGGTGTTATGGCTGAGTATCGTATCACATACCGAAGTGATGGCACCAACAGAGGATGCCAACCCAGCCTTGGTTGCACCGATAGTCGAATCACTTTCTGGGTCAGAACGAGGGAGTCCTTCAACCGAGCTAGAGAGGTGTTCTTCTGTTCCGGATGCCTGAGTCCCGGGCGAGTCTGCACTAGACTCCTTCAATGAATCGAGAGCCATACTGTCCCCACGACGAGACGCGTTGCTTTCCGCCTCTGTTTCCGACATCTCTGACGCCTCTGAGGCGGAGGTGAACGACTCTCCCGTAGTTCTCCTGCTCAATGTCGGCTCGTCTGCTTCAGACACGCTAGACGAAGGCATATGTAGATTGTTTTCCAGCGCTGACAGCTCGTATCGCCTAGGCCACATCGCTCGCACCGATCCAAATGCCGAAGTACGGCGTTTGTCGGTGGACGGTCCCTTCGGTTTCGGAAGCCTATCGAAATCCGCCTGCCAGGCCACGATCTTGTCCTGGCGAAACGAGCGAACCTGATTCAATATCAAGGTGTCCGTTGGGGCAGACTCGGTATAGATTTGGTTGATGAGACGAGCGACCTGCGCTTTCTCCATCTCTGCTCGGTTGATCAGCTGGTTGATGTCCGCGGTGAGCTTCGTGTCCGCCTCTTCGTCTCCAGTCGCAGCGTCGATGTTGATCAGCTTCAGGTCGTCGATGAGGGCTGTATACCAGAGCGTGCTACGGGTCATGAGACGCTCGTAATCCTGGTTCTTGAGCTGCAGCTGGGTTTCGGGGCGGACGCGAATACGCATCGGCGGGTAGATGATCTCGTGGAGAGTGATAGGGTCGGCTTGGAAGCGTACGGTCATGCCTCTTGTGGCGAAGAACCTTACATGATGCTGGTAGATATTATGCTGACACCCCGCACCATGTACCAGTTGCACGTCGGCAGGGTAGAAGTGAAGTTCCAAGAATTTGGCGAACGAGTATCGCTGCATTTCTTCCGAGACGGGAATGAATGGCGTCGCACAACCGCATATACGACAGGCACTCCATGTGGTAATGAGCTCTGGGGCAGGCGTACTGCCACGTCCAATAATCTGGCCATCCCACGGTTCCGTAGCCACGAAGATGCGGCTCTCATTGTGGACGTAGACTTTGCAATGGCGAGCGAGTGGCTCATTGCATGCTTTTCCCGCACAGGTCGGCTTCTTGGGATCCAGCGACCAAACGAGCTGATCCGCTACCCGGGCCTCGATGAACTGGGCCAAAGTCAGGTCGTTGTCGCCGTAGTACGTGATGTACTGTAGCTTGGGTGGGACGCAAGCGGCGTGAAGACCATACTCCTCGGTGGGAAGAGTGAACTCCCACAGACTGATGCACTGGTACTTTTCGACTATGAAATCGTCCTGATTCTTGCGCAAATACCACTGCCAAACCCGCTGCTGCTCCTGGTGTTGCCACTGGACATGACTAAACTCGCTCTGAAGCGCAATGTCCGCCGCGGAGAGAAGGGGAATCGGCTGGACTTCCATGACTTGAGGGGTGGCTACAGGACCAGGGGAGAGCCCCAAGCTGGAAAGAAGGCTAGTTTGGGACGCGGAGGGAAGGGCCTTGTAGTCGAAATATCCTGGTTCGCTCGAACGGGTGACGGCGATTGGGGTATTGTTGTCCATAGGCTCCGGGGTTGCTGAGAGTTCAGGAATGGTAAGAGCTTCGATTTGAGCGTGGAGGTCTTGCTGAGGATCGAGTTCAGGGCTTTGTGGCTCATAGGTGGCGGGTGTAACAGTAATCTCGTGTTGATGGAGAGGAGAGGGTGTCAAGGTGATCTCCTGTTGGTGGATAGGAGTATGCGTTTCTTCCCGTCGCACAACTTCGTCTTCCCAGGCTCGTTTGGCGCGTATGAGCTCGTTATCAAGCTCCTTCATACGACGAATGGGTTGGGGTGGCAAGAAACGTAGAGTGGCGGATACGGAGATGAAAGTGGTAAGGTAGGGATCGAGGGATTGCTGTATACGACGAGACAGGCGGAGCTGCTCTGCGTCCTCGTTCGGCAAGTCATCTTCGTGATCATCATCTGACGAAGCGGCGGTCACCGTAGTCTGAGTACATTCGGGAATGTGGGAGGCGATGGGCCCCGGCGTCATTTGCTCTGCGAAGGGGTTGCTGAACGGTGCGATGGCCTGCGAGTCGCTAGTGATAGGATTGTAAGAAGCGGGGACTGCATCGGCACTCAAAGCCGGTAATGTGATGATCGAGTCCTTCCACAGATGCGTCTCGAGCTTGAGATTACGGACGATGAAAGTCAGGAAGCGAGTGACCTTCTTGATCCGCCGAAGTGTATCGATGTCGCCCCCTCGAAGGACTATGGTGCATCCCATCTCTCGATTACAACCTTCGAATCGCATGTATGTCTTCCGTTGACCTGGAATCAGAGGATGGTCGAACGTCTGGATACGATAACGGGAGCAGTGTCCAAGGTGTGGCTCAAGTGCAAGCTTGTCGATGGAAGAGAACACGTCTCCTTGTGTCATGCGAGAAACGAACTGTACGGCAGACGGTTTGACGGTGCGTGCGACGGCAATGTTGTACTTGGCCAACGCGTCAAGAGCGAGTCTAGATACCGACTTCTCCACGAGCACTACATGGGGTCGAAGCGCGGCTATTCGACTTGCGAGATTTCCAAGGTATTCCTTCTCCTGGCGGACGATCTGGGCGAAATGAAGGTACTGGCCTTCGACACGGTTGAACTCTAAGGGGAAGGTGACGAGCATAACTCGGGGGTTCCGTTGGAGACGTGACATGCTCTTGTGCGCCACATTCTTCGTGATGACGGCGCCATCGACGTACTCGGAGTCTCTGGGAGAACCACCGGGGATCTTCTTGATCTTGACGTATCGGCGAACATCCATGTCTGCCCCTTGACGTTGGGGATGAGCGGTGAATGTGAGCTCGCGGGCGATTCGAAGAGCCAATTTCAGTAGCGTGTCCTCCCATTCGCGAACGTTGGGGATCTCTTCCCTAGTGAGCATTTGTCGTACCATGAGTCGGAGGTGGAACATAGACAGAAGATTCAGTTCTTGAGCATAACTAAAATAAAATTGATCAGGATTGTTTCCTTTGTGATACAATGAGGTGCAGAAACTTACGCCGTGCTCTCCCGTCTGGTCCGCCATCCTGGCTCCCCCATGAGAGCCGTATCCATAAGACGACTCTGTGCACGACTTCGAATGAACGGACTGGCAGCTTCGAAATCAGCATAGGAGTTAAAACGCGATCGGACGAGACTCTGAGGTCTAGGACTGTCAGGACCGTTATCCGCCGAACTCGGAAACTGGATCGAACTCGTAGCGCCATCGCTGGAGACGGGCACAGTTACCGGGAAGTCAACGGGCGTTTTGGATCCAGGAGCGATAGGCAGATGGTCGTGACTGTAAGTGTCCGTGAGCGTGTCGACGTCCTTCTCTTCATCTCGTCGAAAAGGGGCTATCGCTTTACGCGCAAAACCCCAACTGCTATCATCACGAGAGATCTCGATTGGAGTGATCGGCCGTGAGCCAAGGCCACTCTCGTCTGAGCCTGATATACGACGTGTCTCTGCGATGGAGAAGAGGTTGAATGGTTCGTCTGTGCGACCGAAAAGCTGGGATGCCGCGAAGGGGGATTGCGAATGATGTGCCAAGCTGAGAGAGAGGGAATCCGGACCCATTTGATGAGCTGCGAAGGGAGAAGTGGCGCTGGAGATGACCGAGCGCCTGTCATCGTCGTCGTCGTCTTCCACCTTGGCTAGTTTCTCCAGGCAGAGATTACAAACGCGAATCAGGCCTTCGTGTCCAAAACGAGATCCCTTGATGACATTAGAGGCGCAGCGTGAGCAGAAGATCTGACCTGCATGAAACTGTATATGAGAATCTATGCGGAGTGGGCGGATATGGGCGCGACCTACCACAAATCCGACAATGATGCTTTCTCCGCCAGGTTGTGAATATGCTTTTGCAATCATAGCATTCCTTGCAGGTTTCATCGTCCATCCAGTAATCACGGGATAAGCCTAAGAGCGGTCAGCACATTCTCATAATGGAGAGATGGTACGAATATCTCGCCTTCGCCTCTAATTCTCCTAATAACTTTGGATACCGACGCGGAGCGTTTGAGACTGGTACTGGTTCTGATACTCCTGGCATCGTCTTGGATAGGGAAGCCAGGTATCGCAGTGCCGTAGGTACCATCCTGAAGTTCTGTGATGGGGGAATTCATACCGCCACGAGATGGCGGGCGGTCATAATCACTGTACGATGGCGTCTCCGACACCACAGGAGTCAAGGACAGCAAAGCGGGCGCCGGGTTGGATGGGATCATGTTCAGTGTTGGTCGTCTGTCTGAAGTAGGGCGTGATGAAGGATATGACGGTGTATTCTGAACGAGTCCCCCATTGGAAGGCCTACGACGTTCAATTGCGGTACCGTTCGGGGGAATGGCAGCAGGACTAGTAGATCCTGAAGCGGCAGCGACTGCTGAGGATAAAGGGCCAGACAGCGTATTTCTCATTTTGGAGAAAAGAGAGGACATAAGAGCATACGATGACTGATCATTTTCATCTTCCTCTGAAAATGGATTGAAGGAGGTCAGGCTCGCTATTTCGTCCGTTGCTTTGATGCTACGGGATCGTGAGGAGGGAATACTGGCAGAGCTTGGTGGGCTACCAACCCTGACGGCTTCCATCTCGCTAGCTGAATATCGTCCGTAGGCAGGAGCAGCGTCAGTGGGTGAAGGGGATACTCATACACAGAATCAAGCACGAAAGATTAGAACGAGCCAGCCGAAAGCAGATGGGAGCTGAATTAGATGCAGCTGAGCCACTTCTAAATGACGCTCAGCCCACGTGCGCCCCGCTTATTCAAATTCATGAACCTCCGTTCAAATTCAGGCCGCCTTGGTTACTCAGATGCTCTGAAAAATCACGGTATATGAAGACGACTATGACGCGGTGTACTTTATTCTGGGAATATTTTACTCAGAAATTACATGTTCCTCGATATCTCCGAGCGACCGGCAGGACTTGGGCAAGACGCGACGGAGGAAGACGCGTCTTGACGCGCCGATGTCTCGGACGTCGGTTTGCTGCACGCGCGTTCATGATAATGGTTTCACGCGCCGTGCTCTTCTCTCATTCAACGACTACACCCCCACATCTGAAGCCTTTTCCTCTCTTCGAGGCACATACGCGTGTATTTCCAGCAGCTTCTCGTTTATCGCAGATGTTCGTGAACAAGATCATCCATGATCTCACTTTGCCCCTGTCGTCCCTTGTGCTTACGCCACTCACTACAGCCTACACAACACACCTTTGAACTCACACCACCATGGATGACGACGATGCCGATTACATGCAGGGAAGCGATGATGAGGTCTGTACTTAAACTTACTGAAGGTATTGTAGTACTCCATTCACGTTCTATCTAGGACTACGGCTTCGACTACTCGGACGGAGATGAGGGAGATGAGGGAGGCAGCGCTGATGTCGAGAACATGTACTACACCGCTAAGTGTAGGTATCTTCGCTCTGTAATAGACTATACGGGCTTATCTCTCTTACAGCGAAGAAGGAGGACGAACCAGAACAAGCGTTGAAAGAGTTCCGAGCGATAGTGGAGAAGGAGGAAGAGAAAGGCGACTGGTGCGCTGTGGTCATTTCTATCATTTATATCCCATTACTTATCGCTCGACATTATGGATAATACGTTTGTGTATTTAGGGGTTTCAAGGCACTAAAACAATCCACCAAACTCCTCTTCCTCGGCCTTCGAAGACCAGAAGAAGCCCTCAAATCCTACATCCAACTTCTCACCTACACCAAATCTGCCGTCACTCGAAACTATGCCGAGAAGACGATCAATGGAATTTTGGATTATGTTGGTGGCGGAAAGGGAGGCAAGGTCGAGGTGGATGTGTTGGAGAAATTCTATCAGGTCACGAAGGATGCGTTAACGGAGGCTAAGAATGACGTTCGCCTGTTTCCTATTTCTCAATTTCGCGCTCAAGTGTTGATTCACTCACTTCGGTACAGCGACTGTCAGTGAAAACGAATCTGAAGCTCGCGAAGCTATGGCTTGATCGAAAGGAGTACAACCGGTTGTCGAAGGTCACTCTCTGCTCGCCACTCGTTCTGTGAATCCCAGTCTGATACGGTAGCATCCTTTTCCTCAGCTCATCCAGGAACTGTATGACGCCACAGGAACTGGTACAGATGGCGAAGAGCAGTCGCAGAAGGGGACACAACTGCTCGAAATCTATGCTCTGGAGATTCAGATGCACAACGAGACGAGAAATTACAAGAAGCTCAAGGTTCGGGCTTCTCGTCCGACCTCTTGATGAACAATCTCTCACGCAGTCCACAATTTGTAGGAAATCTACAATGCCTCGAATAGTGTACGCTCAGCCATCCCGCACCCACGGATCATGGGCATCATCAAGGAGTGTGGCGGTAAGATGTGGATGGGCGAGCGTAAGTCTACATCTCAACTCCATTTGATCGACACAGAGGATCAAACATGCTGTTCAATCAGGCCAGTGGAACAAAGCCAGCGAAGACTTCTTTGAATCGTTCCGCAACTACGATGAGGCGGGATCGCCGCAGCGCATTCAGGTCCTGAAGTACCTCGTGCTCGCGAATATGCTTACGGGAAGTGAGGTTAATCCCTTTGACAGTCAAGAGACTAAACCGTAGGTGCCGATCTCGAATTTGGTTCAACATCACATTGACGACATATCTCACTATAGGTACAAGAGTGATCCACAAATAACAGCCATGACCGACCTTGTGGATGCCTATCAACGACGTGAGGTGCATGCCGCAGAGAAGATCCTGCGAGGTACGGGCTTTCTTCTTGTCACAAAGTGGACTCCAGCTAAAAGCATGACCAGACAACCGCTCAACCATCATGGACGACAGTTTCATCCGGTCGTATATCGGAGAGCTTCTCCGTAGTCTGCGTACACAGTATCTCATAGACCTCATCAAGCCTTATTCGCGTCTAGAGTTGTCCTTCCTCGCTCGGCAACTCAACGTAGAGAAAGACGAGGTCGAGGAACTGTTGATTGAACTCATCCTCGAGGGCAAGGTGGAAGGGAAGATTGACCAAGTCGCCATGCGACTTGAACTTGACCGGAAGTTTGTACCCCTCTTGTCCTCATTTTATTCCGTCCTGGCTTACCGAAGCTGGTTCATAGGCAAACTCTCGAGAAAAGACGATACGGCGCTTTGGACAAATGGACGGAGGCGCTCGAGTCTACCCATTCGGCTGTTATTGGGAAGAATACCCCGAGCATGGCAAGGGCGATGGAATATTCAGAGCATATGGGCTTCCCTGGGCCAATGGCAGCCAACTTTGACCGATTCTGAGTTGCGGTTGTTTTGTTGTCGTATTTGCGAATGTTTTCATGACCTTTGCAAGCCATGTATGATGTGTGATGAATAAACGGAGCAGTTTCTCGCATGGGAGTGATGAGGTAGTAAATCCTGGTAATAGGCGAGGAGAAGTATTCTTTACGAGAGATGAATCAGGTTTACACATCACAACAAACAGTGACAGAGGAAAGATACGCACATGAGCGTCGCTTCATCACATTCGGCACAAACTCATAGTTCCAGCCGTCCCTCGAAGGCGTATCAGACGGCACCCTCAACTCCCTTGGGAACAACCCCGGTGGCCTCGCCTCCAACGCCATCTTATCCCTCCCTTTCGCACTCCTCAACGCCTCCATTTCCTCCTGCGTCCGCACCCTCGGATCCACATGCTTATTCGCCTGCTGAAACAGATGCGGATCAATCTTCTCCAACTCGTCCATCGCCCTCTTCATATGCTCGTACTTCCTCTGCATCTCCGCGTTTCTCTTCTGGCGCAGGTGCCGTTTATGGAGTGCCCAAGCACGTTCAATGGTCTCGTGTGCTTGTTTGGAGGGTATTGCGATCTGGAGAGCGCGTCCGACGTCGGGACGCCAGGTGCCCGTGGGGGTGGGTTTGCTGCGAATGTTTGGGGGGTAGAGTGCGCGACGGATGGATTCCTTGAGGGGATCGGCGTTAGCCTCTCGGCCACCTGCCTTGGCGTACCGAACAGAGCTCTGCGCGACGCGAAGAGGAAATTTCGAGCTGCTCGCTTTGAGCAGCGATGAGGCCATGGCTGTTCGCGGTCTGAGTGAAGGACGCACGAAAGAACAAGTCGGGCTGGACGCGGAGCAGCTTACATAAAGAATTCATTGCAAATTCCACCTCCGGTCGCGTTTCGCGAACAACTCGCGCTCACGACTTCGCCACTCACACATTCTCTGCCAAAATGTCTTCTCTCTCTTCACTCTATCGGCCATGTCTGCGCTCTGTCCTATCTCCGCAAGTGGTACGCATGCGCTATCGCAAATTTGGCTTCTGCGGCTTGACCAGAGTTTCGTCGTTATACAGAATCAAGTGCTAGCAAGGCAGTTTTCGCACAGTCATGTTCTGCAAGCACGACACTTCGTCAAGAAAAAGCCACTTTCGAAGGGTCAACTGGCTAATATCGCGCGGAAGAAGGCCTTGAAGAAAGGAAAGAGTATCTTTGACGCGGAGAAGATGACTCTAGCGGATGCTATCCACGTTCTTCGGGTGAGTATCCTTACATCTGACCTTCCTACTTTCTTAACGCTGTCCACAACTGTTCAGTCTGTCGAAGTAGCATCACCGAATGCAGCGTACGAGCTTACCGTCAAGACAGAGATGCCTCGAGGTGCTCCTATACCGAAGGGTCGTATAAGCTTCCCTAAAGAACCGAAACCGAGGACGAAGGACCGTATACTTGTCTTCGCCGAGGGTCGAGCCGCAGAAGAGGCCAAACGTGCAGGTGCCGATATTGTGGGAGGGCTCGAGCTCATTGACGGTGTACATTCATCTCTTCTCTTTCGCCGGAATTGATCCTGAGCGATATTTGTGTTGTGTTCGTCTTATATAGGTCATCAGCGGTCGTCATCAAGCCTCTCTCTTCCTCTGTACTCCAGACTTGCTTCGAGGGATCACCCCACGTCTAGGTCGTATTCTCGGTCCCCGTGGTCTCATGCCATCAGCGCGTCGCGGAACCGTGACACTCAACGTTGCTGGATATATCCGTTCACTCCAAGGTTCAACCCAATGGATTGGCGACAAGGCTGGAACCATCCGGACGGCCATTGGCAGGGTTAGTATTATTTCTGTGGTGCTCGTCTCAGTCTGCCTACTGACTGTTTTGGTAGATGGAGTTCTCTGTGGATGACGTGGCGAAGAATGTGCGCCATTTCTTGAAGGTCGTGAAGCAGGCCACAGGAAACGAGAGGAACGTCGAGGCCGAGAAGCTCAAATCCGGCCCAAGTACGATCCCAGGTATGTAAAAACTTCGGCTGTTCATGAAGGGTGTTGTCCATGCTAAGTTCACTTTTGTTCTATCAGTGAACCCAATCACGAAGGTCATCCTGAGCTCACGGCAAGGCCCTGGGATTTCGGTTAAAGACTTTTAGTATGGTACAGTATGCGGAGTAGGGATTGTAGAGCGATGATATAGCAGAGCGGTGATGCGATAAGTGTGAGACAAGCAAAGCAGGGTGCAAGGCGAAGTCCAGTCAAGCTAAGCGTAGCGAAAACTCATGAACGTCTACTCCCAAACATATTCATCCTCCGACTCGCCGCCACCCCCAACTCGCCGTCTCCTCTCCTTCCGGAAATCTTTGGCCTTCTGCTTGAGCTCGGCCGTGAGATGATCGTAACTCTTGGTAGAATCCCTCGTGATCTTTTTGCCCCGTTTGCCAATGTCTGCGCCTTTTGTGGGCGTCGTTCCGCCTGGCCGTTTGGCGCGAGTAGGTTGGTACCGGACTTGGGGTGTGTTTTTAGGCTCGTGAGGGAAGAGATCGCCCCATTCCGACTTGCGAGCGTCGTAGAAAGGCTGTTTGCCTTGCGACTTCGGTACAGTCATTCGAAGGATTTTCCCTATGTGAAAAGAGGCCTGGTCAACATTCGACGGCAAACGAGAAAAAGAGAATACATATTTACCTTCTGGCGCACAGGCATCCAAAATAATGTGGCCGCTCCGTTTAAGTGGGGCAAAAACTAATCGTGGCCAATGATACGCCTCCTGCCTCAGAGAGCTCTGCAGTGTTTCCGGATCCTCAGACACGAAGGTCTCCCGGGGTGTAGATTCCTCTTGTTCCAAAACCTCTTCGACGGGCTCAGTCGTACCCTGGCTCTCTACAAAGTCTTCATGGAGCTGTAGGACAGATAGAGGCTGTTTTGTATCCTGCTTCTCGAGCTCGCGCTTGCCGACCTCGCCGATCCGTCCTGACTTGGTACCGGGAACCTCTGGCCTTGGGCCTCGTCGAATGACGACATATGAGTAACCCATATCTTCAAAGCTGGACTTCGCGTGCTTGGTCTTGCGGACGAAATCAGGACGCTGGAGACGTTGTGAGAATCCACAGACGAGTCGAGTAGACTCAGCGTGATACAAAGGGCATTCTCCATCGTGAGGGCACTAGTGTGTAGGTGAGTGACCAGAGTCTGATAATAAGAGATGGGTAACCTACTGGAGCCACAACGTGGCAGCCTTGCAGATGAGAATCGTCGGCCTCCGGGTCTTCAAACTCTTTGCGCCCCATCTTCAGGAGTAGCTCTCTTGCTTCAGCGATGCTTTGAAAGCCAGGCAGAGTATCGTGGTCGATCAAGACCTATATTAACGTTCAAAACTACGGGATTTCGGACAAAATCAGATCACTTACAATTGTTTCGGCACCGCTTGTCCACATCTCTTTCACGAGAATCTTCCTCTGCTGATCGTTCGGAAGCGAAGATAGTAAAAAGGCACAGAAGGCGATGGTGTTTGCTCCTTCTGGCCGCGACATTTTGTCGTGCGTCTCGCTGAAAGCTTTTCGCCAAACCACGTTTATGGGAATTGAGCCAAGATCTAATGTTTTGAGAGTAAGCTGAGATAGGGACCATCATCACGATAACGCTTACTGTTTAACAGCCTCTTCCCGATAGATACAAGTCCCTCCCGCTTCTCGAAAGCAATGTAGGACATGAGCTTGGATTCCGCCATCTTTGGGTCTTCCCCTGATGGTGAAGCTTGTGAAACATTGCTCGTTTGGAAAGCATGTGCAGCGGCCCTGGTTACTTTGTCAATTCCCCGAAATTATGAAGGCCGCACAGTCAAACAGGGACCCACCATAGGCCACTTCCCGTTCCTGCGCCCCAGTCGTATATTTTGTGAAGCTCGAATTCTGGACCTAACCTTCTTCTTACATGGTCCAGAACGGTATAGATGGCTGAATAGTGTGCGGGCAACGCGACGGATGCAAAAGCGGTCCCGTCTCGCTCATGGTGTCTCGAAGCTTGCTTGTGGGACCTGTACCGGGTATCATACGTCGTATCCCATGCCCCGTTCTCCTTCTCCTCGTCCTGGTCGAAGAATAGCCTCCTTGCGTCAACATGCAGCATCTTTTTGTCCGATTCTATCTCGCACTATGAGACCCGTCACGCATCAATCTATCAACGAATGAGACGCACCATCAATCAGAGCAGAGATGGACTGCTGTAGTTCACGAGGTATGAGAACCATACCAAATGTCTGCCCACCGAACACGGCAGCTGGAGATCTTCGCGGTAGCCTGTGCTCTGAGTCTACTGCGACAAGATCTGACATCACATCCTCCTGTTCCTCCGGTGGATACTCCTCGAGCTCTCGTAGTTTTGGCATATCCTCCGGACGCGGATGAGTGTGGTGATAACGTGTCTTTTTGTTCAACAACGCCATGTCGACATCCTTAAGGAGAGCCTGAAAAGACGGGTCGATGTCCAGGGGTGCATTTGGCTGATGCGATGCTAGCGGAACAGAAGTCGAAAAGTGAGCAGCAGGGATTCGCATAACAGCACGAAGCGAGCCACATCGAGAGCGTAACATAATTCTAGCCGCTCAGATATTTCAAGAAGACCAGAATAATTGTGCTGTGAGCACAGACGAGATAGAAAGAAGACGAGGACTACGACAAGGGCGTTATGATTGGCAGTGGCCAAAGCTTGAAATAATGAACAAGGAACCGTGTGGCGCGCCAATCGCAGACCGGCTTTTCCAAGCTAATGATTACGTAAACTCTAATGGAGACTACGATAAACTCAAGGGTACTGTTCATTCCACTTCCAGGGCCACTTGTAACTTACTACCACTTGCATCGTCACCGCATAAGACCAAAATGGCACAGACACGAGCATCCGCATCTGAAGACAACGAAACGGAACGACCCTCAAAACGAGCCAAAGTCGAACCAGAAGCAGATTTGACTGAAGGAAATGCGGTCGACGCGTCCCTCGAGGAGCGCGAGGAGTCGCCATTCTCGGATGACAACGTAGAGGATACCACGAAGGCTGCACAGGGCTCTGATTTATATCTTGACACGGTACGCCTGCACATATTTTCTTCTTAGCAATCGACTTGTACGATATTGCTCTGCTCTTGTGTTCATGTAGATCAACCGTGCTATCCTTGACTTCGACTTCGAGAAAGTATGCTCAGTATGCTCGTCGAATATCAATATCTATGGCTGCCTCGTTTGTGGAAAGTACTTTCAGGGTAGGGGTCGCAACTCGTACGCATACGCACACTCCATTCATGATGATCACCACGTTTTCATTAACCTTGAAACCACCAAGGTGCGGCCCTTCATAACTCGCCTTCGACACAAGTTGTAACTTCTCTTGCCACTAGGTTTACGTCCTACCGGATGGGTATCTTGTCTCAGACCCTTCGCTAGAGGATATATCATTCGTTCTCTCACCAACATTTACCCCTGCCACGGTTTCGACCCTTTCGAGCCCTCAGCATCTCTCCAAACCTTCCTACGACCTCACTTCAAAGCCCTATTTCCCCGGTTATATCGGACTGAACGATATCAAGAGGAACGACTACATGAACGTCATTATCCACTCTCTTCTCCATGTAGCACCTCTTCGTGATCACCTTTTGCTGTCACGCTTTGATGGGAAGCAATCCGAATTCCTGAAGCGATTTGCCAGTTTATCCAAAAAGGTCTGGAATCCACGACTCTTCAAGAGCCAAGTCAGTCCGCATGAATTCTTACAGGAAGTTGGGAGATCAAGTGGTGGTAAATTTCGGTTGGAGACGCAAGGGGACCCTGTGGAGTTTCTGGGCTGGATGCTGAACCACCTACACAAAGACATGGGCGGGACGAAGAAAAAGAACTCCAGTGGGTGTATTCTATCATGTGGAGATGAAAGAGCCAGCGCTGATGGGCGGCCGCGTCGTAGGCATTATCTTCTCGTCCTTTCAAGGTGAAGTCCGAATGGAGACCCAGCAAGTAGTTGTCCGGCCTGATGCGGCAACTGGTGCTCGCCCTCACTTCGACATTGACCGAGGTCAGTGGCCATCAGTGTGGCGTTGGGTAAAGGGCTCATAAAACCCCATCTGTTCCACTGCAGAGATCAAAACGGCGGCATCACCTTTCCTATTCCTTGCAGTAGATTTACCTCCACCGCCGTTGTTCCAAGATGCGGTCGAAAAGAACATCATCCCGCAAGTAGGAATTCATACCGTACTGGCCAAGTATGACGGTGTCACCACACAGGTGAGAGCCCTACGCACGTTTGAAACATACGTTGCGGTGCTGATATTATCGTGGGGTTGGAACAGGAATCTCGAGGTCAACTGAGACGGTTCAAGTGCCAGCGGCTGCCTCCCTATATTGTTCTTCATTACAAGCGTTTCACAAAGAACAACTTCGTGGAAGAAAAGAACCCAACCATCGTCAACTTCCCACTGCGCGGAGTAGATTTCAGCCCGTGTGAGTACCACTATTTCGAGTGACCCTCTCTGCGGCTTACAAACAATGTTTGGCATGTGTCAGATGTTGATGGATCATCGTCGTCTCCATCAACACTCTACGACTTGGTCGCCAATGTCACCCACGAGTCTGTTGCGGGCACGGCCAGAGACAAAGAAAATACCGTTTGGAAAGTCCAGCTGAGGGCCGGGTCCGGAGGAGGCGACAATGAGAAATGGTTTCAGATCCAGGACCTCATTGTTGAAGAAATCCGCAAGGAGATGATTTTCCTTGGAGAAACGGTCTTGCAGGTATGTCCGACCGTATGTGGCCTATGTCAGTCTGCAATTCTGACGTTGGTTTTACTCCTCAGTTCTGGGAACGTCGTACGGAGCAGAAGTAGGAAGTATGTAGTATCTAGTCATGTAAATGGAGGCTTGACTCGAATGAACGGCGGCCGCTATGTTAATCTTTCGGCAGTGTAGCACATATTCACCGATTCGGGAATTCGTACAGAAGGGCGCTGTTGCCGTCCCTAATACGCTGCTCTATGATTATCTACTGAGGCTGCATCAGCCATGCGGTATACACAGTTGCCCCTACCGCCGATAGCTTCCTTCACAGTAAAGCTTTCTGACTGTTAGGGATCTTCGGCCTTGGAGCCTGCGTCGGATTTTACGGCTTTCCCCTCCATATCCTGTACTTGTTCGTGTGAGTTCGGGTTAGTCGAAGGGGTATTAGCAGGCACAACACTCCTGCCATTGCCATTAGGCGGTACATTGGAATTTGAAGAACTATCGATGGTGAGCCACTATTGGTTCAGTAACAGGGAAAGGAGACCTCGAAGTGATGGGAGAACAATGCACTAACCCTGCACGTGCATTCGCCTCTTCAACCAAAGCCGGTCTGAATGTATAAATGCTAGTCACAACACCTGGTTCATGGAAGGATGTTGAGCTTCGTAAAGGAGTAATACGGCCTAACTGGCAATATTCTTACCAAGGGCTCCAGCTACTACATAGGGCATTACACGACTTCGAGACATCACTTGCGCTTGAACGTGTGGAAGGTCCCGATGCGGGTGTTGTAGTTGGAATCGAACGATATGGCACGGTTCGGTCTCTTGGAAGTCACGGTTTCCTCACTCGGCGACCACCGCCACCCTCGGCGCTTTTGGCCAATTTGCAATTTCGTCTCTGATCTTTCTTGACTTACGGTTTTTGTCCTCCGACCACGCCACAGCGCCATATCACCGTTCCTTTGCTGATTTGCCGCTCATGTATGATTGATCCACAGCATGAACAGACAGAGGCTCAATTCGGATGCGTTAACGTGATAGACCAACAGCAAACAAGTCGTCTCCACGAGAAGTTGATGAAAGATACATGGTTATACAGGAAATCAAGGTGATGATGTGGCCAAGGGCTGCTAGTAGATACAGTATTACAAGAAGGTGATGGTGGAGGACGTGCGCGATGATACAGAATCTACTGTGTCAGAAACGTTGACTGGGCTCGTGAGCCTCGGAAGCTGCAGGCGACCTCTCAGATACCCATATTCTGACAGAGTTGACGGGCTGCCTCGTTCTTCGCGTCTTCCTTGCGAGCGGCCGATGCTTTTCCCATGGTAGTTCCATCGACTAGAGCGAACATTGAGAAACGTCACCCGAGGCATTTGCGGCAGAACGCACCTGTGTATGCGATAGTCCACCGATAAGGCGCCCATGATCCATGATCTTGCTCGAAGTAGCCGAGACGTTCCATCTCGCCTCTACCTTGAAAGTCTACAGAGCATTCGATGAGCTGAGCAGGGAAGAATGTGAAAGTTGAGCATAAACTGACAGTTGTTCATCCTGACGGTCGCTGTATCACCCGTCAGTACATGCAGCCCAGTATGGATAAACCGAATCGACGTACGTCTTTGTTCTCCAGACATATTAGATTTGTTGCGATGAGGTGTTGGAGCGAATGTGAAGTTGGGATGTGAGTTGGTTCAAACACCAGCATTCATCTGACCGATTTTATACGGAAGACAACAGTGGCGGTGGATGAGACTAGACTGCGGTCTGTATGGTGAAAGCTCTGACATCCACCTTTACGTCTTGACACTTGACGATACCTAGCGCAACTCATCGGGCCAGTACCGTGAAATGATGGTGAGGTGCAGAAGAATGGAGCCATAGGCTTACGCGTTGAGATTTTAGAGCCATGGGAGAACCGCAAGCATAAGTCCATGTTAAGCTAGGATTCGCGAGACCTTTCACGGAGTACGCCACACGGAAAACGGCGCTCAGGCGGTCAGACCAGTCCTTGAAAGCCGACTCGCCATTCGGCAAACAAATGTCTCGTCATTCCTGCTGTTTGAGGCCACGGAATACCTACAACTTGAAGACAAATCAATGCAGATAGTGCATCCTTGCGTTTCAGTGCTCAAGATGGGAAGAGAGAGCTGGCGCACCGCGTAGAGCACTGTCAGGACAGGGGCACTCGCTGCAAGCGCCACGCTGTGTTCAAAGCGTTGCACTGACCCGAAGCAATTATTGGTTCAGCCCTGATGGACCGACCCACGCGACAGCGGATCAATAAAGGTAGCTCGTATTCAGCAATGAGAATGACCATTTGATAAAGCCTGATTACACTCAGTGCGAGATCAGTTTCTGGAAAAGATGATGCCATCTGAGACAGAATGTGCAGCATCAGCTCATCTGAGGTACCACGGAGGCTGCACGGCCTTGGTTATAATTGTCGGACATAAACCACGAAAACAGAAGAACTCGTAGGCAGGAGACTTCACTTGTTAGGAAATGTCGATCAAGAAGACATCGGTGAGATGACTGAAATTCGGAAGAGGAAAAATCCTACGTCGTTGATGGCCTTAACAGAGACGATGCGGTGGGAACCCAACGGCGCAGGCACCGAAAGGAGTTCACAACGTTGTTTAGCAAGGAGATATGTTCCTTAGCGAATGATAGCCTTCCGAATTGGTGAACAAAGGATGACGGCTAGATAAAGCCTTGAACCGTCTCTATCTGGATCGTGCTAAGCGCCTGCTTACCTGGATTTGCGCCTTATATTGAGGTCTTTGTTACAAAATTAGCACTGTTCGATGTGCGGCGGAGATCGCTAGATCCTTGGACACAATCTAGTAAGTTCGATGGTCAAAATATTCCGAGGATGAAAACGGTATGATAGAACTTGCTATTCAAGATCGAGAAGAGCTGCGGCAGCTTGGCACGAGATGGAAAACGAGTACCGGTCCGTTTCGCCCAAGTCATGATACACTGACTGAACAACCTAGTAGATGATTACCGGCGGCCATGACCCTTGACACTTCATACGCCATTGTCGGAGTCACACCTGCACCATGAGCATCGGTCTGGTCCATCCGATCTTCGCGACGCCACTGGGATTCGGAGATGTCGCTGATTGCCTATAAAGAAGACGGTCACACAGACCATGTTATAGAATGAGTAGCTCAGAGATCCACCCACAAGGCACTGAGAAATGATAGCACAGAATGGCAGAAGACACCGCCTACTTTGGATAGTATCGGTACCCTTGCACATAGCCAATGCATCATCCTCGTTAGGCGACACCTTTACCCGCTGAGGCCATTATCAGAGCCTCAAATGTGTCTCGGGCTGTCGCAGAGCAAGAAGAACTCGTGTTTGATGGCGCCCACACTGGTGACAGGGTGTCGCTCGTTTACGACGTGTTCAAGACTCTAAATGCTGTGCACGGCGCGCTGGCATGAATATGATCACGAAGGACCCGGAACAGGGCACATCAACGGGTCTTTGTGGCGTATGTAAGTACTTGGCGGCCAAACAAACAAAGCCAAATGACGCGGGGATCAACTGGGTGGCGTAAACGCCCGCCACAATTTGTTGGCCACAATACTTATCTCGGTCGTGACACGGAAGGTTGTAACCGCACCGTGTTAATGCCCCAAGGGAAAATACATCGGGGTTATCGCGTTATCGTTTGGTGTAGCGGTTGCCCCATATTTTATGAAACTCTTTCGCCGCCCCAATATCTGAATCCCGAAAGGCACGACTCACACAATGTTAAATAATCGTGATCATGATACTTGGAAATGAAGTGGCAGCATTCATAAGTTACATAGCAATCTCCACAGCGGTAACGCCCAAGGAGAAACGATAAAGTTAGAGATACGGGAGACAAGGCACTGACTACGGACGTGGAGGCGTGAGACAAGAAGGAAGCCCATTCAGTCCATAAGAAAAAGACCGTACGTCACGGAGGCCGATGCGATGCGATGCGATAGATACGAATGCAAACTCAAGTCGAGTGGTCGGGAGATAATACTAATTTTATGCGCAAGTTCGAATGAGCCGACGGATCAGGATGCAAGAGAAGGCTGACGTGCTTCAAGCGTCAGGACGTACCGTCGAACAAGGGACAAGGTCCGAATTAACCCCTCTGCCTCAGAATTTCTAGGGCCTGTTTGGAGGCGGAACCTTTCGCCTCATGCTTGTGGGCTCCGTGTCCGGTGCTGATGAGTTCGCCGTCGACTATATCGAGCGAAGTATAGGATGCCAGGTGGGTCGATGAAATACATGGGGCAGGACCAGAATGATCACGTACATTTACATTGTACTGTCCAAGTGGGGGCGTGGGCGGGCCCCGTCATCAGCTCTATCCAGCTCAATAAGTGGCCCTCATTGCGGCTTTGTAGATCTAGGACAGACGGCGTTGTAAGAGCTTTAAAAACAAAGCACGCGTGTTGGCTGCCGCTCACAGTTGTTCAACTGATTGGTGAAGATGGTGGCTAGAATATAGAAAGGGTCAGCAGTAGGATGCAGGAGAACTGCACGAATGAGACTGACGGTGCGGGTCCATGTCGAATAGTCGGGTTCTTGGCAGGTCGGACAAAGGCCATTGTCGGCTTTATACTGAAGAAATGCTGCCAAACGGTCTGGCGGGCACGAACATTTGGCACAGTCCATGCTGAAGCATCGTGAACGATGGAGAGCGACCTCATGGTGTAATTTCACAGACGAACATTGGTGCATTGGAGAGTCGATGGCACGGCACCAGGATAGAATAACACCTATGGCGTCTTCGAAAGCAAAGCTCTACGAGAAGCCGTGAATATGAATGTCTGGACAAGGCAACCGCGGGCCAAAAAAAACGTCATGGTCTGACTCGGTGGGATTCTCATTGGAGGTTGGACAGAGACCAATTGTTTGCAGCGACGTATAGCGAGGTGCCAGGCGGAATTGAGGGGCGAGGAGCAGTGATCGGAGTCGGCAAATGGTTGGCACGGGGTGAAGAGACGTGTCATAGAGCAGGACGCTTTGTCCACTGCAGCTGCACAGAACAAAGAGAATAATGGGGTCAGAAGCATATTTTGGTACTCTGCCCACCTCCAACGAGAATACTTACAGGCATCATCATAGAGGGCAAAGAAGGCGACTACGTCAGCGTCGAGTTTAGCGGGTCAGATTGATTCAACGTGAGTTAGGCAGCAGGGATTCATAAAAACCACACACGTGGATTAGGTGGGCAAAGAGAACCATCTTCCATCCCGATGAACCTCCCAGAGAGTGAGTGAAGATCCGCATCACGGAAGCAACAGCCCTCGTGCTTGGGCTGCTCGAAGACGCCCGTTCGCTAGGCAAGAAGAGAGATCTCGGCTTGACCATGAACATGCCCTCCTCACTCACGGCGCAGAACCATTGCATGGTTTTCAACGGCCCAGGCATGGATCATTTCAAACCCAGCTATGAGTCTGAGGGCGAAACTGTTCGATGCGAAATATGGACGTCTTTGATCCATGCCACAACCCCTAAGCATCGATCGAAATCCGGACTGCACGACATCTTCTACTTCCTAACCGTGCAATTTCGGGTTAAATAAAAGCCTAGGCGATCCTTTCAGAAATGATTGCCCTTGGAAGGTCACCAAAGCGAAAGTTATGATCTCGTCGTTTTGCACACCTAGACACCACACCGATAGACCTCGGAGATTGTGGCTCTTCTGTCTGCATTTGAAATTATGAAACGTTCGGAAAGTAATCGAACAGTACCCATGAATGCTCAGCCTACCGGTCGTACCAGCTACGATTGTGATCTTGACTGCGATGGATACCGAGAAAAAAGATGAGTGGTCTGAGGGAGAAATTGAGGCGCGCGAGAGTTTGGTATGCGCTAGCATTCGCAGATCGGCAACTCAAGTAATAGCCCAAAGCGCCTGCAAGCTGCGACAAGGCCATGAAATTCAACGAATAAAATCTACGAGCAGCGACCAACCTCGGCGATCCGCGCTGTGATGATCGTGATTAAGAACCCTCTTTCGGCCCAACCAACCAGGCCTTCTCCTTAAGGCATCACACGCATAGAACGAGACGAGAAACGAAGTGAGCAGAGGGACTAAACGCTGGTGAACTGTAGTCTGCGCCGCAGGGCCGTGGTGGCGTAGGACAAAGGGGTATCGGAGCCGGATGCTTGGACGGTGAACTACAAAGCGCTAATTTCAAATATACCACGTTGTGTTCGCACGGCTGCCAGTGGGGACTGCACTCTGCACTTGTGAAGAGAAATACAGAAGCATATAGGGATTTCGTCAAGGTTATAAGTATGCTTACCGGTAGCGCCTGGCTCTACCTCTTCAAACCAACTTTCCACGGTGGTGTTAAGGGGGTGGCAAATTTGTGGCGCACTGTTGTGAATACTCATTACAGTACTTACTGTTTACATTTTTTGTGATTGTTCTGACTACGCAAGGAACACGGTGGGTGACTTCACGTAGCACGTCGAAGATGTTGATTCAGGTTTAAATCTTTCACCCTTTTTGACCAATGGGAATGGTCCAATCTAATCTGCCGAGAGGTCTACTATAAACATTATTTATTCAACTCCGCGGGAAGTCACCCAGTTGTAAGGCACGTCATCAATGACTCTATTTGTGCAGAAAGTTTCAAGCCGGTGACACAAACAGGCGCTCGACTTAGGCGCTTGAAAGTAATATCACGAGCGCTCTTGTTCTCAGCCACTATTTCGAACTTCAGGCTTAAGCGCCCACCAATCACAACCTTATGTCAAACTTACATACGCCACCTGAGACAGAGGCACCTACAAAACCAGCAGCAGTAGGAAGCAGAGGATGTCGAAGTAGAATGCTCACCGCACTTTTTTCCAGTAGGTATTGCATCCACTGAAGACAGTTCAAGCGGTGAAAACATTCCACAACCGTGACGGCAGCGACAACAACTGCAGCAGTCTGAAACGCCACACCGAGATTCGAGAGCGTAACATATGCATCATCGCCATGGTGCAACGAGGCTCGGTATAAGTACACTGGCAAAATGCCGGGGCCGAATGAGTTGGTTGAACACTGATATCAGCGGTGGCTCCGGGTCGGGTCGAACGAGGACGGTGTGCAGATGATGATGCGTGATGAATAGATCAATCATATGTTGTAAAATCGAGGAAGAGCGCGGATGACTCTGGCCAAGAGATGCATTGGAGAGAAAACACATTATTCAAGAAACACGCCCGGATCCTATGTACTATATTACAGTGTAGTATCGTGACGTCTAACGTGAATGCATTGTCCGTGTAGCGTGGGGACTACTATGATTGTATGAGAGAAAGAAAAGGCATCAACCTGGAAACTGAATGAGCAAATAGCCATACGCAAGGATGTCGAATACGTATCAAGACGAGGTGACACTTACTCAAGCGACGCCCCACTGAATGAGAGCTTTCCAGGAAGCTATCTGCTTGGCTCCGCCTCTGTAGGTAGTGGAACCGGTTGCGATGTGCTCTCCGTTGTCTGAAAGATGGAAGAGTCCTGTTAGTTATACAGCTCGTTAAGACGAGTAGAATTTCATACAGTAGAGATAAGCGTGATGAGTAACCTGGTGCGCGGCACCATCTTGTCCGAAACCCCATTGTAAGAGATGTGTGCTACCTCTCGCCTGAAGGTAGTTGTTGAGGTCTCGGACATAGTCGCGGCTGGGATCTGAGGAAGGAGAGTCAGCTTGAGACTACTGTGGCTAAAATTTAGAGTATATGACTAACTGAACGTATTCGTATTCATTGATTGTGAGTGAAGGTATAAGGGTTTGTGATGTGGGAATATGAGGTAGTGGGTGTTGGAGGAGCAACAAGATGTCTTGACTTATATACCTTGAACGATACTTGGGTCGGAGACTTCGTCTGAGCGGCAACAAGTGAGGCAATTGTCCACATAACTATACGAGCATTCCGACTGATAGAAAACATAGCGAATAACAACCAAGGCTAAGCTCCGGATGCATCGTCTTCATCGCAGGGCCGAGGCGAAGCTAATGTCAGAATGACTCTACCCTATTACACCCAGGTCCTACAGCTCTTTCGTTCGTAAGATTGCTTTCCGATGTTCCGTCGTCGCAGATCGTTTGGTAGATATCTCTGAGAGTGCCAAAACAAGCCAGTTGAAAATCGCGAAGAAGGAGACCACGCGAGGTGTATTGCCGCTAAGTACGAGAGTCCACGGCATGGATACACGGAGAATGGAGCGAAAAGATGCTCAGCTATGACTCCGGTGGCTGAAAAATATACATGACCACACGATGGGTGCTTGATGTATTGTGTGTCGGCCCCTATGCGAGATTTCAGACCGAGATACCAAGGTGGCGAAGCCCGAGATGACGTTTACCGGATGTGACACCAGAAAAGGAGGATGGTCAAGCAGCTTTTTAGTAGGCGCTTCGCTAAGGCGCCGCAGGTGAGCTGTAGGGGCGCTGCACAAAAAATACGACCAGTGTTCCGCCATGAATGCACGAACGCCGGTTCTGAGCTCACTTGACCGCAGGATTTCCTAGGTCGTAGCCAGAAACATAGAAGATACCGCTAGATGTTCTATTTGTGGGCTGAGCAAACATGGATGATCGGAGCAGAACTATGACAGTCCCCGGATGTATTAATGGGACGCAACAGAGGACATAGCGGCTACTGTCTCGGCGGTCGAGGATGCGGATGTGGCAGCGATGTGGCTGAAAATATTGGTTTTTGGAGGGCGGGGACGACTGGAAGGTGGAGCACGTGGTGGCGGGCTTTGAAGCGCGGCAGACGCCGGGGGAGGGAGCGAGCAATCAGAGGCTGAGTGTGCCTTCGCGTTGTCCATCGTTCTTCTCCCCATTCGCTTCCCACACCGCTCCTCTCGTTCCCACCAGCCGTCCTCCCACCGAGCAAGCCTTTCTTTTCTCCGTATCATCTTGCCGTGAGTATATTTCCCTTCTTCCTGGCCCTCATGTTCCCCCTAGGCTCATCATCGACCGACCGCGGACATCCAGTTTCCCAATCACACTCTCGTTCCCCACAAGCACACTCGAAAACAATGTCTGGCCAGGGCGATATCCAAGAGAGGATTGCGGCCGCTCGTCGTGAAGCAGACAGCCTCAAAGAAAGGATTAGGGCCAAGCGCGAGTCGTCGGCCGATACCAGTCGTCAGTACCTCCTCTTTTTCGTGCACCAACGCATCCTCATATCTCCCCTATCGCTCTTAAGTTCGTGCCATGGCGGCCGAGGTCGACGCTCTTCCTCGTATTGTTATGCGACCCCGGCGCGCGCTCCGTGGTCATCTCGCAAAGATTTACGCCATGCACTGGGCAACCGATAAACGCCATCTCGTCTCCGCGTCTCAGGACGGAAAGCTCATCGTCTGGGATGCCTACACCACCAACAAAGTCCACGCCATCCCTCTTCGTTCCAGTTGGGTCATGACCTGTGCTTATTCGCCGTCTGGAAATTTCGTCGCTTGCGGTGGCCTCGACAACATCTGCTCAATCTATAACCTTCACAGCAAGGAGGGCAACGGCATGAAGGGAGCCCGCGAACTTAGTGCCCACTCAGGTTACCTCTCTTGCTGCCGCTTCATCAATGACCGACAAATCGTCACAAGTTCCGGTGACATGACGTGCATGTTGTGGGATATTGAGGCCGGTGTTCGTGTAGTCGAATTCAGCGACCACACTGGAGATGTGATGAGGTTCGCTGCTCGCTTACATTTTCTTAAGTCTACGCTTCTCTAAGCGCTCATCACGTAACCTTATACTATTTCTAGCTTGTCGCTCGGACCCAACCAAAACGTCTTCGTTTCTGGTGCTTGCGACGCTACTGCCAAGCTCTGGGATATTCGTAGTGGCAAGGCCACCCAGACCTTCACTGGTCATGAGTCGGACATCAACGCCGTACAGTGAGTGGATAGGAGTCGTTTAGGCCGGCTGAGGCACGATACTTACATAATCACACTGTGTAGATTCTTCCCTAACGGTGATGCATTCGCCACTGGCTCGGACGACGCTTCCTGCCGGTTGTTTGACATTCGTGCCGACCGCGAGTTGAACACTTACACGCACGATAACATCCTGTGCGGTATTACATCTGTCGCTTTCTCCATCTCTGGCCGCATCCTTTTCGGCGGTTACGATGACTGGACTTGCAATGTCTGGGACACATTGAAGGGAGAGCGCGTTGGTGTGTTGACTGGACACGAAAACCGAGTGAGCTGCTTGGGTGTCAGCACAGACGGCATGGCACTTTGTACGGGATCTTGGGATAGCACTCTTAAGGTCAGTCTCTTACTTATTCGGGCCAGATCTTTGTCTGACAAGTATCATTTCTGCCTAGGTCTGGGCTTGAGACAGCATCAGATCCCCGTATATTCCATACCCTTTTCTGGATACGCGTTACCTTTTTTTTGAGGCCTCTTGTTTATTGTATCTCGCCTCTTTTCCCGCGCCCTTGTATATCCTTCCTCTTCGCGTCCCACCCGTGCACCGTTTCTCTATTTTGATGGAACGGACGCCTTTGAGTCAGTCGTTACAGAACTTCTCCCTACCGGTTATGTTACCTCTCATGTGCAGGTTGTTCTACCTCTTGTGCTCGTCTTTCTCTCGTCGCGTTCCCGCTCTCTGCTCCGTTTCTCGTCTCTAGGTCTCATGTTCTCCACATCGTTATATATTTACCGTTTAAACGTCATCGCGCTTTCCCTCGACACTGCTACTTCTGGTATGCGATATATTCCCCTTCTTGTGGTCAACACTTCAGTTTTATCCCGGATGGTTCATTTCCTTCTCTTCGTCTCCTTCGTCAGTATATACAGCGAATAAACATCGTATTTCGGACAAACGTTTGAGTGTGCCACCCTATTGCACTATGCCGATGTGGCCCACGAGATGAGGACCGCCACAGTGCCACGCGTCCGGTGTTGGTCAACCGTCAACGTACAGCAGAACGCGGTCATACACGTAGAGCCGTGTCCTCCAAGTCCTCTCCTTGTCTCGCCCTCTCGCATAAAGTACCTCTTTGCATACCATCATAATCATTTTTGTATAGGAATATCCATGTCGGACGATGACCGTGCCGCGAAGAGTGCAAGGGCGAAGGCTCTGGTGAGTGTTCAATGTTGTGCTGTGTGGCCACCGAGTTCGCTAATACCTTCGTCCCGTCTCTTAGCTTAACAAACGGCGAGCAAAGAAAGGTGGGGCGGCCCCTGCTGCTGGTGTGATCTCTCCCACACCGAGTTCTCCTTTGTCTCGTGCGTATTCTCCAGCACCAGAGTCAGAGGCACCTGCGGCGGAGGATGAGAAGAACGACCGCGACTTGGCTGATATGTATGTGTCCTTCATTCTTCGGTGTTACGCATTTGCTTCGGTCATGCTCTGCTCCAATAAACTAATTCACCGACCTGTTTCATTCCCCTTACAGCTTCGCCAAACCCGAGCCCGGTCATCCAACCGCGGAAATACCATGGCTCTCGTCCTTGACTAGGGTAGACTCGCCGAGCATACCTTCAACTCCCCCAGTTATTCCCCCGCCACCCACCCAACTACCCAGATCCGTCTCGTCTCAATCACCTGTATTCTCACCTCCACCGGTGATTGCGCAGGCGCATTCATCACCAGCACCTGTTCCAGCGCCTACCACACCACCACCACGAAGACGAAGTCAGACCCCGGTGATGTCTCCACCCGCGGACGATTCGGAGAACCTTCGCTCCGTGGTCCAGAATCAGCAACAGACCATCTCGTTACTGGTTTCTGAGAAAGCATCACTCAGTGCGTCCTTGGAGCGTCTGACGGGCATCGATTCCAGTGCGTCATGTTTTCTCTGGTCTATCTTCTGTTCCGCCAGCTAGCTATATTGGCTCGGACGCCACACGAGTGTGTATTATTACATTGATACTGACTTCACGTATACATGCATGTATGAAATATAGAAACGCGCGATGTGGAGGCGCACTTGGAACAGGAAAGAGATGCCAGCAACGCACTGCGGGAACGAGTCCAACACCTTGAGCGCGATAATCAGAGTGCCACAGCTCGGATACAGCACTTGTCCGGTCGAGAGAAGGAGCTGGAGGACAAACTCCGAGAGCAGGTGAGATCCTCCCGGCCTTGTATCCCTCACTCGTCCCTCGTTACGCCACACACCCACAATCGTCTTGCCTGAAGTTCTCTTCCATTCCAATCAGCATTACCCTTTTCTGACATTTGTTTCTCGGACCATCTCTCGCTTGATCGGTGCACTCCGAAATCTGACTTGGCTGATGCTGACGGGCGTAATATTTGCTTTCGTGACGGTGGTGCGGCGTCTATACAGGCTCGGGAGTTGCAGCTCACTTCGAGCGCTACTGAGGAACTTCGAACCCAATCAGAAGAATCTCAGAAACGGATCCGTGAGCTGGAGGAACAGATCCAAAGCGACGATCGCGTTGAGAGGTTGGAGTCAGAGTTGCGCAACGTCCAAGACCGTGCGAGTGAGCTTGAGTTTCAGATATCGAAGCTCAAACAGGTCAGTCGTTATTTCCGGTCCTAACTGGAAGTATCGTGGATGACGAGAGGGAAAAAATTATTTCGTAGACGAATAACAGCTTCAAGTCGGAGAAAGACGAGCTTGAAGCCCAGCTTCGCTCCAAGACGGAGTCCGAGGCCATATGGGCATCCAAGCACTCCGAACTCCAAGGTCGACATATGGACCTCCAAAAGCAACTTTCCGAGATCAATGATGCTCGCCAAGCGGTCGTCCAGGAAAAAATAACTCTGGAGTCTCGTCTAGCAGACCAACAGAAGACCATATCTGCTCTGCAGCAGGCCGCCACCCAAGCGTCTTCCGAATTCGGAGCAACGATACGACAGCTGCAGACGGCCCAGAACGAGCTCCGTATCGCCAATAGACGGGTGGAAGAGGCGGAGCGCACTCAGCAGGAGCTCCAAGCCGAGGGGACATCGCTCATGCGCTCGCTGGACGAGATGCGGCCCAAGATTGTTGAACTGACGGACATTAAGCTCGAGCTTACGGAGAAGATCAATAGCCTGGATAATTCGCTTCGCGAGAGGGACGGCGTCATTGCTCAGTTGGAATCGTCAATGCACGAGCTGCGCGAACAGAAGGGGATCGTGGACGAGCAACTCCGAGAAGTCGAATCACTACGGGAGAACGACCGTGCTACGGCAGAGGACAATGTCGCGGAACTGCAGCGCGGATATACGGAGATGCAGAATGAGCTGGATGGGGCACTTGCTAGTGTCCGAGAACTGGAGATTGAGCGGTCGAGTCACCGTCAGACGGCCGCTCGCCAGTTGGAGGAGATCGAAAAGCTCACGTCATCCATTCAGTCACTGAAGGAGGAGGTTGCTTCGCTAAGAGGCGAGTTAGAAGAACGCAAGCTTGCAGAAGTTGAGAAGGAAGAGTTCCTTGAACGGGCTCGGACCGATGTCGAGGTATTGCGTGCAGAGGTCGCCTCGAAGGATGCAGAGATCGAGCAGCTGCGTGTTGAAGCATCGTCGACGGCCTCTCTCGCGGACCAACTCTCCCCTTCACTCAATCAAGAGATGGTCAGCTCGCTGAGACAGCAGCACGCGCTTGAGCTGTCCGCCTCCCAGTCCCAGATCCGTGCCCTCCAGACCACCGTCTTCGAGCTCGAAGCGAAGAACCATTCATTCCACCGGCAGATCAGCTCCCTCGAAGACCTCGTCGCACAATTACGTTCTGTCTCGACTGTCAACAGCAACAACACCATGCCCGCACGCATATCCCCCAATCGGCCCATGTCACCTCCCTCACGTCCTTCCAGCCGGTCGAGGAACCACTCTGACGACCTCCGTCGGGCCTCCTTTGCACGCAAGACCAGCAATGCTACAGTCTCACAGCAGTCCTTGCCATCCCAATCCATCTTCGGTCAAAATCTCTCCGCCGAGACGCGCCATAAACGCAAGGTCAGCCTCAGCATGCTCAAGGCTCGAATCGACAGCGAGGTCGCTGCTGCCGCGACGGCGACCTCCCACCCGCCATCTCGCGCCATCTCCCCGTCGCTCTCGCTCAAGGACGCGTCGAAGAGTGGTATTCTTGTAGCGCACTCTCATGGCTCTGAGGAAGGGCACGATCACAGTCCCTCATTCAAACATCCTCAGTTCTTAGACGAGTCACATATCTTCTGGTGCCACTCATGTCGTGGAGAGCTGGTCGTTCTGTGATGGACTATACGTACCTGCGATACCATGCTATATGTCAGGTTTTTTTTGAGTTTTGTTTCTACATACTGACAAAGCACTGCTATGGAATTAATCATCACTGCGACGGAGACTGACAAGACCCTAAAAATAAGTACATGTGCAGAAAATATGAATGACGGAGAAACCAAAAGTATCGCTGTCCATATACCGCCAAAGACTAGGAGAAATTACGATCAAACAAAGATGAAGCGCTGGAGTTATTGCATGGGGTGTTTGAGTGGATGAGGAGTGGGTATGCTACGTTCAAGGAAGGCACATGTATATTTGTATATATGAGTATATTTAAAGACGGGTCGCGGATTTAAGATGGCGTGGGTCGCTTGATCTTGAGCTGGCGCAGCTTTGCCATGAGATCCTAGACACGAAGAGACCGCAAGGTGGGCAAAGACGTTCAACGATCAGTAGTAGCCTCTCGCATCAGTTTCTTGCATCTGAACCAATCAACGTACCTGCATTTCCTCCGGCTGAAGACTCCCACGATGACTCTCCTCCACGACGCCATTCTCGATATTCTCCAAAATATCCCCAATTAAATCCCGATAGTCCACGCCGAAGAAGTTCGTCAACTTGGCAGCCCGACGTCTCCGCGCTTGGAACGTTACCATCTCTGGATCTGGAGACTGCGCTTCGTATTGGGAGGCGAGAGACAACGCGGAAGATTTGGTGGGTAGGGACCGGCGGCGCTCGAACTTCTGCAGTTCAGGTCTGGATTCGGGGTCAAAGGAGGCGCGGGTAGGGGTAACTTCCTCTACCATCGGTAATTCTGTGCTGAGGAATTGATGGAGCTCCGCCAGGGACTCTCGATCATCCTGTAAATCACTCGTCAGACAACGAAGATTCACGGCTGGAAGAGGAAAAGCCGCAAAGACGCACCCGATCAATGATATCGTTCAAGGAATTCAGAGAATGACGATAATGCATATATATAGAGGAGGACCGACGACCGGCGGATGATCTTCGGGCCTGTGTGGACGATGGATCATTCGATCCGCCTTCGTGAAGAAGATTATACGTCGAAGACGTCGGACTGGGCAGGCTGCCGTGTCGGACGGCTTTTCGAGGCTTGCTCTTATGAATATAGGCGCTCTGGTTCATGTTGCGACCCGTGGGCGACGAGGACATACTGAGAGATCCTGATCGGTCAGACAAGCTATGTGTGGGCGACTGCGACTCGTCGGATCGACGAGCTACGGCATGCTGAGTGTGTCGCGTGTGATACAGCACTTGTGGGGGCAACTCTCCAAATACCTAGTCGAGTCACAATAGTGTGAAGGCAAAATAGCTGTCAGTTTAGCGTTCAACCCACAAGAGTAGCGATCGCAGGCACCACCAGACATGCAACTGTGCTCACTTTTTCCATTTTGAGCGCTCTACGGACATTAATAGCCTTTTCCCGTTCATCAAGCTCCTCCTTGACACGATCAGTCCATGCGCCCTTCAACTCCGCTGCAGAACTGCTCCGACGTCGGAGCTTCCGCCATGCTCGCGCCTCGTTCTCGCCAGAGGAGGAGGTGCTCGACGCAGGCTCTGCAGGCTCAGGTAGAGCTGGCTCATCTATGCCCAACACGAGCGATGTCGGCACTCTGGAGCCTAAGAATCGATGGAGCTTGGCCAGTTTTTCTCTCTTGCGTCTACGTTCCTCTTCTGCCTTTTCTTGGGGAGTGAGGGTGTCGAAGGAAGTGGGGGACGATGGCCATGGAGGCGAGGAGCTGAAGCTGTGGGGCGATTTCGGCGTACGGCGAGAAGAAGAAGCATGGGCATGGTCAGGACGCTCTTCGTCGGACAAATCGATGAAAGAATCGGAGTCGAGCATCTCTCGACTGTGCGAACGATGCCCTCTTCTTTCGCTTCTCTCCGGGTAATCACCGCCCTCCCAGAGGGTACTGTGAGCAGAAGCATGACCACGTGTAGAATTAGACTCATATTCTGGATCCGAAAGGAGGTGGGACAACGAGGCGACGTCGAAGGGACTGAGGGGAGCGGAATGCCTTCTGCCACTTCCGGACGAGATGGATGAACGGAGACTAGGCCTCGAGTCCTGCTTGGAGTGTTTGCGTGACGAGGAGGCTGCCTCGCTCTCTACCGAGAAAGAGGCTGCCGGACGATGGTGCTTCGAGTTCGGGGACGGGTATGAGGAGAGGAAGTTGCGAGTAGGCGGTTCGTTTTGGCGTGGGGAGACGGACATAGCGTCAGGTATTTGACCGAAGACCTGCGCGAGCTTTCGCGACTTTCGGATGAGATCTGCACGCTCAGCCGCGTTGAGGTTATTAGTGGTGGGTGGTACATGAACGAGTTTAACTTCCGGATGCGAGTCGTGCGCCTGGCTCGAACTCGAGGAGGCCTTTCCCCGGGATGGTTCATTCGGTATAGACCGGTAGAAATTTGGTTTGGGACTGGTAGGGACTGGTGGCTTGGGTCCATGTGATCCATAAGAAGGCTGAGACATGAACGGTTAGAGAGCGGGATAGAATCAGACAAAGTAAAACACAGTCCGCGGAACAACAAAACATACTAGACGATTAGTGTTGATGCGTATGTTAGAGTTCGAGCCTGATTTCGCATTGGGAGTGTTTCTGGAGCTAGGGGGGAGGATCGGCGTGGAGGAATCAAATGACTGAATAGTGCTTGAGCGTTGCCGGCTATAGAACGAATATTCAGAGGCAGCATCATTGTCGTGATGAGCGGGCGGAGACTGGGCCATGTCGATGAAAGAGGAAGAAACGGAACGTCTGTCAAAATCGTTGCGGTCGTTGTCGTCGTCGTAAAAGTTGGTCGACATGTTGTTCGCTGTGTAGGATGGAGGTGTCCAGCAAGAGCACGACCCAGGAAGGCGGGCCCATCCTCATACTCTCGTTTCCGTACACCGCTCGTGGGAACATCACAACGCGGCCTTCCCCCCTCGGGTACAACGTTAACGCCACTCAACAGGCTTCCTCCCCAAGATCCCGATGTCGATGCAGGAAATCATGGCAGTTGCAGTCACCCGGACTGCTGCATTACGTGCCCAACGGCAGATGTACGGTATATGTTACAATAGATATGCAGCCTAAAATCGTGAACGCTCATCGTCCCCCGCCCTCCACGGCCACCGTCTCCCCCCCGTCACCCAGCGGCTTCTCCTTGTGCCTTTTGCGTCCACGAAGACGTAACAGCCCGATATCCAGGTGGCCCTCCTTCCGTGCCCCTTCAGCCGTCTGGGGATGAGGATGCTTCGACACGCGCTCGCTCGCATGGAGACCATCGAAGATCCCGACCTTGCTTAGTAGCCTGTGCAACTGCCCGAACGGCTTCTCACTCGGTGCTGGCGACAGCATCTCCTCCCGCAATTCGACTGGTGGACGCCGTGAGTTTGCGTCTCCATGCTGCGGCGTGGCCGACCGTGTAACCGACTTGGACGACGAAGCGAACGAGAGTGATGATGGTGGTCGATCCGTCTCGGCGACGTGGTCGCGAGAAGATAAATCGGGTTTAAGGGGCGAATGTGGCCGTAGTGACGTTGACGCGGACGTTTGGCGGGAAGCTTGCATGAACGAGGTGGAGGATATGGAGGACAGGACGGACTGAGGTCGTTCGTCGATATCGCAGATCGTGCCCTCACTCGACCGTTTCGTAGAGACCGATCGTAGACTGGCTGGACCACCGCGCGGTATGCCGCTTGGAGCAGGATTTATGAACGGATTTTGTGTCGCACCGGGTGCCCATCGCTGCCACGACTCCCCGACACTCCTCGGAGAATTCTGATCCTGACGTTCAACTGCACTTTGCTCCTGACTCCCGTAAATCGACGCGGCAGATTCGAGCACATTTTCGTTATGCGTCAGAATAGTGGATCGCGACCGAGGTTTACGCGGTCCTCGCGGAGGCGGCGGTAGGCCTTTCGTAATGAACTCGTCATGGTCAAAGGGAGTGGTGGAAACCGGTCGTTCAGGTAATGAAGAGCCGCTTTCTTGTCGGCGATGTTGCTCGTCGTAGTCAAGCAAAGCATCGAGATTCGAAGAAATGGCCAGAGAATTAGAGGAAGTTGCGCGATATAGTGATGGGTGGTTCATGTTTTTTTAAGGCGTGGGATTTCTCCGCCTTAGGGCACAATCCAACATCGAACATGATGAGCACACCAAAAGAACATAGATTGACAGTAAACTGATGGGCTCACTCACCGCCTTCAAAGCACGCTAACCAGTATGTAAATAACCCGCTCGGAGGGGGGTTTCGGGGTTTGTACGAAGAATTAGGAGGATGAAAGAGTAGTTTGTACAGAAAATTAGCCGCAGGAGGAGCAGAAAGTACCCGCAGAACGACCTGGACGGTCTCGTCAGTGGAAGGAAAGAGAAACGCGCCGCTATCGCCTCAGGAGGGGCGTCAGCGTCGGCTATGAGGAGCGTGGCTGGCCTCGCGCTCGAGCTGCGCGAGATTCAAACCGAAATCTACTGTATACAGGAAAATCACACTGGCCGGGCCTGCCCAGCGCAATGAGTAAAAGGGTGCAGGCCTGCCGCGGAAAGATCAGAGATTGTAGTCAAATTGAACGATGGCGGCCATCAGAAATTATTGCGGCTGTGTTCGTATATCAACTGAAACCGAACCCTTCACGCCCATAAATCGGGCAAGCTAGCCATGGCGTTGGTAGCATGCCTGAATTGCGCACCTCCTCGACGTCGCGACGGTGCTTCGTGTTCTCGAAACGGTTGACTCGGAATCGTTCAGGGTTCATGAATGGTGGCAGGAGAGTTGTTCGCAACCTTGTCCGTCCCGGAGGTACTCATATGCTCCAAATATGGGGGTGAAGGATTCAACCCAAACTGTCCAGAGCTGTATTTGCATACATGTTGTAGTCCGAAAAAGCATGCGATCGATCGCCCCATGACCGCATACAGCTCCATGACAGTCGAAAGCCTACACACTCGATGGTAGAATGTCCATCGTCCTCACCAACGGAGGTTTCAAGGCTATCAGACTTGGGAATGATCCTAGTCAATGGAAGTTCTGGAACCTGTCGCCTGTCGGAAGGTAAGCGGGGCGGATGATGGCGGGCCTGGGGCGGATTCCCAGAATACTCACTAGTGTGGCACAAATATGTTCCAAGCAAAAGTCTCAAAACCCGAGAATAGGAGCAGAAACACGGATGCGGTTAAAATTCTGAGACAATGCCAGCGTCCATTCATCGTGACCCAGTGCAACGAATGCAACTCACATCGTTTACCCAGCGGCATGCCCGTGCCCATGGGCCTCTCCCCTCCTTAACCTATTGAACTTGGGCAAAGTCTCTCTAAGGTACTCAGCATGCTTCCTCCTCAGATCCGCCTCCTGGACTTTGCCCCTTCCGCTCCACGTCCTCCTCTCCGCCGTAGGTCCATAAATCACGGTATAATCATCCAACACTTCATCCTCTGTGGGTACGACAAGGCATCCGGCACCGATGACGCAGTAGGAGGATATTCGAACGGTGTGGTGTACTCGAGCACGGGTGGAGACGGTGTTGAAGTTGCCTATCGTTGGAGATTCAACGCCTGAGCGATCGGTAAAGGGAATTGGGCGGTCGGGTCAGTCTTAGAGGAAGGCTGAGATGGATACAGAAACGTACGACAGCCAATCTCAAAGAGATTATCATCCCCTATTCGCATAACCTCCTTCCTCCTAGCAAGAGCATTCCGTCTGTGAGATTTGGAGCCCGCTATATAACAGCATTGCACAAACCTGTTCACGACAATCGCGCCTTCTTCGATGATGCACCCAGAGCCTATCACAATTGGTCCAGCAATGGCAAAGATAGTCGCCTTTGGGTGCACTATGGTGCCTACATATTGCCATCGACAATGTCAGCTTCGAGTACAAGACACGAAGGGGTCGAGAAACGGGCCACACCAGAACCAATGGTAATATCGCCTTTCAGTTCAACATCTTGACAAACAACGGCTCTCGAATGAATAGTGAATTTATCCCGTCTACAGGAGTAGTCAGATTCGTTCAATTGGTAGCTAGAATAGTAGCAGCGTACATAGGTGGCATCAGGTCCGGAGTGTGGTCATGGTCAAGGGAGAGGCATGAAGAGGTCCGAGGTTGATCGCTGGAGATCACGATCTGGGGTCAAAAGTGCAGTATTATTGCTCACGTGCGAGTAAAAAGTAAGCATTAATGGGGTAGTGGTAACCTGGGTCGTTGCCATCGACCCGCCGGGGGTTCGATTCCCTCTTAATGCAGTCGACTTGTATTTTTGGGCCCGGACCGAAACCTTTTTACCTCTTGAACTCATGAGGATATTACTTACTTCACATTGTCTACCAGCAAGTATTCTGGTTATTTGACATGCAGTTCGTTCAGCTTCGATCCCGCCATCAATCCCGAGAGTCAAGACTCGCATTATGCATATGCATTATACCCCAGACCTCTCGAGGCCATTGAGGGATGAGGTGACTTATAGTAACATCCGACGACACGGTCTTCACGACCGCTCTTCGAGAAAAGGCAAGCAAGAGAGAAAAAGAACTGACGGAAGTAACTTAGGACGAGACGGGAAACGAGAGGGCAAAGAAAACGAGAATGAACGCGATGGGTTGGATAGTGCTGTGTTGCTGTTATTGTTGGTGTCGTTATGTTCGTATACTACAAAAACCGAGCCGTGTCGTGTACGATGCGATGAGAATATGTCAATGTGGTTTGTGCAGTGCGGTGCGGAATCGGGCCAAAGGCAGGAAAATCGGGAGCGTGAGCTCGATGGAGGTCGCCGATGGATGCGGAATGCAAACGAAACAAGGATACAAGATGCGTAAATAGAAAAAAAATCTCCAAGACCCGTCAAAACGCCGGAATAAGCAGAAGAAGAACAGAATAAGCAATCCAGAAAGAAAAGTAGAAGCGAAAAGGAAGCATAAGAGTAAAGTAAGGGCAGGAACAACATGCGTGTCCCAGATCATCACGTCGGCACCGAGACAGTCGACCTCCGCGGCGGTAATGGCGGCTTCTGTAACGTAGGATAGATCGGTGTCGGAGCTGTGAATGTGATATCAGGCGACAAGGTCGAGTATGGGTCCAAGGAGCCCGAGCCCATACCGGACGACGGAGATTCCGAAGGGTCTCTCGTTTCCTTACTGCCTCCTTCACCCTCATCAACCTGAACCGTGAGTGGCGACCTTGTCATTTCCAGTGAAGCGCGTTTCAGCTCGGCGTCTTTCGATGCTATAGACCGTAATGACTCCGACGCCGAGGCAAGTGAGGACTGCGTGGGGCTCGTCGCCGAAGAAGACCCGGACAACGTCGATATAGAACGTGGAGGGAGCGGTGGAGGTGCACGTCGAGGCTTCGAGGGTTTCGCAGGAGGAGTGGGTGTCTGCGACTGTTGCTCATCCTCGATGAGAGCATCCAAATCAGCAGGCGCAGAAGAGACAGATGCACTTTCTGGCGCTGAGACAGGCCCTCTGTTGAAAAGTCGCGAGAGACTCTGAATTCCGGCGGGCGCCTTGGCCTTATTTTCTGAAGGGACTGAAGGAGGCGAAGGTGGGACGTAACCCATCGACATGACCTCGCCTCGATGACTGGCGTGGATACCGGGGATGCTCATGACCTGGACTTGCGAGGGCTGCGTATGTATAGGCGTCGGAGGAGATGCTACAAGCGGCGAGTCATCAGGTTTGTCAGGTCCGGGACTGGTGGCCTTCGATCGACTATCAGCGCTACCCTCTCGAGTGCGTTCAGCGACGTCCAGAGTAGGCTGTGGTGTAGGAGAAACGCCCTTTCTGTGCTGCTGATACGCAGGGCCCATATCGCCCTTCGAGAGGGGCCTGCCTCTGAAAGACGAAACCGGAGACGATGGCGCGCCATACGAAGCTTCGGACGAACCACCCTCGGAAGAAATACTGACAGTTCGATCCTTTGTAGGCTTGCTGTCTGGGATGACTATCGGCGACGAGACAGATGGCGGTAACTGATCTGCGGGACCAGGTTCGGGAGCATGATTGCTCGAGCCCCCTCCGCTTCTGCGTGATGCAACATGGGCCCTGACTTCGGCGTAACTGGCCTTTGGCTTGTTTATCGAGCTACTCGAATCCGAGCTCATCCGACGATGAACAGAGCCACCATCGGGCGTGTCGTACCCGCTCCCGTTCTCCTTCTTCAAGCCAGTCCAGTTTACTCCCCATTTACGCATGGTCTCCTTCGCCGATTGACCGAGGGCTTGTCTGTCGGCGGCCCGAGACTTGAGCGTCGACAAGAAGGTGTTATTGCTGTTTATCGACTTGTGATCGGAAGACTTGTCTGACTTTGTTGAGGCAGATGAAGAGGAAACAGTCATAGGGTCCGCTGGCGGGCGCTCGAACGAAGGAGAGGGGGACGGCGAACGCGAAGAAGCGCGAGAGCGGACAGAGCGGACAGAGGGAGAGGGAGATCGAGATCGGGTAAACTTGCGCGCAGTAGTCAAGAACTTGGACGGCTTCTTGTTCAATTTGCGAGGAGGGGCATCGATAGGGGTTGACGGCAGCTCGTTCGTCGGTGTGTTAACACGCGGCATTTCTTCGCGACGTGACCCATCTTCAGCGTCTGGTAGCGGTTCAGGATCATCCATGAGGTGATTAGCATCGACAGTCGAGCTCGAAGCGGATAGCCATGTATCGTTGTTAGAGGGAGAGGAAGAAAGCGTGTCTTGAGAGGGGACGGGAGCTGCCATGGTTGTCGAACGGGGTTGAGAGTTCTTTGCAGCCTCGATGCTCTCCGCGATTTCGCCATCAGAATGTGAACGTTTAAGACCGCTGGCCTCCCCATCGGGAGAAGTCTCGACGTCGGGAGAGCCGGTATCCTCCTCTTCGCCTTCCATACCGCCCTCCTTTCGTTGGTTCCGTGCTGCATCAGGGAAGATACCACCGCGGTGTTTATAGGGCGAGCTGTCGAAGAAGGCGATATCGTCCATATTTGGAAGGACTACTGATTCCATTATCTTCAGGAATGCACGATTAACAATCGAGAACCATAGAACAGAGGCGACGGGATAGACATACGACTTCTTTCAGGCGAGACTCGATGGAATTCAGGATCATACTCCAAGTGATTCGTCTGTCGCTAACGCCTGGCACGATTTGCATTTGCATCTTTGGCATCTGCGTGAACGCGTACCAGATACGGTTGCTTGGAGGACGTTTCACCCTAATGACCATGTTACCCTCGAGCTCGTGCAGGACAACAGCCAGGGCGAGTGGGACGGTATACGGCTTGAACCTGGCCCCAAGGTTAAGCGTAGCGATAGCCTCGACCTGAATACGGATTTCGCCTTTGTAGTGAATGCGAACCTCCAAAGCAGCATCTCCTTCCTTCGTAAGCTCCTTCAACATAGGTTTGCTGAACATGGGCGACCTATCCCCGACGGATACCTCGGTCACGATAACGTCGCTGAGAAAGTTGGGTTTCTTCACTTTGGAGAGTTTCTTCATGAGTTTGCCGATGATCATGGATTCGAGGGTGTCAGTGCGGTAATAGCTGAAGAATATTCGTCCGATCAGTGCGTTCAACCATCGTGTCGGGATGACGTCGGGCTGTTCGTCCAATGTGGCGACAAGGTGTTTCATATCGTCGGGAGAGAAGACGGGCTCGAGTGGTGTGAGGAGGGGTGTGTTGGCCGAGTAATCCGATGCATGGACGAGTGCGAGATACCAGTCCTCCATATCGAAGTTGGATCGAACGAAGATGTACCATGGTGTCGACATGTCCAGCGCCTCTTGCCTCGCCGCGTCCTTCCTCCTCTCAATCTCAATCATCTTCTCCCTCTCCCTCTCCCTTTCCTTCTGCTTCTTCTTCGAACTTCCACCACTGTTGGCCACCTTCTCCTCTACCTTCTCCTCCACGTTATCCCTTTCCAAGAACATCTCCCTCGTCACACTCGGCATACCCCTCTGTCCTGGCTGAATCTTGGGCCTCAAGCAGATCGCATTCCGTTTCGCAAAGAGTTCACCATCCGTAAGCTTATCGTGTTCATGCACGATAGTCACCTCGTGCCCACCCAGCTCGATAGCAGCCTCGCACTCCGTCATACTCTCGTCCTCGTAGAGGTAAAGTACCTTCCCTTTGAGAACGACATACCACGTATCCCGAGGCCTCGACCGTTTCGGATCCTTAGATCGAGCATCGAGGAACGACCTAACGAGGTTGACATACGACCCATCGAACGTCGTCTCCTCGAGCGTGCGCCTGACGGTCAGCCACCCTTTCCTCGCCTTGGGCGTCTCTGGCGGAGGCTCGTATGATTTCTCGTCTTGTTGCTGTTCTGACTGTGCGGTTACGGATGCAGACGCAGAGGACACTGGTGAAACCTCGCGAGTGTCCGACTGGCCTGCGTGAGCACGGGCTTCCTTTGCTGGCTTTGTAGGGTCAATGTCCCCTAGCGGGACGGAGGTATAGACTGCGAAAGCGATGAGACTGAGTAAGACCAGGGGAAAAAAGGTAAGGCCGCCGAGGACATAGGCATAGACGATGGAGCGAAACGACATTGAGCTGTGAATAGCCCGAGCTCGTCGTCGTGCCCGTCGCGGTTGACGGTGATGGTAGAGAGCTGTGTTTGTTTGCCAGCCAGCTCGAGGCGGCTCAGCTTTCCGCACCAAGGCCGTCTTCGCACGACGTCACCGCTTCGCGGCGTCGTTCGGCCCGTCAAATGCTTCCGGCCGCGGCACCCTTGATCCGTTAAAGTCATAATGAAATGTTATTCGATTTTTATGGAATTTCTGTCCAACGCTTTCAAGTTTCGACATAGAACCAAGTGTGGCGAAGAGAGAGAGTAGGATAGACAATAGCAATGTTATACCCGAAACTCATCACCGACAATGTCTCGCCCGCCTCTTTGCGCTCAACACGCGTGAAAACAATCCCCTCCGGACCTGCTCCTCCAGAGACGGCAGCACAGCCCGCCAATGTCCCTCCGTATATTCCCACTTGCGGCCGCACATCATAGGCTTCGCGAGCAGAGGTGGATATACATCGTTCACCACCGGGTGCGACGGCACAACGAGTTGGTTTCCAAAGCATGCGTCCTGAACCGGGACCCAACACGATGATTCGCGCTCCTCGGCCTCGCAGGGTGTGATGACTATTGTGGGTATTGATGGGTCATCGTTTTCAATGCGCAAAGGGCCCTGACGTTCCTGAAGATAGTGAGGAGCAGGTCTCATCAGAACTCTCGACTCAGTGGTGTTATTAGATTGATAGTATTGACACTCACAGGTGATTTTGATTTTCGCCGCGAAGGGGACCTTTCTCGGTCATGACCAGGCAAAGACTCAATGAGGGTATCTGGTTCCAGAATAATATCCTCAAGAGGCTGTGGTATTGACTCGAAATCCTGTATATCCAATCAACCTTCTGTCCCACGCCTACGCAAAAGTGGCATTGACAATACGTACCTCGTCCGCCTCGTTTTGTAGTCCCAAATCCACTAGCATTGTAGCTACCTGCTCCACATCATCCAGCAGTCTCCTCTGCAGCGACCTATACACCGGTGCCACCGTGCTCCCGCACAATCCAGCGACAGACCTCCAATGCAGCTGCGGGGCTGCGGGTAATAGAGCGTATAGCGCTTCCACGTTGAGAGACTGTGTAACAAGAGGGTCGTTCCACCTCATGTCAGCTTTCCAAGAAGATAGAAAGAGGATGTGCAGAGAGGGTCGAGGTCGAAATACAGAAGGGGTGGACAAGGACGTACGATTTCCTGCTCCTCCACCGGGAGTGAAACGGCCGTGCCACCCGTTTCAAGGCGAACGTCCAGCACACGCGAGCTGGCTTGTGACAAGAACGCCCTAATCATACTAGATAACTTGCTTGCCCTATGCCACTAAGTTATACACGTTTCCGAAAGTAATAGTCTGAGGATCGAGGGGCAGAGAGGCCACGCTCGACGCGTTAGGAAGTTGTGTCGCACAAACTGAAACCAGCCGAAACAAAAACAAAGACGGTTATAATGGCGGCCTTGTGCAGTGGTGTATAGAGGATGAGGCCAGGGAGAAGGGCGACATAAGCAAACGGAAGAGAGAAACGAGAACGGAGAGGCGATTAGAAAGGACGACGAAGGGGGCAGAACAGAATCACATTAGCCTTGCTCAAAGTTCGCATATTGAGGCCTCGCATATGAGGCTCGTAAATGAGCTCGATATGAGCTCGATATGAGCTGAGCTGCCCCATTAGGCAGAAACTGTTCGGCAAAGCCTCTTGGCTGTGCTGGAGCTCATATCAAACTCATATCGAGCTCATATACGAGCTCATATACTGCGTTTATGAGGGCTCGATATGAGCACTCTGAACAAGGCTATTGAGTCTCCGGCTGTCCTTACCCCGGCCCGCCAGACCCTTGGGCTCGCGCCTGACGTCGCCCAATCACATCTCTTCCCTTGTTTGCGCTTTGCTCCGTCACGCGCCACGCCACTTTCATGTTCGACTCATTCTTCAAAGTCCGCTCCCTTTGTTCTCGAGCCTCGACTGCATATGCGCTTCCAAAATTTGTTCTCGAGACATTTTGCGAAACATACTTACGTGCCGAGAATGGATGCGTAGAAAATCTTCGCTATGACTCCTTGGGTCTCGAATATACTGTACCATTTCGATCGGATGCCATGAGATTTCTCGTGTGACACGACTTTGAAAATCCGAAAAAGCGAAAGAAAATTATTGCGATACTCAGACCTTATGCCATGAGGGGTCTGTGACGTGTGACCATGGCATCCGATCGAAATGGTACAGTAGAGCCTCCCCTTTTCCGTTGCCTGAGTGGATGATTGTGGCCCGCGTCAGCCGTCCTTGTGCGCTCATACGTACCAGGGACCCGCGGATCTAAACCCATTCCACGACACAGTCTTACACGATGCCCGGCCTGGCAACAACATATGTCATCAATTGCAGCTTCGCTATGTGGGTCCAGGTCACCAGAACTCAAGCGTACCGGTCCCATGATGCGGTCATCAGCGGACACGTAGCTCGCGACTTTGTATATGACGTCCAATTCGAGAGATAAACGGGTTAACATACATTGTATCGCTCTTGCATATATACTGGCCATACCGCAGGCGACAGGCGGTGATACTACTACTAAGATACAGTATGTACTACACGAAAGACAGTGATACAAGGGAGATATCGAACAGTGCGGTGGTATCTAAGCGTCTACGTGTGCATGCGATGCGAGAGCAGAAACAGTGATGAGAACGAACGTGAATAAATCTCGAAGTCATAATGAATATGAATTCATGAATGAAGCCTCATGCGGACTCGGAGTGCTTGGAGGCGAAAGTAGAGGGAAGCTGTACGATGGAGGGATGGGTGTGCAGACAAGGAAGAGGAAGTTGGGAAAAGGGAAGGGAAAATAAGTCATTGTGGAGAAAGAAATGAAGAAACTAAACTGGAGTGCCCGTCCGGCGCAACCGAGGACTAAGCTAGAACGACACATGGCCACCATACCCCCTCATCCCGTACCATGAAGGGTCATAGAATGTTCCAAGAGGCGGCTGAGGTACATTAGGTGGAGGTTGGAACTCCCACTGGAAATCGTCATTCCCAAAGTCGAAGACGGGAGGCTGAGAGTGATCGGGCTCAGGGTAGTAGTTGTACACGTCGTGGGACACGTTGTCAGTGCCACTCATGATGGCCGGAGGTGCAGGCTGGAAGAGTAAAGCCGACGAGTCGAGGGCTTCCGCATTACTCTGCTCCTGGCTACCGGCGTCATCGTAAACCACAGGCGCCGTGTCACCTGCAGCAGTTGCTACGGCATACTCAGCGACTGCAGGCACGTCCTGTACGTCTTCAGTTTGGATTGTCGGAGAACACCAAGACGGAAGATAACCACGCACAGGCCTCGGGTGCACGAGCTCCGAAGAATCCGATTCGTCAAATGACTGGTTCTGGACCTCCGATACCCACGCCTGTGTTCTGTTCAACCCATGCGAGCTCGTGGATGCGCCATTTTCGAACGAAGTCGAAGCGGGCGCGAACTGCATTTGCTGGGGCCAGGCGTATTGGGGTTGCTGCCAGTGACCGTAATCACCGTCGACGGCTAGAGCTGGGACAGACCAAGAGGGTTCCATCATCGTTTCCTGTTGGACCGGTATAAGCTGCGGTCCGTCCAGGGGCTGCTCGACGCTGATGGTAGCCTCAGAATTGTGATGCTCGGGATAATGGTGCTCCTGTGGAACGGGCACCTCCTTTCGTTCCTCCTGGAAAGAAGGCGCATAAAGATGCGATGGACCATCATCATGAGCCTGAGAATCGTAATCCGGAGACGGAGGAAGAGAGTAAGGATAGTGCGACTGGAATTGAGAAGGCTCGCACGACTCGAAGGACTGGAGGAGGCTGTTTTGAAGGAACGTTGGATTCAGAAACTCATCTGCCCTCCGCCTGGTATCTTCCACTTCCCTCAGTCTGTCGGCGATCGCTTGACCATGTTCTGGAGTAGGAAGTGTTCGGTATTCGGATGTCATGTCGGCATAGCCATGCACATTAATTGCATCTAAAAGAAGGAACGGAGTGAATCAAGGTCCTGATCAGTAATTATGTTCGTACGCTGATGAACATGGCAGATGAAGATGCGAAGCAACAAAAGAAGGGTTCGAACTGACACCGGCGTCCGTCCAATACACTCACGAGAAGAAATATAGACGGAAGGTTTGATGTATCATGTATAGATGTGGAAGCGAACTCACCTGTAATTGGCATCTGGTTAGCGTTCTCACCGTCAAGCGCTTGCCCTGCAGCCACCCCCGCATCCTGATCCTGATATTGATTCAATTCTTCCGATTCCGCCCAATACTCCGGTTCATAGGGCTGCACGGGTTGGACCGTGTTCGAAGAATCGTAACACAGTTCCGATGCGTGCTGATGAGGATGCGAAGATGAAGATGGGAAATTGTTTGCGCCCATGTACAGGTCGTACTCTGGATATCCGATCGTGGAGGTTACTGGATGATGTGTGGAGGTAGGGTGGACGATGACTGGCCGTGAGGACGGGTGTTCAGAGGACGGCGTGGGGATGGTGGACTGGACTGAGGGCGAAGAAATGTAGCCGGAAGTGGCCCAGTGAAGTATGTCTTTTGTTTGGTAGGATGGCTGATATTGAGTGGCGTATGGTTGTGACGCAGAGGGTTCGCTGGCAGACTCAAGCGCTGGTGCTGCCTCTGCTGAGTACATTGCGTCGGCGGGTGAAAAATCTGTGAAGTCTGATGGCATAGGTTGAAAGGTTGAGTATTGCATAGCGGGATAGGTGGCGTATGGATCGTAGTCCATGTTGATGGGGTGTGAGGCGCAAGGAGGGGGAAGGTGAACACAAGCCCAGAAGCATCTCGAAGGAGGGGCTTTATAAACCCGCGAGACCAAGCGAACAGTACTACCGCCCGCCGATCGTTCCTCGCGATTCTCAATGTAAAGTATCTGTGTCGTGAGCACAAGTCAGATGCGGGCCCGGGACTCTGGATGTTCAACTCAATTTAGAGAGCCACGATGCCCGATTGGGATACCACAAGAAGGTTCTTCTGCCAGGCGCGGTGACGGATAGAAGGTCTTACGGCACATCTGACAAATTCAAGCGAGCGAAGGGGGACCCGCACACGCACAGCCGTTTGAGAATAAAGGCTTCAGGGGCGTGGGAGGGATCGTTGTCATTATCAGCGCATCTATCTCTTGTTGTTCGAGGCGAACATGCCAGGTGGTGCCTCGTCAAAACCATGCAGCCCGCACTAGAAGCCGGATTCTCCGGGAAGAAATGGACGGGTAGCTATGGAACGAACACTGGGATGTCCAACTTGCGTCAAGAAAGAATGCAGAAAACTGACAATCGCAAAGCACATCGTCAAACTGCATTGACCACCGTGTGATCGGAGGCTCAAAACAAGCAAGTCGCCAAAAGTAGACGATGCCGCAAATTCCTGACTCTCGCTACGAAGGGCGGCCTCGTGGTCTCGATCCGACTGATCTCACTATGAAAAACTCCGACGGACCCGTAAGGCAATGCGTTACAGACTGTGAGATTGTTCGCCTCAGACACCTCGTCAACACAATCCCTTTGTTCTCCATCGCACTCAAAGCGCGTGGTATTGGTTTCACCGCAATATGTTGTTAAGCAGAAAAAGCATACAGCCTTTGTGTAACCGCCTGCCACGCACTATCGCAAGAGCCTTCTTCCCTTTGTTCTTCGTCATCGTGCGCGGAGGAGGGCCACGACGTATACTATGTATACGTAAGAAGGTTCGTTCTTAGGAGGGGCACTGCCTGCGGGTCCAGACGTCCATTTGACTCTCCGAAGTTAGAGGCAGGTATGCGCACAGCTTACAGCTGTAAGTTCCAGCAAGATGAATGACATCCACGACAGCTGTATGGGTGCGCAAAGAGAAGACTTTGAACCCGCACAGAAAGAGATAACCGTGGTCAGTTGACGTGTCTGATGAAGCGCCTTGGAGCGTGAAACGGCTATACGTGCGTCCCCCCTATCGCCATCGGGTGCGATCGCACCACAAATACAGCTGTAGTTGTGTCGCAACAACAGCGCTACGGCTGTAAAGCCTCCATCGAAGAGTGGATGTGCTACAACTGTGATACGTATTCATGGCTCATCTGAAAAAGATTTGCGACCCTAGAACAAGCGGTTTCAGGACGCCTTCCACGAGAAGCGCTGTGAACATAGCTATCAGACAAAAACGGCCTGAGAGCGGCGAGCTATGATTGTGACAATAGGGCACAAAGAAAAATATAGGGGGGGTGGAGGGTTGCGTGCTCAGAACGTTCGTCTGCCCTGACTGAGCTTAAGCTTGACTCGGTAACCGTCGCTCGGAGTCAATCTGGTCTTCCGAGTTATTATACCACAGTAGAAGACACGGTATCACCAGCTTAAGCACGTACCTTGCGTTCTGTTACAGCGGATGTGTTAGGTGACGTGTAAACATACGAGGACAAGATACCGATGGAACGAACGACGCAATGAATGGACGCGAGGCTGAGTGGCTGAAGTCTTCGAGGCCGAGTTTTCCCTGGACGGGGAAAGCCGGAGCCGGACGTCTGGCCACAAATGGGCCACACTGGCGGTTCCGGGGAGTTTTCGGATGCAAACTGTGGTCTCACCGGGATGTGCTCGTGCGGGACGTGTGAAGTGACTTGCTTCTAACAAGCACCCAAAGTGATCATGTTTCCATCCATTGAACTCCCAACTTCACGCAACCACAGGCAACAACACATGGCCGTAGCCGCGACAAGACACTGACACGAACAAGGAAGAAAACGAAAAACCATTACGGTAGCAATCAGAAGTGTATACCTTTATACATAGGAAAGTATGGGCAGGCGTAGAACCTGAATAGGGGCAAAGGGAAAGAAAAGAATGAGTCTCCGATCTGCATACACGCCACCCAATCCAAGACTTGAAGTCCGACGGTGTGGCGCGCAGCTCATGCTAAAAACACAATGCAGGAAACAAAGAGAGCGAGAAGAGGACAATCGAAAGGTGGGACAAAAGAATGATGTTTAGGTCGAGGATGTTTGCGCAGGATGGAAGGAGAACAGGAAGGCGGGGAAGGAAGCAAGGCGGCGGAAGAGCGGACGAAAGAGCTAGGCAAGAGCGGGAAGAAAGAAATAACGCCCATTTCTAAGACTGGCTCAAAAATGGAAGGTTGGGGGAAGTAACAAGGGCAGCCGGTGAACATGAAGGCCCATCTACATCGTTGTCTCGACTACGACACTCGCTTCCGTCCATGTCCATCTGGTCCCTTCGACGCAATGACCAACTGACGAACAGTTCACTCTGCGACCGTGAGCCCACCCATCGCCCTGTGCATCTTCTCCATCCCCTGTGATGGGTGGTCCTGACCGCTGACCGCTCGCGGGGGTAGGCCAGGGTGCCGCACACCCAACGCGGCCCCAAGCATGCGTTTGCCCGGGTCGCCAATCCTTGGTCCGGTTCCGTTTGGTTGAAGGCTTGACGCGAGGATAGCAGGATCCGAGGGAGGTGCTCCGTCTCCCATGGTTAAGTTGATCAACGAATCGAGAGTTGGGTGAGATGGTAGGGTAGGTAGAGTCGGAGAGCCTTCACGGCCGATGGGTGAGGTCGGACCGGCCATTTGAGCGAGGCTGTTGGCGTCCCCATTAGGGATACTGACGCTGCCGTTGAGCATGGCGGGCATGCCACCGTTGTGGTTTCCGTTGGCGTTTCCGTTGGTGGATCCATTGCGAGTACGCTGTTGGCCAGGGATGGCAACAGAAGATGCACGAGCATTGTGACCTCGGCCTGCGCCGTTGCCGCGCGAGTTTACATTTTGAATAATCGTCTGCGCATCTGGTCCGTCGTAGGGACGAACAACGGCGATAGACTCCGAGTTTGAGAAGATAGCAGGTGGATTGGCGAGTGTGGAGAGGTATGCGCGCTTAGCTATACAGGTAGGCGAGTTGAAGGGTGAATAAAGACACAATACGCGGTCTGAGTGGTGGCAAAAGCAAAGCGATCAAAGAAAGGAGACTGACCAACTGCGGCATCAGCAAACACCACAAGGAGACTGGTATCGTCTATCCACTTTATCTTGAAACCGCCGCTGGCGTTCTCATATTCGGAGAACGCAGACTGGATGTCCCGCGTCTTCAGCTCTTTAGGAAAGCCAGTCAAGGAAAGAATGCGGGTGACAGAGGCAGAGAGCTGGGAGATGGAGGATGAGGCCATTTGGAAGAGAGAGCGAGTGTGATTATGTGCTTGTGTACTATGATGTGCGCTTTCGCTCAGCGATGTGGGCGTTCAGTGGACGGAAGTGTTGTCTGGCGAGAGCGAACAGTTGTTGGAGACGGGCGAGCTGCGAAGAAGGGAGAAAGAAAAGGGAGTGGTGGATGTTGTACAGCAACAGAGTCAAGAGCCGAGGCGACGTCCTCTTTAGGTTGGAGCAACCAGACTATCCCCTCTTATATCCAGCTCTCCCACGCTCTTCTCGCCCTACCCAGCCCTGCCACCGTCTGTCTGCCCTGTTCGCTATGTCTTGGTTTATTTTTATTCTGCGCATTTTTGTCCACAAAATCCATGTAAATGTGTACGCCCCTACACGTCCGCCCAACGACGAAAGCTATCAACGGGCCAATTAGAAGCGCACCCGTCTTCGGTTGCGGTATGCGGGGTCCTCACACGCAACGCGACACGCGACAACACGCGACGCCAAGTCAAAGCCTAATTGGGCCTGACATTGCAGACGCGCTCACCGTGCTCCTCGTATTCGCCTCATACTCGCTAGCGATCATGTACAACAACGACATTGAGTCTGACTTTTTCCTACGCGCATGGCAGATAATCAACGAAATCAGTGATCAGCTCTCACACAATCAAAAGTTCGCTCACTCGCTCGTCGCTCAGGCTCATGACCTCAAGGTAATGTCGTACCTTTCTCGGACGATCCAGGGCTTAACCCTTGCAACAACAGGCACATGCAAAGGCAGAGCGTGACGGATCTCCGTCGTATAATCTCAATAGATTCAATGTCGATATCTCCAAAGGTCTGTGCAATATTTGTGAGTCCGCCTAACCAAGACATTGATGTTCGTGTGCCACAGAAACTCTGCACTCTGAGCTTGAGCGGACAAACGCTCAAATAATCATAGAAAACCATACTCTTCACCAGGAGAACAGGCAACTCAGTCAGCTGTTGAAAGAGTACGAGCAGACTATGGAGACTATCATGTCCAAATTCCATAGCCACACCGTACGCCCGCTTCATTTATCTTAAACGCCAGCCTCGAGCCTGATACCGCACTATTTTGTATTCCAGCTGGCAGCCCAACAGCATGAGCTTAAACTCATCCGACATTACGATACCCTACTTTCCCAAGATTCTCAATTACCTGTCTCCCCTGCCTCCAATCCCGCCCTTGCCCACGCTCTGTACCGCCTAGGCCATGGCCTTCGCTCCATCATCCTTTCCTTGTCTGGCCAAGATCCCGCCAACCACCTCCCTCCTACACTCATGCACCACTCAAATTCAATCCCGCCCACCCAACATCCCATACCTCATCACGCCGGACAATCATACAACCAACACCTCCATCAACACGAACAGCCTTACGGGCATCCGGCCGTCGGTTTCAAGTGGCCTAGTTCAGACGGCGAGGAATATGAAGGTGTTGGTGAAATGATCGATGATGAAGATGATATGTCACCGTCATCTTCGCCGTCCAACGGTTATCCTGTCGTGGAGCCATACCCGCCTCCTTCAAACCCGAATCCGAACTCATACCCTCCAAACACCTACCCTCCAGATCCCTACCGTCCCACCTCTATTCGATCAGAAAATCAACCATCAGATTCCCCACAACCACCTTCCTCCATTCCTTTCACCCCCGACGGTCAAAAACACGAACCAGTAGCCGAAGAAGACGACGCTGAAACCGTTCTCGACTGGGCCGAAGCTCGCGAGCTCGAAATAGCCCGCCTCGAGGCCGAGAACGCTCGTCTCCGCGCCGAACTGCACATCAATCCCGCAGCGCTCAAGAAAGCAGGCATTCCCGATGACCCAGAGGCATATCTCGTAGCGACGAGCTCGTTCGGGTCTCTGGGAGGGCATAACTTCCACGGACATAGCAGTCGGAGTAGTTCCTTCAGCGGAGGCGGACACCAGAACGGGGTGTTCGTCACGGCTTCGTTCCCTACGCAGAACCAACAACAACACCCGCAGCACCAGCAACATCAACAGCAGCAGCACCAACAGCAGTACTCGCAATTCAATCCTCATCATCAGCAACAACAACAGCAGCCGTTCCCGCAACATCATCCCCAACCAATGCATCAATATGGTGGCGGAGGCGGAGGCGGAGGCGGCGGAGGGACGCCACCACCGCAGATGGGAATGTCGTTGCAGCGTGCGATGGAGCTCGGGGGTGCAGGGGGTATGGCGAGCGGGAGAGGCCAGAGGATCATGTTTGGGAAGGATCGGAATACAGGGCAGGGGTCTTCCTTGCCGTTTTATACCGGTGGGCAGTGACGGGACTTGCGGGATTTCGGACGATGTTTTGTTTTATGCTTTTTGCTTTTTGTTGTGGATTCGCAATCATACCATTTTTTGATGAGCGCGCAACCGTTCATACATAGTATTGGTACACACTGACGGGACACGAGCACGGTAATTGTATCCGAGCTAACAAGGTCAGCCTATCCTACAAGGGTTTCATAAACCGAATATTACTCAAAAGCACGAAGACACTACAAATTCGCCGATATCCTAGTAGAAACATTACTAATACAGATGCCTGGAGAAGGTTGGGTTCAGCGAAGGTGTACGTGGCTCAATGCAGATAACTCACCGGTAGAAGTGAGCCACAACACGCGTCCTATGCGTCTCACGACCAGATCAGCTCTTGAGCAATACCTTCGAATAGATGTGCATATTCTTCCGTGAGAGGTCCCCCGCGCCATTCGAATGTCTGGATCTGCCGTGTTTCAGCGACACGACGAAGGTCCGCAGCAAGATCACGGAGCTCTTGCTCTGAAGGCTCGATGATTGGAGGTGCCCACAAATTCAAGGGATCCGGCGATCGGCGTCCATAATAATGGATACTGTTCAAGTGGCGAAGGAGAGTGGTGTTGGATGCTATGCCTGATAGAATATCCCGGCAAACGTGGAAGTTTTCGAAGACAAGTCTTCTAGTTGTATAGAAGTGCTGGAGAAGGCGGTCGCGGGTAGAATCATTACGGGTGGCTAAGATGTCAGGATCGGACCCCCAACCCTCCAGGAGCAATCGTAAGTCACGAGAGCGGTCAAAAGGAAGGAAGGGAGATAGCATGTCCATTATGTCGATGAGTGCCCTTGTATTTCGCACAAGGAAATCGGATACGCTGAGCGGGAATTGCCCAACCACATGATTGGTGTAAACGAAGAAAGTAAGTGCCAATCTCGGGCATCTAGGGTGCCGTAACGAAGAATGGTCGAGTGCGAGCACTTGGTCCCAGCATCGGATACCGATCATGGGATCAGTCTGGGCGGAGAAGGTGATTTCGTATGTCTCGACTGTTGAGTGAGTCATAGGAGCTGGGTGCAAAAGTGCTGAAATATCGTCTGCTAATTGAGAGCAGACATCTGTAATAGAGAGCGTGATATCATACTGCATCTCAGCGTTTGGTGCGATCACAATGCATTTCGAAAGAGCCGTCATGTCCATCACGCTACCTTTCATGCATAAGTGTGCAAGTCGTGGAAGGTGAATTGCACCGTCTTCCTGCGTGCTGTTCGAGAGAAAGTAGGATGCCTGCGGTGAAGATTGAAGATATATTGAGGGGAATTCAATGGTTAATGTCTCCAGCTGTCGCATGTGTCGAAGAGCTTTCAGCACATCCCGTAGTGATACGTTCCCCATGAACGCCATGGGGGCCGATCCTAACTGCAGGCTTACAAGTCCACGGAGCACCGGTGAGGGCCATAAGGCCTCGTGAGAGATAGGACCCTGCAATATTAGACTCCTCAAAGCAGGGGCGTTTCGTCCAAGTAAGGTGGCAGGAATGCTGAACGGGAGGAAATCGGGAGGCAGTACCGTGACCACCACCTCTAAAACCTCCAGGTAAGGAGCTGGCCGTAATAATACGTCAGCCCAGGAGTCCGTTGACACTTGGCTCTGCATATTTAGGTATAAGCACAGATATCTAGGCTGCTTTGTATCAAAGAGCAGTGGTATGAGAAAGTCTATGTTCTCGCTCGGATTCCTTGGGCTAGCCTGCTGTGGCTGGGACCAGGGCTGAAAACCGTGACTTTGCGGCTGCACGATGGCCAATGGCATATTCTTTGCGCGATTGAGCATCTCGGGCAGCCAGAAGATGTTCTCCGTCCACAGAACCGTCCACAGAGCGGAACATTCGAGCGCTACTTCGCGCCATCGCCGACAGACGTGAGAAGCTGCAATGAGGGAGCGTGTGCCAGCGGCAATCTCAGAATCCGTGTCCAAAGGATTCCACTTCCCGAGGCTGCGTGTCTCCGAGAGTACAGGCACAAGGAAGTGGAAAATGGACGTAAATATCTCGGAGGGGAATTGGGTGGTAGATACGAGGGCATTACGCGCGGCGCTGAGTTCTTGGACGTAGGCACGAGCGAAAGCGATTTCGTCATCGCAGGCTTTGACACGAAGCTGCACGTCGTCTGCAACGCAATTCAGCGTCTCAGGAATCCTAGTTTTTTTGAGCTGCGCCCAAAAGGCTCTTCTACGAAGATTCAAACAGAATACAAAGCATCAGCAGGTGTAATAATGATAAAAGTATCAAAGTGGCGACTGTACCGGGACGTATCGGATGCCATCAAGGCGCTGCCAGTGGTTCTCGTTGCCTTTCAAGATACTTTGTTATTCGAATATCCAAAGCGGACTAGGAAGACCAGATGGTAACCTCGACTCGCCGTTGCAAAAGACTACGAGCGCAAGCAACTGGTATGTTGGCGTGTGATGTGGAGGTCAAGAGCAAGTTGTACCGCAATTTAGACGCCGGTGTCCAAGTACAGTAATTATCCTATTTCTGTTACTTCGCCACGCAACCGAGATTATCTTTGATATTGTTTACAGCACGCCAGGTCCACAACAAACACAACCACACCTGATCAGGCTAGGATCAGACAGGCATTGTGTAACGTAGAGAAAGCTTCAGTCCGAGGCGTACTCTACGAATAGTGCGGCGGTATGAATGTAAAACGAGAGCAAATAAAGTACTAGGTATTACCGTTTCGTTGTTCGCGTGTAGGATGTCAGACGGTGCCACGTATGAACACAGAAATCAGGTATTGAACACCGTTGCAATGTCAACAGGGACTTTTCAGGGAATCGTGTAGCAAGGACTTCGGAAGGTAAGATGACAGACTAGGACAATACGACAAGTACGCGAGTGCATAAGAAAAAACTACTGGCACCCGCGCCGAGATACATGTCCTACAAGACTGCAGTAGCTCTGCAAAGCGCACTGGTCACCTGCCTTAAAGGAGGGAGAAAATGCGAGATCGGTACGACTTCATAGAAGAGAATGCGTGCTCAACTCACCGAACAAGAGACCTCACGTGGTGCAGTTTCCCATACCCCTCAAGACCACATCAGCTCCTTAGCGATTCCTTCAAAAAGATGTGCATCTCTATCCCTGATAAACCCCCCAGCGAATTCGAGCGTATGAATACCCCGTGTTTCACCCAGACGACGAAGGTCCGGAGCAAGACTCTGGAGCATCTCAACGTCCACAGACTCATCTTCTGGTAAATATTCTGGCCACAGCTGGTAGCCATCTGGAAGGGGGCGCCGGACGAAGCAGACTCCAGTTAAGTGGCGTAGGATAGTCGCATTGGAAGTAATCGAGGGCAATATATCAAGGGCAGTGTGGATGTCGTCGAATATAATTCTTCTCGTCTCGGGGAAGTTACTGAGGGCGTCGGTGCGGGCTGGATCGCCCAGGATGAGTGATCTCGAAGTATATGCATGCCGATCGTCCACTAATCCCCATCGTAAGTCATGCGGCTGATCTCGAGGAAGTGTCGGTGATAGTATATTCAACAAGTCGATGACTTTGGTTCTACCTCGTTCCATAATGTTGGCGATGTGGGCTTGTCCCGGCAGCGCAACATGATGGTCGAACTGAACATCGAACCTGATCGCCAGCTTGGGGCTCATGGAATATTGTGCAGGAGAGCGTTCAAGGGGCAGTATCTCGTCCCAGCATCGAATACAAAGGAGGGGATCAGGATTATAGGAGATAGAGATCTCGTAAGTTTCGATAGACAAGTGTATCGGAGGAGCTGGATGAAAGAGCGCGGATATATCTTCTGCCAATTGAGGGCGCACATCATGTTCGGAGAGCGAGACATCGTACTGCACGTCTGCACGTGAGAAAATTGATATGTGCCTTGTCAGTGTCGTCGTGTCCGACACGTTCCCTTTGAGATGTAAGAACAACAATCGCTCGAGAGAAACTTCAACGCCATCTTGTGTACCGGTCAATAAGAAATAGGGTTGCTGCTGCGGCTGCATTGAATGAAATGTCGAGGGGAAGCCAATAGTCAAGGTTTCCAGTTGCTGCATGTCGCGCAGCGCGACCAGGGTATCCTGCAGAGAAACGCTCGTGGGTGAGGCGTTAGGGGTCAAAATCAACGTGAGGTTGACGAGTCCCCGGAGGACTGGTGATGGCCACAATGCCTCATGGGAGAAATAACCATTCAACGTAAGAGACCTCATAGCAGGGGCACTTCGTCCAAGCGAGTCGGCGGGGATGCTAAACGGAATATCTCCTGGGAGCGGTACCATCATCAGAACTCCCAAAACCTCCAGAGATGGAGCCGGCCGTGATAATACGTCGGCCCAGAAGCGCGTTAACGCTTCCCCGTGCATGGCGAGATGTAACTGCAAATGCTTGGGTTGTTTTGTGTGAAAAAGTTGCGGTACAAGCGAAGCTATGTTCTGTCCTGAAAGGCCTCGGGAGACATGATGCGTCGACTGTTGGGGAGGAGGGGTGCTATACAAGTATCCGGCGCCTTGTGGCTGAACGACGACCAGTGGGGCATCCTTCGCCCGGTCGATCATCTCGGATAACCAAGGCTTATTTTGAGTCCACAATACGGTCCATAGAGTGGAGAACTCGAGAGATACTTCGCGCCAACGCTGGCAAACATGAGAAGCCGCGATGAGAGATCGCGTACCAGCAGCGATCTCGAAGTCCCACATGGGCCAGGGCTCGTGGCGCTGTGGTTTGAGCACGGGAAGAAGAAACTGAAAGATTGACGCAAGTACTTCGGAGGGAAATTGGGTGGAAGAGATGAGAGTGTTACGCTGCGCGCTGAGTTCTTGGATATAAGCACGAGCGAATGCTATCTCATCATCACAGGCTCTGATCCTAAGCCGCACGTCATCTTCAGCGTGGCCTAATGTCGCCGGAATCCTGGATTTTTTGAGTTGTTGCCAAAAAGCACGTCTATGTGAGTTCAGAGACGAGAGAGCATTAGGATACGTTGAATTATTTTAAAAAAAATGAAATGCAGACGGCAGTACCTGTCGCAGGTACTACGAGACGCCATAAGAGGCGACTTGACTGAGAGCCCAACGTCTGATGGTGAGTAGTCAAGTGGAAACTTGAGTGTTGGAATATGACTTACTTCTACCTGTTCGGAACGTTGAATACAGAAAGACGACACGGGTTCACAGACACGGTGCAATGGTTGTGGAGTGCAGACACTGGGTTCAGATCTCTCGGGGCGCTCTCGCATCAGTCGTATTCTACCTCTTCCGGCAGATACCGGCCGCCCACTCCCGCGACATCCACGACACTTCTGTCGAGTGTTTGTTCCAAACATGCGCTGAGTCGAACCGAAGGTTACCATACTCTGTGTTCGCAGTGCTCACTAGGACGGAATCCAGTTTGCGCTCCATACGGCCGTCAGGGTATAACTAGGCTCATTTCTTCAGTCGACAGAGCAGGACCGCTAAATGGCGGATATATATTGGGCAGACAACATCGGGATCCTCCCGCGATGGATTTGACGAATTCGAGCAAGCAAATAACATTATCATAATCGTGAAGCATCATACGTATTTAGACTACTAGAACATAACCGTAAGCAACAAACTACCGATTACCTATGCGAACCAGAAGGTCCAATTCGAACCTCGGAAGGGCTGGCCGTTCAGGTATTAGTGTAAGGTAGGTCCGTAACTGGTGCGTAGGATGGCGTGACAGATGGGTGGGTGTGAGTGTGCGGTGCGGTGCGAGTGAGTGAGTATGCAGAGGTATCGTCGTGCGAGCAGTGATGAGGGTGGAGGTGGATATGTCGCAAGGGAAGGATGGGACGACAGAATAAAGCAGGACAGATCCCCAGGGATAGGGGAGTAAGCAACGAAGAGTAAAAAGCAGATGAAGAAGGCAATTATAAACAAGAATGAAGGACGGGTGTGCATATATACAGATGAAAACGAGTCGAAAGCGATGATGAGTAGATGTCAGAAAAGGATAAGAAAAAAGACAAGAAAGGGGAATAAAGGCTGTTTGTACAACATCGTTCAGAATGATCATACACTGTGCGTATCTGACAGAAGACGGAACTAAGAAAATCCAGAGCCTAAAGGCAAGGCAACCCAGGAGCATGTAACTGTAGTCTAAATGCCGTCGCGAGAAGGCGGAAGATCTATGATGTAATGTAGGCGTGTAAAACGCGAAACACGGAAAGCAACCCAAAAAAAACGCAATGCAAACCTGGGATGTCGACGGCTCAACTCCTCGTCCTCACCTCCTAAACGCAATTATCCAAGGAAAATCGCGATCACAAGCCCGCGACTAGCCCGTCCTACGCCCATCTAATAATCATCTTCCTCCCCCCAAACGACTCTCCACCCCCACCTCAGCGCACTCTGTCTTTCACATCTACCACCACCACCACCGACGCCAAGTCCCCCCTTTGCAAACACATCAAATGCGATGCCCACAACCCTCTCCTTTCCGGATCCCATCGCCTCAGGACGTATGAGGATTCCAGCCCATGCGGCATCAACGCCTGCTTTAGATTTAGACTGCGATGGTGTACTGGAATTGGGATTATGGTGCTTCTTCCCAGTTGTCGTCTCCACCTTCGTAGCCTTCTCCTTCTCCCTCCTGTACCACACATTCGACGCCGCCTTGACCCTCAGCGCCACCGGATTCGCCACGTGTCTCGTGCGACATCCAACCCTCGGATGCGAATAATCGTAGCCCGTCCCGAACGCGCTGTCGAACAGGTCATCGGATGGAAATGCAGCCGGAATGGCGTACATCCCGTCGTCCGAATCTCTGGCATGGTTGAGCTCCGCGTGGTTAGCCGCGAATGCGGCATAGGAATGAGCGTACGACGGCTTGGAAGAGGAATAGGCGAGGTAGTCGTAGGCGGTATGCGATCGTGGTCGGGATTGGGGGTTGCTGTAGGAATAAGAAGAAGAGTGCGAGGGCGGTGAAGGTGATCTTGAAGGTGAGCGCGAATCTGAGTCCGAGCGACGGCGCATGGCGACGAGGGGGAAAAGGACGTAGGGCACGGTGGTTTGGGTTGTACAGGAGTTTAAAGCCGTATGGTCTCCTCGTTTAGCAGGTCGCACGAATGTTGCGACATCGTTAGGACTGGCACGCCAGCCATCCGACTTACTTCCTGCACCACCCTTGCCTCTTGGTCTACCCCACTGAATGTGCAGCTCACCGTCCCTACCTTCCAACTCGTCTGAGTCTGAATCCGACTCGAAGTCGGCCACTTGCGCCTGAAGGCCAAGAATAGTCGCAGCGACATACGCTTCCTGCACCATGGACGCAAGCGACAACATGCTCGTCATCGAGGAACGCAGATTTTCGCCCAATTTGGCCACAGAATGAAGCGCTTTGCGTTTATGACCGCCGAGCCTCGAGTTTGATCCTGAGACGGCGTCGCCTGGGCCAACTGCACACTCTCTGAGTGAACGCTTGGTAGAGGCAGGCTGTGGAGGCGGAGCGAGTGGGGAGTGGTACAGGTCGACGAAAACGGAAGGTTGGCAAGGCTTACGACATGTGTGGAATGGTAGTTTGGTCGATTCGTGAGGCTTCTTTGAGGTGATCGATAGCAGAGATGATGCTGGAACAGGAGAGGAGATCGGTGTTGTGCGAGCGGTAGAAGTAGACTTGCGGGAACCGAATGAAAGCCAGGAGGAGGCAAAAGAGGAGGAGGTCTCCACCGTATCTGACGGCGAAGAGACAGATGTTGATGATATGAAAGAAGAGGAAGTGGGGGTCATGCAAGCTTTGCAAGAATTTCGTCTTGCCCCTCGGCGTACGCGTGCAACTTCCGACTGACCCTGAGCGGGCCATCGTTCCTGCTGGTCCCATTTCACCGGGTTCAGCAACTCGCTCAAAAGTTCATCTTCTCGTCTCCTGGCCACCGCATCAAGACTAGCGCGACTGCTCCAACTGCCTAGATGCGTTTGCTGAACAGATGAAGATGGAAGATCCTCGTCGGAAGGCGGAAATAGTGGCCCGTTCATGGATGACAAGACGACCTTGAATGGTATGATGCGAGGGTTGCTTGACGGTGCATGAGAAGGGGGTGCGAGGAGTGCTGCGAGCTGACGCCTTGTTTTGGATGCCGACGCTGGCGTCGGACGTCCTAGGGCCGATACAGATTTAGATGCGGAAGAAGACGGTGCCTGTATCGATGCCTTGGGTATGGGAAATGAGTATGTGAACGGCTCGTCTTTCGGCCTTGGGCGTTGAGGAGCAGGTTGAGGAATGGTTTGCGAGCGCAGACTAGGACGTGTCCAAAATTGACCGGGGAAGGCATGTGCTCTCCGCTGGCGATCATGATCGATTCGTTCGGCCTCTTTGAGCATGTGCTCCCTCTCCTTTCTTTCCTCCTCCAACCTGGCACGCTCCATGATGATCCTCGCTTTCTCTCTTCGCGACCCGAGCATGATTTCCTCCCAAACACGCTCTGCTCTATACAACACCTCCCTTCGTTTCGCCTCTGCCCGTAATCGCAACGCACGCTTTCTCAGCTCTTCAGGAGACGGGGCGGATGGGGGCGGAAGATCGGACATCTGCGAGGAGGTTAGGGCGGAAGAAGAGGGGGATGATGATGGTGAGTGCGATGAATGGGATTGAGCCTTTGATTTGTCTTTGCCCATTCGGAACGGTTCCGAATCGACAAAGGCCGCTCGGGTGTCACTCTGAAGGGCGTGCGAGGGGTGGAGATAGTCGTATGGACTGTCATTGTCTGGCGGGGTATGTGGTTCAAGGGGCGTATAGCAGGTGGAGGGCGAAGAAAGGGCCGTGGCACTTGTGCTGGGAGGAGATGACACAGGCGCCTTGGACGGGCCTGCTGTACTATCTGGGTCGTGATTGTGAGGGGCAGGTCTGATCGTACGGGTTGAATTGCGGGAGGGCGGAAGTGTATATTGAGAGGGGGGTGGGTCGTAAGCATGAACTTGAAGGGTCATCTGCTTCCGCCGTTCGTCTGACGCGCGGCGGGCGAGAGCTACTGCAGAGACTTCGGTTGAACGACCGCGGGTAAGCATTCTGTGCTGGTCGTGTGCATGGAGTCGCGACTTATTGTGGCGAGGGGGCTGAGGCAGCGGGGGAGTGTAAGCTGCCAGCATGTTTCCTGAGAGAGAAACCAAGGAAGCACCTTTCAAGGGCCGGAGAAGAAAGGGATGGGGAGAGGATGACACTCTAAGCAATAAGCCTCGAGGCTGGAACAGATGCAGATGAATGTGAGTCAGTGGCGCCCGGTGACGCAAAGTGAAACAACCACGAACCACAACAGAGTCCTGTTAGCGTTCGTGGGGGTCTTCCACTGTGCAGTGGAATGTTGGGGATGGTCGTGGTTGCGAACAGAGTTCGAGTTGGCCGTGCGCTAGACAGCGGCCAGACACCCCAACCGGTGACACCGCCAGCTTGGCGCTGTTATTGGCATCTTATCGCCTTTCAAATTGCAACTCTATTTTGCTCCCGCGTGTTCCCCGCCTTCCCCTTGTCCGTCTCGTCGTGGCAACCGCCGCCACAGCTTATCTATTTTCTCCTCATTTTCGTGTACATTTCAGTCGGCCAACCGTCAGTAAACTTCGACTGTGTTCTGTGCTTGCTTTGGCTGGCGCTGTGTGCCTCGTGTGGCCGATTTATTCCGCACAGCTGAGCCACACGATTTCATCAACACGCCTCACCGCCCTTATCCCACATCTGCATCTGGCTGTCCGACTCTCACACATCTAAAACCTCACCAGCTTCTGCTTCGGGTCTTCCACTCTTAGATTCGGAGATGTCCTTGTTCTCTGATTCAGACTCTCCTTCAAGGTTTATGTTTCACGCTCACATACCTTCACTGTTCTTCCCCTTATGCGTACCTCTCCTTTATCCTCTAGCTATAGCTCGACTCATCTCCCACTCAATCAGGTGGCCCATCTTCATCTCTCCCTATCGGACCTTCTCTTGCCTCGATTTTATACACGCGGCCCTACCCACTACGTCACTCTCCTCCCTCTTCGCTCTGTCCTTCCTTCCAACTGTGTCCTTTTTCGGACCGCCCCTTCTCGTCTTCTACGCCACCAACTCGTGATCAAACTCAAGGCCTTCATATCGCAATCGGAATCCCTCTGTGCTGTAGCCTTCTTTGTCTGTTCCTTTCCAGCACAAAAAGGCGGAACAAAAGACAAGGAAAGACTTTCCTGTCCATACCGGGCCAACCTCCATTCGGCCTACCGAACGTAGAATAGTAATGCATGGACCCACATCTTGCCGCTCATCTTAGCAAGGCACTGCGATAGTACTGCTCCTATGGGTCCTGGCTCGACACGTTGTCCCAATGCTGGTCCTCGTATTTCAGAATCCACCTCATGCTATATCCCATATTCGTCTCCCTCTCCAAACACACTCTGCCTCGAGACATCCTGCAAGCGCTCCTGATTGTGACTGCCTGTTAAGTCGTATTGGTACCTCCCATGCTGTTATAGCGTCCTTGGTATCACTGTACTCGCAGCATTGGTACTCAGTGGTGCTGCGGGTTCTTATCGTCCCCTTCTTGTCCTAGCATGAATGAATGCATTGGATCCGCGTCCGCATATAGAGCACGTCGAAGTCTGAGACAGACGGTCTCTCGCTCTCAGCGTTGTCGAAGGCTCGCGGTGCTCGCAGACGACAGATCGTCGTGCTCTGATGCTCGCCACAGTCGAAAACTTCACTCACAGATCACAGAAATCCGTTGCCTGATGCATGCCACAGTTAGACGGTCCCTCGCTCTCAGCATTGTCGAAGGCTCGCGGTACTCGCAGACGACAGATCGTCGTGCTCAGACGCTCGCCACAGTCGAAAACTTCGCTCACAGACCAAAGACATCCGTTGGGCTTGCGGTCCATCCACCCCTTTGCGGCATTGTCAGACACTGGTTTTTATACCATGTCACAACAGAGTATTGACTTTGGCTCTAGAGAAAAACTAGCTTGCCAGAGGTGCCCTTGGGCAATTAATAGCTCATTGTTAAGATTTTTCTGTCCATCCTTGCGAGTGTTGTTGGCGTCGTCCGATGTTGCCCGAGACATCCCGAGACACTCCGGTCCTCACCGTACTCACCGGCCGCCACACAGTTCTTTCAAGGTGGCGTAATTGTGTTGTCACCCACGATTATGGGTGTACACACCATTGAAAATATATCGTTCTCAGCGTCCTCCGAATACAAGGTACGCTTGCAAGTATTGCGAGACCCACAACATATTACCATGAGAGATCCACCAATTTTTCCCAATGGGTTTTTATACGGTCATTGCTCTCTCTGGCTAAGTCATGTTGTATGGTCTCGTAGTACTTACAGTAGGTTCTGGAACCCGTGAGAGGCCCGATGTTATCTAGTAGATACAATTATATCACAGTTCATTGTGGGTATCACAGCGGTAAAGGATACCGCGCTGTTTCGTAGTGTATATTTGTACATGTATTCCTGCGGATAAGGGTATTGGTCCTTAAGGGCCCATTTTGTACCCCGAATAAACTTACCTTACCTTACCTTACTTACCCAATACGAGAACGTAAGTATATGTTTGACCCTTCCATATCGAGCGAGCGACTTGAAACGTACCGTCCTAGGTCGAGAACCCTATGCAATCCCGCGTCTTCCAAGGTATGGTACTTGTTCAGGTTGATCTAGAGTATGTATGTCCCACCAGCGAGCCTGAGGAACAAGGTGGGATACGGTGCGATGCTGGGAACCGTCGTCTAGAGACGCTGCAAAGAATTTCAGCCTTCCGACGTACTATTGGATGCGGGTCCAAGCGGCCTATGACAGTGGTGCGGATCAATAAGCGATGTGATTGGTCACCTTTGTTGGCGAGGTAAAATCAAGTGAAACATGCCAGGACAAGATGATCCCATTACATTATATCAAGGCAATGAGCAAAAAAACGAGAGACCTTCCGAGGATGAGATCGATGAGACTCGAGAGGTCCGCATCTCGCCTTCCATGTCGGATAGATTATGCCAGGCTGCATTCGAAGAGCGATGAGCACGTGCTCGCGATCCTGAAGGATACACGTCCTCAAGCGAAGTTTCGTATCATTCGAGTACCAACAAGGGATGATATAAATGATGGCACACAGTTCTAGAGATGTAGGCCACTGCAGTACGTGCCAGCGAAGAACGTCAACTTTCAAGTCACCTGGACTGTGTGGCAGCGACGTGTCGTTAGGTGGGGCAATCACAAATTGAGCATCTGGAGAGGAAGTCGAGACAAGGTATTCAAGAGATAGGGAATATCGTAGGAAAGCTACGCAGCACCGAAAAGACCGTTATTGACGTCGTGTTCAGAGGCATTTGCAAGTGGCTGGTTGAAGCAAAAAGAATCGCGAGCGGTTGTTTGGATCGAAAGCTTTTGGTAAACAGATGACGTAATAC